CCCGACCCGCAGCCCCCCGCCAGCCCGGCCCTGACCCCCAGCCCTGCCGGTGCCCCTCACTCCCGACCCGCAGCCCCCCGCCAGCCCGGCCCTGACCCCCAGCCCTGCCGGTGCCCCTCACTCCCGACCCGCAGCCCCCGCCAGTCCCAGCCCTGCCGGTGCCCCTCACTCCCGACCCGCAGCCCCCCGCCAGCCCGGCCCTGCCCGGTGCCCCTCACTCCCGACCCGCACCCCCGCCAGCCCGCCCTGCCGGTGCCCCTCACTCCCGACCCGCACCCCCCGCCAGCCCGGCCCTGACCCCCAGCCCTGCCGGTGCCCCTCACTCCCGACCCGCAGCCCCCGCCAGCCCGGCCCTGACCCCCAGCCCTGCCGGTGCCCCTCACTCCCGACCCGCAGCCCCCCGCCAGCCCGGCCCTGACCCCCAGCCCTGCCGGTGCCCCTCACTCCCGACCCGCAGCCCCCCGCCAGCCCGGCCCTGACCCCCAGCCCTGCCGGTGCCCCTCACTCCCGACCCGCAGCCCCCCCGCCCGGCCCTGCCAGCCCGGCCCCCTGACCCCCCCAGCCCTGCCGGTGCCCCTCACTCCCGACCCGCAGCCCCCGCCAGCCCGGCCCTGACCCCCCAGCCCTGCCGGTGCCCCTCACTCCCGACCCGCAGCCCCCCGCCAGCCCGGCCCTGACCCCCAGCCCTGCCGGTGCCCCTCACTCCCCGACCCGCAGCCCCCCTGCCCCCAGCCCTGCGGTGCCCCTCACCCCCAGCCCCCGCCAGCCCCCTGCCGGTGCCCCTCACTCCCGACCCGCAGCCCCCGCCAGCCCGGCCCTGACCCCCAGCCCTGCCGGTGCCCCCTCACTCCCGACCCGCAGCCCCCGCCGGCCCGGCCCTGACCCCCAGCCCTGCCGGTGCCCCTCACTCCCGACCCGCACCCCCCCGCCGCCGGCCCGGCCCTGACCCCCAGCCCTGCCGGTGCCCCTCACTCCCGACCCGCAGCCCCCGCCGGCCCGGCCCTGACCCCCCAGCCCTGCCGGTGCCCCTCACTCCCGACCCGCAGCCCCCGCCGGCCCGGCCCTGACCCCCAGCCCTGCCGGTGCCCCTCACTCCCGACCCGCACCCCCCGCCGGCCCGGCCCTGACCCCCAGCCCTGCCGGTGCCCCCTCACTCCCGACCCGCAGCCCCCCCCCCCCTGCGCCCCACCCCCAGCCCTGCCGGTGCCCCTCACTCCCGACCCGCAGCCCCCGCCCTGGCCGACCCCCAGCCCTGCCGGTGCCCCCTCACTCCCGACCCGCAGCCCCCCGCCAGCCCGGCCCCCTGACCCCCCCCCAGCCCCCTGCCGGTGCCCCTCACTCCCGACCCGCAGCCCCCCGCCCCCAGCCCGGCCCTGACCCCCAGCCCTGCCGGTGCCCCTCACTCCCGACCCGCAGCCCCCGCCGGCCCGGCCCTGACCCCCAGCCCTGCCGGTGCCCCTCACTCCCGACCCGCAGCCCCCCGCCAGCCCGGCCCTGACCCCCCCCCCTCCCCACTCCCGACCCGCAGCCCCCGCCAGCCCGGCCCTGCCCCCTCACTCCCGACCCGCACCCCCCCCAGCCCGGCCCTGACCCCCAGCCCTGCCGGTGCCCCTCACTCCCGACCCGCAGCCCCCCGCCAGCCCGGCCCCCCCCAGCCCTGCCGGTGCCCCTCACTCCCGACCCGCAGCCCCCGCCAACCCGGCCCTGACCCCCAGCCCTGACCCCCACCCCCAGCCCTGCCGGTGCCCCTCACTCCCGACCCGCAGCCCCCCGCCAGCCCGGCCCTGACCCCCAGCCCTGCCGGTGCCCCTCACTCCCGACCCGCAGCCCCCCCCAGCCGGCCCCTGCCGGTGCCCCTCACTCCCGACCCGCAGCCCCCCGCCAGTCCGGCCCTGCCGGTGCCCCCACCCGACCCGCGGCCCCCGCCACCCCTCACTCCCGACCCGCAGCCCCCCGCCAGCCCGGCCCTGACCCCCAGCCCTGCCGGTGCCCCTCACTCCCGACCCGCAGCCCCCGCCGGCCCGGCCCTGACCCCCAGCCCTGCCGGTGCCCCTCACTCCCCGACCCGCAGCCCCCGCCCCCGCCCTGGCCCTGACCCCGACCCCACCCCCCGCCCCCCCCCAGCCCTGCCGGTGCCCCTCACTCCCGACCCGCAGCCCCCCGCCGGCCCGGCCCTGACCCCCAGCCCTGCCGGTGCCCCTCACTCCCGACCCGCAGCCCCCCGCCCCGGCCCGCCCTGACCCCCAGCCCTGCCGGTGCCCCTCACTCCCGACCCGCAGCCCCCCGCCCGCCCGGCCCTGCCCCCAGCCCCCCTGCCGGTGCCCCTCACTCCCGACCCGCAGCCCCGCCGCCCCCCCGCCAGCCGGCCCTGCCGGTGCCCCTCACTCCCGACCCGCAGCCCCCCGCCAGCCCGGCCCTGACCCCCAGCCCTGCCGGTGCCCCTCACTCCCGACCCGCAGCCCCCCGCCAGCCCGGCCCTGACCCCCAGCCCTGCCGGTGCCCCTCACTCCCGACCCGCAGCCCCCTGTCCCCGGCCCTGCCGGTGCCCCTCCTCCCGACCCGCCCCCCCGGCGCCCCCCCCCGACCCCTCCGGGCCCCTCACTCCCGACCCGCAGCCCCCCGCCAGTCCGGCCCTGCCGGTGCCCCTCACTCCCGACCCGCAGCCCCCTGCCAGCCCGGCCCTGACCCCCAGCTCTGCCAGTGCCCCTCACTCCCGACCCGCAGCCCCCCGCCAGTCCGGCCCTGCCGGTGCCCTTCACTCCCGACCCGCAGCCCCCCGCCAGCCCGGCCCTGCCGGTGCCCCTCACTCCCGACCCGCAGCCCCCCGCCAGTCCGGCCCTGCCCGTGCCCCTCACTCCCGACCCGCAGCCCCCCGCCAGTCCGGCCCTGACCCCCAGCCCTGCCCGTGCCCCTCACTCCCGACCCGCAGCCCCCTGCCAGCCTGGCCCTGACCCCCAGCCCTGCCAGTGCCCCTCACTCCCGACCCGCAGCCCCCTGCCAGTCCGGCCCTGCCGGTGCCCCTCACTCCTGACCCGCAGCCCCCTGCCAGCCCGGCCCTGACCCCCCAGCCCTGCCCGTGCCCCTCACTCCCGACCCGCAGCCCCCTGCCAGCCCGGCCCTGACCCCCAGCCGTGCCTGTGCCCCTCACTCCCGACCCGCAGCCCCCTGCCAGCCCGGCCCTGACCCCCAGCCCTGCCAGTGCCCCTCACTCCCGACCCGCAGCCCCCCGCCAGTCCGGCCCTGCCGGTGCCCTTCACTCCCGACCCGCAGCCCCCTGCCAGTCCAGCCCTGCCGGTGCCCCTCACTCCCGACCCGCAGCCCCCTGCCAGCCCGGCCCTGACCCCCCAGCCCTGCCAGTGCCCCTCACTCCCGACCCGCAGCCCCCCGCCAGTCCGGCCCTGCCGGTGCCCCTCACTCCCGACCCGCAGCCCCCCCCCAGCCCGGCCCTGACCCCCAGCCCTGCCGGTGCCCCTCACTCCCGACCCACAGCCCCCCGCCAGCCCGGCCCTGACCCCCAGCGCTGCCGGTGCCCCTCACTCCCGACCCGCAGCCCCCCGCCAGCCCGGCCCTGACCCCCAGCCCTGCCGGTGCCCCTCACTCCCGACCCGCAGCCCCCCGCCAGCCCGGCCCTGACCCCCAGCCCTGCCGGTGCCCCTCACTCCTGACCCGCAGCCCCCCGCCAGTCCGGCCCTGCCGGTGCCCCTCACTCCCGACCCGCAGCCCCCTGCCGGCCCGGCCCTGACCCCCAGCCCTGCCGGTGCCCCTCACTCCAGACCCGCAGCCCCCCGCCAGTCCGGCCCTGCCGGTGCCCCTCACTCCCGACCCGCAGCCCCCCGCCAGTCCGGCCCTGCCGGTGCCCCTCACTCCCGACCCGCAGCCCCCCGCCAGTCCGGCCCTGCCGGTGCCCCTCACTCCCGACCCGCAGCCCCCGCCAGTCCAGCCCTGCCGGTGCCCCTCACTCCCGACCCGCAGCCCCCTGCTAGCCCGGCAGGTGCCCCTCACTCCCGACCCGCAGCCCCCCGCCAGTCCGGCCCTGCCGGTGCCCCTCACTCCCGACCCGCAGCCCCCTGCCAGTCCGGCCCTGCCGGTGCCCCTTACTCCCGACCTGCAGCCCCCCGCCAGTCCGGCCCTGACCCCCAGCCCTGCCGGTGCCCCTCACTCCCGACCCGCAGCCCCCCGCCAGCCCGGCCCTGACCCCCAGCCCTGCCGGTGCCCCTCACTCCCGACCCGCAGCCCCCCGCCAGCCCGGCCCTGACCCCCAGCCCTGCCGGTGCCCCTCACTCCCGACCCGCAGCCCCCTGCCAGCCCGGCCCTGACCCCCAGCCCTGCCTGTGCCCCTCACTCCCGACCCGCAGCCCCCCGCCAGTCCGGCCCTGCCGGTGCCCCTCACTCCCGACCCGCAGCCCCCCGCCAGCCCGGCCCTGACCCCCAGCCCTGCCGGTGCCCCTCACTCCCGACCCGCAGCCCCCCGCCAGCCCGGCCCTGACGGTGCCCTTCACTCCCGACCCGCAGCCCCCTGCCAGTCCAGCCCTGCCGGTGCCCCTCACTCCCGACCCGCAGCCCCCTGCCAGTCCAGCCCTGCCGGTGCCCTTCACTCCCGACCCGCAGCCCCCTGCCAGTCCAGCCCTGCCGGTGCCCTTCACTCCCGACCCGCAGCCCCCCGCCAGTCCAGCTCTGCCGGTGCCCTTCACTCCCGACCCGCAGCCCCCTGCCAGTCCAGTCCTGCCGGTGCCCCTCACTCCCGACCCGCAGCCCCCCGCCAGCCCGGCCCTGACCCCCAGCCCTGCCAGTGCCCCTCACTCCCGACCCGCAGCCCCCTGCCAGTCCGGCCCTGCCGGTGCCCCTCACTCCCGACCCGCAGCCCCCTGCCAGCCCGGCCCTGGGCTCCCCCGCAGCCCTGCTGGTGCCCCTCACTCCCGACCCGCAGCCCCCCGCCAGTCCGGCCCTGGGCTCCCCCACAGCCCTGCTGGTGCCCCTCACTCCCGTGTTGTTTGCTGCAGGCGGGTGCAGCAGCAGCGGGAGGAGGTTTACGAGAAGATCACTCAGCACATGTGGCTCAAGACCGTTATTGAGCGTTTGCAGGTAATGACCTGCCCCCTCTCCAGGCGCCTGTCCCGCCCCACTGCTGAACCTCCCCCCAGCTGGAGTGTTCTTGTAGGGTTGATCTTGTAGGGTCTCTGGGCAAGGCCAGGGGGGGTCTCAGCAGAGGGGCTGTGGGGTGTCTGGACAGTGGGGGGCTCCTGTGTCTTGGGGCAGGGGGCTGCCGGGTCTCAGGCCAGGGGAGCAGAGGCTGCGGGATCTCTGGCTGGGGCGGGGGCTGCGGGGTCTTGGGGCGGGGGGCCTGCAGTGTTTTGGGCTGGAGGGGGCTGTGGGGTCTCTGGCCAGGGGGCTGCGGTGTTTTGGGCCGGAGGGGGCTGTGGGGTCTCTGGCCAGGGGGGCTGCAGTGTTTTGGGCCGGAGGGGGCTGTGGGGTCTCTGGCCAGGGGGGCTGTGGTGTTTTGGGCCAGAGGGGGCTGTGGGGTCTCTGCTGTGGGGTTTCTGACGTGCCCTCTCTGCCTGGCAGGAGGGAGATGGCCAAGCGGTGCAGACGCAGGTGGATCTGGGCTATAACTTCTTTGTCAATGCGGATGTGTGAGTGCCCGGGCCCCCGGGATCCCCTTCAGCCCCCCAACTTGATCCTGGCCCCCTACCCCTCGCCCCCAGGAACCCCTCCTATGCATCTCCTGCCCCCACTGGGTCCCTCTTTCACTCCCTACCCCAATTCTGGCCCCTCCTCGGATCCCTCTACAGCCTCTGGGCCCCTCCCCCATATCTCCCACCTCCTGGGACCCCCCTTCACCGCCCCACCTTGATTCTGTCCCTCTTGGAACTCCCTATATTCCTGCCCCCCAGGACCCCACATATATCCTCTCACCCCCTCCCTTCCCCCTAGGCCTCCCTTGCACCCCCCATCTTCCAATTCCCACCCCCAGAGCTGCACCCCTACACCCCAGCATCTGATCCTGCTCCCCCCACCCCATCAGAACCCTCCTCTGTCCCCGTCAGATCCTCTAAACTCCCCCCCCCGCTGCCCTGCCAGGTGCTCCGTTCAGCTCCCTGCAGTTCCCCAGGTCTGCCCCCGCAGGTGCCCAGTGTGGCTGGGGGCCCCCACCCCCTCTACCTTGTGACCCCCCCCCAAATCTCCTCATGTCACAGGCCTGACACCTCCAGGATCTTCGTGGCGCTCGGCTACGGGTTCTTCGCGGAGCTGACGCTGACGGAGGCGTTGCGCTTTGTGGAGAGGAAAACCAAGTTACTGATCGAGTGAGTGGGGGAGACGATCCCCCCCCCATGCGGCTGGTCTCCAGCCGCCCCTCCCCCGAGCCAGGCGAGCCATCCCCCTGTGGCGTTATATGCAGCTGCTCCCCAGCTTGTCCCCACCCCAGAGGCCGCTGCACTCTGGCACTGAGCGCTAACCCTTTGGGGGGGGGAGGGATAGCTCAGTGGTTTGAGCATTGGCCTGCTAAACCCAGGGTTGTGAGTTCAATCCTTGAGGGGGCCGTTTAGGGATCTGGAGCAAAAATTGGGGATTGGTCCTGCTTCAAGCAGGGGGTTGGACTAGATGACCTCCTGAGGTTCCTTCCAACCCTAACCTTCTGTGAATCTATGAATCTATGAAACCAGGGCACAGGCCGGAATTCCTTGCGTCTGTGCAGGACCCAGCAAGATGGTGGCCCCACCTCAGTCGCGGTCCATGCGGGGTGAAAGGGGACCCCAGAATGTGCAGGGCCCCCCGCTCCCAACTCCCAACGCTGCCCCGCCGGGCATCTCTCTTTTGCAGGCTCAGCGAATCCCTCACCAAGGACTCGGCCAAAATCAAGGCCAATATCCGGATGGTCTTGGAGGTAACGCAGGACGGGGTCGCAGGGATTGAGAGGCCAGAAGGGGGCGCTTGCCCTCGGTAGTCAGGGTGGGCACTTGGGGGCACTGTGCCATGGGGTGGGGGGCTCGGCAGGGGGCATCTCCCTGGCAGTTAGTCCTGGGGAGCAGGGGGGAAGCTGTTTAGATCCAGAGGGGAGCTGGGGGGGGTCTGATGTTTCCTACCCCCCATGACTCCCCACTTCTCTTTCCTCCCCCCAGGGCCTACGGGAACTTCAAGGGTTCCAGGACCTGCCTGAGGACCCCAGAAGAGACCTCGCCCTCTAGGACCCCCCTCCCGGGGGACTCTACCCCTCCTTCGGGCTCTGGCCTGGGTTCATTCCCCCTCCCCCGCCCCAGCTCACAGCAGGGCTGGGGAGGCAGCTACCCACTGGCAGGGGAGCAGGGGATCCTGGAGGGTGGGGGGGGCACTGGGGGAATCCCCATCCCTTTCCTGCTGTGTTTACCTGTCCCATGGGAACCAGGATTCCTGGGTTCTCCCCCCAGTTCTGTTTCCCCCAGCCAGTCGCCCTACTGCTGCCTCAGTTTCCCCTGCTGTCCTTGGCTGCAGTGTCCTGTCATCTCATTTGAACTGTGAGAATAAAGACTCTGACTAGGGTCTGTGTTTCTGTTTTTGTGTCTCTGTTGGCCTGGCCTGGGGGTGGGGGGAGCCCCCCATGTGCCCTCAGCCCCTCCTCTCTGCCTCCAGGTGGGACCCCCAGCCAGCCCCCAGAGCGAGGGCAGAATTCGTGGAAGCTCAGTGTGGGGCTGGGAGCCAGGATGCCTGGGTTCTCTCCCCAGGTCTGGGAGGGGAGTGGGGTCTAGTGGGGAGAGGGGACTGGGAGCCAGGACGCCTGGCTTCTTTTCCCAGCTCTGGGGTGGGGGGGGGGGGTTGGGCTCCCACAGCCAGGGAGAGAACCCAGGCGTCCTGGTCCAGCCCCCCCCTCCCTGCTCCAACCACTCGCCCCCACTCCCCTCCCACAGCCGGGGAGAGAACCCAGGCGTCCTGGCCCAGCCCCCCCGCTCTGTCTCCTCCCCCTTCTCTGGTGCATGTGACGGGCCCCGTCAGCAGCCGCCGCATCCCCCTTCTCGCTGGATCCGAGCCACGGCGCCCCCCCGCCCCCGGCTCGGACCTGCCGCCCGCACCGGGAGCCCGGGGCCGGGGCCCCCCACCCGGCCGGCGCCGCGGGACCAGGGACTTTCCCGGCCGGCGCATGCGGCGGAGCTGGGCCAGCTCGGGGGCGCCGCTCGGAGCGGAGCTGAGAACCCGCTGGGGACCAGTAACCAGCCACTGGGACCAGTAACCGGCCGGGGATCGGCCACTGGGGACCAGTAACCGGCCGGGGATCGGCCACTGGGGACCAGTAACCAGCCACTGGGACCAGTAACCGGCCGGGGATCGGCCACTGGGGACCAGTAACCGGCCGGGGATCGGCCACTGGGGACCAGTAACCAGCCACTGGGACCAGTAACCGGCCGGGGATCGGCCACTGGGGACCAGTAACCAGCCACTGGGACCAGTAACCGGCCGGGGATCGGCCACTGGGGACCAGTAACCGGCCGGGGATCGGCCACTGGGACCAGTAACCGGCCAGGGATCGGCCACTGGGGACCAGTAACCGGCCGGGGATCGGCCACTGGGGACCAGTAACCAGCCACTGGGACCAGTAACCGGCCGGGGATCGGCCACTGGGGACCAGTAACCAGCCACTGGGACCAGTAACCGGCTGGGGATCGGCCACTGGGGACCAGTAACCGGCCGGGGATCGGCCACTGGGACCAGTAACCAGCCACTGGGACCAGTAACCGGCCGGGGATCGGCCACTGGGGACCAGTAACCGGCCGGGGATCGGCCACTGGGGACCAGTAACCAGCCACTGGGACCAGTAACCGGCCGGGGATCAGCCACTGGGGACCAGTAACCAGCCACTGGGACCAGTAACCGGCCGGGGATCGGCCACTGGGACCAGTAACCGGCCAGGGATCGGCCACTGGGGACCAGAAACCAGCCACTGGGGACCAGTAACCGGCCAGCACGGGCCTGGGGGGCTCGGGGGTCCCATGGAGCCGGCTGCTCCGTCTCCGGGCCCCGCGGCCGCGCTGACAGGTGAGTGGGTGGCCCTGGGATGTAGCCACCTCGGGCAGATAAAAACCGCACAGAACGTCCAGTGGATAGGGGCTGGCCCTGCCTGCCAGGGGAGAGTGCCCCCCACCCAGCCCCCTGCCCCCCAGAGCCTCCTGCCCAGCCCCCTGCCCCACAGCGTGCCCCAGAACCCCACAGCGCCTGGCCCTGCCTGCCAGGGGAGAGTGCCCCCCACCCAGCGCCCTGTCTCTCAGAGCCCCCTGCCCAGCCCCCTGCCCCACGACACCCCACAGCACCACCTGCCCAGCCCCTGCCCCACAGCACGCCCCAGAACCCCACAGCGCCTGGCCCTGACTGGCAGGGGAGAGTGCCCCCCACCCAGCGCCCTGTCTCTCAGAGCCCCCTGCCCAGTCCCCTGCCCCACGACACCCCACAGTGCCCCCTGCCCAGCCCCTGCCCCATAGCGCCCCCCAGAACCCCACAGCGCCTGGCCCTGACTGGCAGGGAAGAGTGTCCCCCACCCAGCCCCCTGCCCAGCCCCCTGCCCCACAACACCCCACAGTGCCCCCTGCCCAGCCCCACAGTGCCCCCCAGAACCCTCTGCCCAGCCCCCTGACCCATGGCACCCCACAGCACCTCCTGCGCAGCCCCTGCCCCACAGCACGCCCCAGAACCCCACTGCGCCTGGCCCTGACTGGCAGGGGAGAGTGCCCCCCACCCAGCGCCCTGTCTCTCAGAGCCCCCTGCCCAGCCCCCTGCCCCACGACACCCCACAGCACCACCTGCCCAGCCCCTGCCCCACAGCACGCCCCAGAACCCCACAGCGCCTGGCCCTGACTGGCAGGGGAGAGTGCCCCCCACCCAGCGCCCTGTCTCTCAGAGCCCCCTGCCCAGCTCCCTGCCCCACGACACCCCACAGTGCCCCCTGCCCAGCCCCTGCCCCATAGCGTCCCCCAGAACCCCACAGCGCCTGGCCCTGACTGGCAGGGAAGAGTGTCCCCCACCCAGCCCCCTGCCCAGCCCCCAGCCCCCTGCCCCACAACACCCCACAGTGCCCCCTGCCCAGCCCCACAGTGCCCCCCAGAACCCCCTGCCCAGCCCCCTGACCCATGGCACCCCACAGCGCCTGGCCCTGCCTGTCAGGGGAGAGCACCCCTGCCCTGCCTCCTGCCCCCAGAACCCCCTGCCCAGCCCCCTGCCCCACAGCGCCCCCCACAGCACCCCCTGCTCAGCCCCCACCCCTCTCCCTGCCCTACGGCACCCCCCAGTGCCCCCTGCCCAGTGCCTGCCCCGCTCTCCTCCCCATCCCACAGCACCCCACAGTGCCTGTCTCTGACTCCCAGGGGAGAGTGCCCCCTGCCTAGCTTCCCGCCCCGCTCCCTGCAGTACAGCGCCCCCTAGTGCTGCCCTTGGGGTCAGCACCAACTACGAGGAAATAACCCCCCCACTCTGCTGGTGCTCCTCACTCTTGACCCGCAGCCCCCTGCCAGCGCAGCCCTGCCCCACACACGGTGTGTTCAAGGTTTGGTCCAACGGCAGAAAATCTTATTTTAGGCCAAATCCTGAAATTTCCTTGTAGGGAGAAGAAGAAAGAGGAACCCGAGATGTAAAATCCTGGTCCCTTCGGCAGCCCCCCAGGGCAGGGACCCAGGGCCGGGCTGGCAGGGGTCTGTGGGTCGTGAATGAGGGGCACCAGCAGGGAAGGGCTGGCAGGGGGCTGCGGGTGGGGAGTGAGGGGCACTGGCAGGGCCGGCAGGGGGCTGCGGGTCGGGAGTGAGGGGCACCGGCAGGACCGGCGGGGGGCTGCGGGGCGGGAGTGAGGGGCACCGGCAGGGCCGGCGGGGGGCTGCGGGGCGGGAGTGAGGGGCACCGGCAGGGCCGGCGGGGGGGCTGCGGGGCGGGAGTGAGGGGCACCGGCAGGGCCGGCGGGGGGCTGCGGGGCAGGAGTGAGGGGCACCGCCGGGGCGGGGGGGCTGCGGGGCGGGAGTGAGGGGCACCGGCAGGGCCGGCGGGGGGCTGCGGGTCGGGAGTGAGGGGCACTGGCGGGGCGGGGGCCTGCGGGTTGGGAGTGAGAGGCACCGGCAGGGCCGGCGGGGGGCTGCGGGTCGGGAGTGAGGGGCACTGGCGGGGCGGGGGGCTGCGGGGCGGGAGTGAGGGGCACCAGCGGGGCGGGGTGGGGGGCTGCGGGTCGGGAGTGAGAGGGCCGGCGGGGGGCTGCGGGTTGGGAGTGAGGGGCACCGGTAGGGCCGGGCGGGGGGCTGCGGGGCGGGAGTGAGGGGCACCGGCAGGGCCGGCGGGGGGCTGTGGGGCGGGAGTGAGGGGCACCGGCAGGGCCGGCGGGGGGCTGTGGGGCGGGAGTGAGGGGCACCGGCAGGGCGGAGCGGGGGCTGCGGGTCGGGAGTGAGGGGCACTGGCGGGGCAGGGGGCTGCGGGTCGGGAGTGAGGGGCACCGTCGGGGCAGGGTGGGGGGCTGCGGGTCGGGAGTGAGGGGCACCGGCAGGGCCAGTGGGGGGCTGTGGGGCGGGAGTGAGGGGCACCGGCAGGGCCGGCGGGGGGGCTGTGGGGCGGGAGTGAGGGGCACCGGCAGGGCGGAGCGGGGGCTGCGGGTCGGGAGTGAGGGGCACTGGCGGGGCAGGGGGCTGCGGGTCGGGAGTGAGGGGCACCGTCGGGGCGGGGTGGGGGGCTGCGTGTCGGGAGTGAGGGGCACCGGCGGGGCGGGGGGCTGCGGGGCAGGAGTGAGGGGACCGGCAGGGCCGGCGGGGGGCTGCGGGGCAGGAGTGAGGGGACCGGCAGGGCCGGCGGGGGGCTGCGGGTCGGGAGTGAGGGGCACCGTCGGGGCGGGGTGGGGGGCTGCGTGTCGGGAGTGAGGGGGCACCGGCGGGGCGGGGGGCTGCGGGGCAGGAGTGAGGGGACCGGCAGGGCCGGCGGGGGGCTGCGGGGCAGGAGTGAGGGGACCGGCAGGGCTGGGGCGGGGGCTGCGGGTCGGGAGTGAGGGGCACCGGCAGGGCGGGGCGGGGGGCTGCGGGGCAGGAGTGAGGGGCACTGGCGGGGCCGGCGCGGGGCTGTGGGTCGGGAGTGAGGGGCACCGGCGGGGCGGGGCGGGGGGCTGCGGGGCGGGAGTGAGGGGCACCGGCAGGGCCGGGGGGGGGCTGCGGGGCGGGAGTGAGGGGCACCGGCAGGGCCGGCGGGGGGCTGCGGGGCCGGGGTGAGGGGCACCGGCAGGGCGGAGCGGGGGCTGCGGGTCGGGAGTGAGGGGCACTGGCGGGGCAGGGGGCTGCGGGTCGGGAGTGAGGGGCACCGTCGGGGCAGGGTGGGGGGCTGCGGGTCGGGAGTGAGGGGCACCGGCGGGGCGGGAGTGAGGGGCACTGGCGGGGCTGTTATACCAATAAAATAAAAACCAGCAGGATCTTATTAAAGGGAAAAAGGCAAAATACCACATTTATTGTGAATACAGAAAGAATCCTAGGAAGCAGTTAGTTAGTTGTAGCTATAACATTCCATTCAATCTCATATTTAGTCACACGTTCATTCATACAAACACACACACACACACCCACACACACACACACATACACACACAGGTTCTGCAAGGTTGTTATCATAGTTACCAGCCTTAGAGTTGCTCGTGCCAAGCCCCTGGCCAGGTGGCCTGGACATGAGGAGGGAGCAGGGCCTTGTCAGATGCTCATCTGATGCTCCTGGAAGTTGGTTTGCAGAATCAGACCCCAAAGTTCTCACTTTTTAGCGTCTATTTTTATAGGAATTTCTTCCTATGCCAGTCTGTGGGAATTGCTTCTTCATGCTGTTGCTGAATCAATCAGCAGACAGCACATTCCTGACGGCTCCAAGATGTTATCTTGTCCTTTGGTTCTCCCATTCTTGAGGCTGTTGGGTGGATTCCAGTCTGCCCTCCGAGGGGTCCTCTGGTTATTTCCACTTGACGCCTTCTTCAGCCGATGGACACTGGATTCTTAGGCTGGCACCTCCCTGATCATTCAGTTATTATCCACACCAAGCATCCATCCACATACATCTTCTATCTCTATTTTAATCACAATTGTTAATACAACAAACGGGCGGGGAGTCTCTGGGTGCCGTTTCTGTTGTTACAGAGTGTTGCTTTGAGTCTCTCTGTGTGAATTGCTTTGAGAACAGACTCTGTCTTAGAAAGTACTAACGCAATTAGCAGCTTGCAAGTTTCACACATAGAGGGAGAGAAACAGCACCAAAAACCAAGAGACCTTTTAATTAGTAATACCCTGGAATTTCAACTATGGGGAATCAAACTCATTTGTGATTTTAATACAGAACTTCTTTAATATGATCCAACAGGGGAGGGGGCTGCGGCTCAGGAGTGAGGGGCACTGGCGGGGCAGGGGGCTGCAGGTCGGGAGTGAGGGGCACTGGCAGGGCAGGGGGCTGCGGGGCGGGAGTGAGGAGCACTGGCGGGGCAGGGGGCTGTGGGTCGGGAGTGAGGGGCACCGCCGGGGCAGGGGGCTGCGGGTCGGGAGTGAGGGGCGCCGCTGGGGCAGGGGGCTGCGGGTCGGGAGTGAGGGGCGCCGGCGGGGCGGGGGGCTGCGGATCGGGAGTGAGGGGCACCGGCGGGGCGGGGCAGGGGGCTGCGGGTCGGGAGTGAGGGGCACCGCCGGGGCAGGGGGCTGCGGGTCGGGAGTGAGGGGCACCGGCAGGGGGCTGCGGGTCGGGAGTGAGGGGCACCGGCGGGGCGGGGGGCTGCGGGTCGGGAGTGAGGGGCACCGCCGGGGCAGGGGGCTGCGGGGCGGGAGTGAGGAGCACTGGCGGGGCAGGGGGCTGCGGGTCGGGAGTGAGGGGCACCGCCGGGGCAGGGGGCTGCGGGTCGGGAGTGAGGGGCGCCGCTGGGGCAGGGGGGCTGCGGGTCGGGAGTGAGGGGGCGCCGGCGGGGCGGGGGGCTGCGGGTCGGGAGTGAGGGGCACCGGCGGGGGCGGGGCAGGGGGCTGCGGGTCGGGAGTGAGGGGCACCGCCGGGGCAGGGGGCTGCGGGTCGGGAGTGAGGGGCACCGGCAGGGGGCTGCGGGTCGGGAGTGAGGGGCACCGGCGGGGCGGGGGGCTGCGGGTCGGGAGTGAGGGGCACCGCCGGGGCAGGGGGCTGCGGGGCGGGAGTGAGGAGCACTGGCGGGGCAGGGGGCTGCGGGTCGGGAGTGAGGGGCACCGCCGGGGCAGGGGGCTGCGGGTCGGGAGTGAGGGGCGCCGCTGGGGCAGGGGGCTGCGGGTCGGGAGTGAGGGGCGCCGGCGGGGCGGGGGCTGCGGGTCGGGAGTGAGGGGGCAGGCGGGGCGGGGCAGGGGGGTGCGGGTCGGGGTGAGGGGCACCGCCGGGGCAGGGGGTGCGGGTCGGGAGTGAGGGGCACGGCAGGGGCTGCGGGTCGGGAGTGGGGGGCAGCGGGGCGGGGGGCTGCGGGTCGGGAGTGAGGGGACTGGGGGCAGGGGGCTGCGGGTCGTGGAGTGAGGGGGCGGCAGGGCCGGTGGGGCGCTGCGGGGTGGGAGTGAGGGGCACTGGCGGGGGGGGGTGGGGGCGGGAGTGAGGGGCAGGCGGGGGCGGGGGCGGGGGCTGCGGGTCGGGAGTGAGGGGGCCGGCGGGGCTGGGGTCGGGAGTGATGGGCACTGCGGGGAGGGGGCTGCAGGTCGGGAGTGAGGGGCACGGGGGCGGGGTGGGAGGTGGGGTCAGGAGTGAGGGGACCAGGGCGGCGGGGGTGGGTTGGGAGGAGGGGGCGGGGCGGGGCGGGGGTGGGGTCGGGAGTGAGGGGCACGGCGGGGCCAGCAGGGGGCTGCGGGTCGGGAGTGAGGGGCACGGCGGGGCCAGCAGGGGCTGCGGGTCGGGAGTGAGGGACGCGGCCGGCGGGGGCTGCGGTCGGGAGTGAGGGGGGCCGGTGGGGTGGCGGGGGCTGCGGGTCGGGAGTGAGGGGGCGGCGGGGCAGGGGGCTGGGGTCGGGAGTGAGGGGCACGGCGGGGCACGGGGGCTCGGTCGGGAGTGAGGGGACCCGGGGCGGGGCGGGGCTGCGGGTCGGGGTGAGGGGCACTGCCGGGCGGCGGGGGGTCGGTCGGGGTGAGGGGGCGGTGGGGCTGGCGGGGCTCGGTCGGGAGTGAGGGGCGCCGGCGGGGCAGGGGGCTGCGGGTCGGGAGTGAGGGGCACCGGCGGGGCAGGGGGCTGCGGGTCGGGAGTGAGGGGCACCGGCGGGGCAGGGGGCTGCGGGTCGGGAGTGAGGGGCGCCGTCGGGGCCGGCGGGGGGCTGCGGGTCGGGAGTGAGGGGCACCGGCAGGGGGCTGCGGGTCGGGAGTGAGGGGCACCAGCGGGGCAGGGGGCTGCGGGTCGGGAGTGAGGGGCACCGGCAGGGGGCTGCGGGTCGGGAGTGAGGGGCGCCGGTGGGGCCAGCAGGGGGCTGCGGGTCGGGAGTGAGGGGCACCGGCGGGGCCAGCAGGGGGCTGCGGGTCGGGAGTGAGGGGCACCGGCGGGGCGGGGGGCTGCGGGTCGGGAGTGAGGGGCACGGTGGGGCTGGCGGGGGGCAGGCCCCTGGCCCACGCTCTCCCCGTGCTCCGCAGTCATGGACCCCTCGGTGACGCTCTGGCAGTTCCTGCTGCAGCTGCTGGAGCAGCGGAGCAACGGGCACCTGATCGCCTGGACGTCGGCCGACGGCGAGTTCAAGCTGGTGGACGCCGAGGAGGTCGCCCGGCTCTGGGGGCTGCGGAAGAACAAAACCAACATGAACTACGACAAGCTGAGCCGTGCCCTGCGCTACTACTACGACAAGGTGAGCCCCTCGCCCGCCGGGGCCGGGCAGAGAACCCAGGCGTCCGGGCTCCCAGCCCCCCGCTCTAACCACCAGACCCCACCCCCTCCCAGAGCCAGGAGAGAACCCAGGCGTCCCCCCCCCCCCCCCTCTAACCCCCGACCCCCCCTCCCAGAGCCAGGAGAGAACCCAGGCGTCCGGGCTCCCAGCCCCCCGCTCTAACCACCAGACCCCACCCCCTCCCAGAGCCAGGAGAGAACCCAGGCGTCCTGGCTCCCAGCCCCCCGCTCTAACCACCAGACCCCACCCCCTCCCAGAGCCGGGCAGAGAACCCAGGCGTCCGGGCTCCCAGCCCCCCGCTCTAACCACCAGACCCCACCCCCTCCCAGAGCCGGGCAGAGAACCCAGGCGTCCGGGCTCCCAGCCCCCCGCTCTAACCACCAGACCCCACCCCCTCCCAGAGCCAGGGAGAGAACCCAGGCGTCCGGGCTCCCAGCCCCCCGCTCTAACCACCAGACCCCACCCCCTCCCAGAGCCAGGGAGAGAACCCAGGCGTCCGGGCTCCCAGCCCCCCGCTCTAACCACTAGACCCCACCCCCTCCCAGAGCCAGGAGAGAACCCAGGCGTCCTGGCTCCCAGCCCCCACCCTGCTCTATCTTCTCTGTTTCCAGAACATCATCCGGAAGGTCAATGGGCAGAAGTTTGTCTATAAATTCGTCTCATACCCAGAGCCGTCCGGCGTGGAGGGGGCCCAGGAGGAAGGGACGCTCCGGCGGGTGGAGCCAGCCCTGGCTGACTCCCGGCTGGGGGATGGGAGCTCCGGGCCCCCCAAGTCCCTGCGTGGGGGGGGTGTCCCCCGGAGTAGCCGTAACGAGTACATGCGCTCGGGTCTGTACTCCACCTTCACTATCCAGTCGCTGCAGGCGGCCCCCCCTGGGCGAGCGCCCCGCCAGGACCCCCCAGCTCTGTGCAGCGAGCCCTCAGGGCCCCACGACCTGCCCCCCGGGGAGATGGAGGAGATTCCCCAGCTGGAGATCAGCATCGAAGGAGCAGACGAGAGCGAACCCCTGCAGGTGAGATGGCCCTGTCACCCCACCCCAGAGGTAGCTGCATCTCAGCAGCGGGCAAGCCATCCCCATGTGATGTTATATACGGCTTTTCCCCAGCTGCCCCGCCCCAGCACTGTCTGCATTTCTCCATCTTGCCCCCAGGTCTTTGTGGCACCGGAGACCCTGGATGCAGATCACCCCCACCAAGGGGACACACCTCGGCGGGACCCCGGGCTGCGGCCGGTGCTGGTGAAAGTGGAAGCACAGGGGGATGCCGAGGGGTCCCCGCTCCTGGTTCTGATCGACTCGGGGGTGAAGCAGGAAGCCCCGCCCGCCGAGGAGGCTCCCAGGGGGACAGAGGGAGAGCCTCCAGTGGGGGCGGGGCCTCAGGAGGAGAAGGGGGAGAGGGTGCCTGGGGGGGCCCCCAGCGAGGGGCACGGCCCGAAGGGGCGAAAGCCCAAGGACCTGGCGCTGCCGTCCCTGCCCGGGCAGGAGAAGATCAGCGCGGCCAGCGGCTGCCTGCTGGCGCCTGGCGGGGGAGCGGGCAGCGGGCTGACGCCCACCACCGTGATCTCCACGCACGCGCTAGTGAGTGTGGCTATGGGACAGAGGGGGAAGGGCCTGGGGCATAGGGGGAGGGATCTGTGGGTGTGGGAGGGGACTAGGGGGAAGGATCTGTGGGTGGGAGCGGGGCTTGTGATGGGGGTGGGGCAGGGCCAGGGGATTGGAGGTGGGGAAGGGGTCCTTGGGGGGCAGAGGTTGTGGGGAGGGAGCTGGGGTTGGACGGGGGATGGGGGTCTCTCTCTCTCTCTCTCACTTTCCGCCCCCCTCTCCTATGCAGACCCCCGTCCTGCTGACCCCCAGCTCCCTGCCACCCACCATCCACTTTTGGAGCACCCTGAGCCCCATCGCCCCGCACAGCCCCGCCAAGCTCTCCTTCCAGGTATGCAGCGGGCAGCAGGTCGGGCGTGAGGGGCACCGGCAGGGCTGGGGCGGGGGGAGCCCACGGCTGGGCGAATGGGGGGCTGCGGGTCAGGAGTGAGGGGCACCAGCAGGGCTGGGGGGAGCCCAGGGCTGGGCTAGCAGGGGGCTGCGGGTCGGGAGTGAGGGGCACTGGCAGGGTTAGGGCGGGGAGCCCAGGGCTGGGCTAGCAGGGGGCTGCGGGTCGGGAGTGAGGGGCACTGGCAGGGTTAGGGTGGGGAGCCCAGGGCTGGGCTAGCAGGGGGCTGCGGGTCGGGAGTGAGGGGCACTGGCAGGGTTAGGGCGGGGAGCCCAGGGCTGGGCTAGCAGGGGGCTGCGGGTCGGGAGTGAGGGGCACTGGCAGGGTTAGGGCGGGGAGCCCAGGGCTGGGCTAGCAGGGGGCTGCGGGTCGGGAGTGAGGGGTATGGTCAGTGGGTCACTCCCCCACCTCTCCCCACAGTTTCCCTCTAACTCTGGCGGGCAAGTCCACATCCCCTCGCTGAGCATGGATGGACTCTCCACTCCGGTCGTGTTGTCCCCGGGGCCCCAGAAGCCGTGAGTCCATCCGTCCGTCCATCCATCTGTCTCTCTCTGCTGCTCGCGGAGCTGGCGGGGGGAGGGGGGGCGCCCATTCCGCACCTGGATTCTTGTCCCAGCCTTGCGGGACTGTTTACCAGGGTGGCTGGATACGTCCGTGTCCTGCTTCGGGCAGAGAGCCCTGCTTGGTGTCAGCGATGGGACGCGCCTGCTGTCTCGTTTAAAATGGGAGCCGGAGCACGCCGCCATTCCGCCCCTAGGGGGCGCAATGTGGGACATTCCCCTTGGTGCTTGCTTGGCCTTGAGCTGCACCCCCCGACACACACAGAGTTCCTGGGGCCTTGCAGCTCTGACCCCATTCTTCTGGGGTCGTTGTGTTTATTCCCCGCCCTGATGGCTCAGGGTGTATTTTCGATGTGGAAGGATACGTCCCCCGGGAACTTGGGGTGTGGTTTGGCTGCTAGTTGTGGGGCTGATTTTATTTATTACCCAGGGCCTCCTGGCCCTGGTTTGAAACCCTCTGTGGGTAGCCTTTCTTGGCCCCCCCCATGCCATGGCCTCCTCGGAGCTCCTCTTTGTGCGGGCTCTACGTCGGCCATCTTTGTTTTGAAAGGGTAGCCGTGTTGTCCATGTTTGTTGTGGCTGGATGGGGGTGTGTGTGTGTGTGTCGGCCATCTTTGTTTGCTGACACCACATCCCCGTGGTTCCGGTGGAGGAAGAAGTCCTGCTCTCCGCTTCTTGTTCCTTGATTTACTTCCTGGAGGTCAAAGGTCACCTCCTTGAGTCTCCGTAGAAGTGGCAGGCGGAGGAAGTCCTGCCCTAGTTCCCTCCTGAAGGTCGAAGGTTGCCTGTTCGTCACCATGGAAACGGCCAAGAGGGAAGTCCCACCCACTAATTTCAGGGGCCGTTTCCCTCCTTGCAAAGCCTGTTTCCTTGATTTATTTCCTGACGATCAAAGGTCACCGTGGAAATGGCCGCAGAGGAGTCCCATCCCTCACACCTTTCCTAGGGAGGATTCCTTCATTTGCCTCCCATTTGTTGCCTGGGAAATGACAGCAGAGGAAGTCCCGCTTTTTTCAGGACAGTCGTCCTCTTGTTTCCTCCTTTGACTTCCTGCTGGCCCTTGAGCGCCTCTTGTGCAGCCATGGAAATGGCAAAGGAGGAAGTTCTGCCCTGTTTCCACTCTGCTACTTCCTGTTCAAAGCGTGCTGATTCTGGGGAAGTGCCAAAGGAGGACGTCCCGCCTTATTAACCTCTCATCTACTTCCTGCGAATCCAAGGCCACCTATTCTGTGGACGTGGCAAAGGAGGAAGTCCCGCCTTATTAACTTCTCATCTACTTCCTGTGAGTCAAAGGCCACCGATTCTGTGGACAGGGCGAAGGAGGACGTCCCGCCCTTCTCACTGCTATTGACTTCCTGTTAGTCCCGCAAGGCCTGCACTGCATCTAATGGGAAAGGGCTGCCTTGTCTTCTTGTTTTGATACCAAAATTTTCCCGGGCTGTGAACTTCGTGCTCGAGATATAGATCTATATTTTTGTGGGGCCATCCCAAGGGGCTGAAATTTCCGAATGTCATTTATTTAGTGCTCCACGGGATTCCCGGCTCCTTTCTATTTTTCAGAGAGTATATTGATATTATTGAGCTATGTGCATTGATCATATACAAACCTACGGGACTCGGTGGTAATTACCTGCCGGGCCGTCTTTTTTAATATATAAAATGGTTCTATTTTTGAACGGGGAAGAGGGGGGGCTTTTACAACAGAAGTGGGGGAATTGGAAGGGGGGGAAGTGAACTCCCTGGATTTAGGGGAGGGATTCACAGAGCGATTGGAGGCAGTAACACGGCGATGAGCTCTGAATTTCCGTCCCCGTGGTGTAGATCGGGGGACGCTGTCGCTGCTGGCATTAATGGAGCAGGACTCCTGTGTCTGGGAAGGTGGCGTCAGCTGAATGGGGGTGGGAGGGGGGTGTAATTGGATGGCAATTTTGGCTGTGGCCCGGTTGTCTCACTAATTGGCCAACAGACACCTTTCTGCTTGAAAGGCAGTGTCGTCCGCCTCTCTGGGGTGACCCACCTCCTTCCCCTCAGGGTGCTTTTGAACTGTCGTAATCATGCTGATTTGCACTGGCAAGGCCCCTCGGCTCTGGCCGTCTCCGCCCGGTGCATCAGGCACTTTGGACGACCTGTGAGACACTGGCGAGGCACCCAGGAGCGGCTTCAGGGAGACCAAGCTGGGCCGAATCCATGCACGAGCCATGGCTGAGCCTAGAGCCAAGCACAGTGAGGCCAGGAGGGTGCCGGGGAATGGGCTCCAGCGAAGCCCCAGCTGAGACACGCTAACGATGAGTCACACACATGGTGCTGTGAGGCCAACATGGATGAGCCATGAATAAAACACATGCAACATGTGAGTAAACTACGAGGAGCACACATGTAAACCATGGGTCAGTCACGTGTGAAATAGGGGAAAGTCATGAGTAAGCCATCTGTAAACCATGTGTAACCCATGAGCAAACCACAAGTAACCCATGAGCAGAACACGTGCTGCCATGTGTTGGACATGAGTGGACCCCACATGCTCTCTCTGCCAGCTCGCCGGGTTTTCAGAGCTGTTCTCTGCTGTGGGGGAGAGACCCTGGCCCTGTTTTTACCCCCCGTGCCTCCCCCATTGGGGTCGCCAGCTGCCGCACCCTGCCGCACCCTCTGTCCCGAAGCCGCAATGTGGAGGGGTTGAGCTGTTTAGCTTCCTGTGGGGCAAGGAGGGAGCAGTTTGGGGGCCAGTGGCCGGGGGGGCCAGTGGGGACCTGGGCCTGGCTGGCGACTGATGTGGCTTGGAGATTTCCAGCCTGGGGAATTTATCTAACCATGTATTGCACACTATGGTAGGATCCCAGGCTCCAATCCAGAATGGGGAGTGGATCCCAGGATCCCACCATGGTGTGTTGGAGTGGATCCCAGGATCCTACCATGGTGTGTGGGAGTGGATCCCGGGGTCCTACCATGCAGTGTGGGAGTGGATCCCATGATTCAACCATGGTGTATGGGAGTGGATCCCAGGATCCTACCGTGGTGTGTGGAAGTGGATCCCAGGATCCTACCATGCAGGGTGGGAGTGGATCCTGTGATCCCACCACACTTTGTGAGAGTAGATCCTGGGATCCCAGGTACCATGTGGGAGCTGATGCTGGGATCCTGTTTTGCCAAAGAGGAGCAGATCCCAGGATCCTGCCGTGCTGGGGTGGATCCGAAGGCAGCAACCCTCCCCCCCCTGTTCTTCCCCATCCATGTCCCTGTCTCTGCCTTGTTAACCCCGGCCCTGCCCCCCGTCTGTCCTCCCCCAGGGTGGGATGGGGCACGTGCTCGGCGCGATGACTCCCCCTGGTGACCCTGCCCTGTAAATAAATCTATTTTTAAACGATCTAATCGGCCACCGTTGTCTCTCAGCTGGGGGGAGGCGGGGCACCGGGCGCCAGGACCCTGGTGGAGGGGTGGGCAGGTTGGCAGTGCGGGGTGGGGACCGAGTTGCTCGGGGCCCTGGGCAGGGATAAACTGGGGGTGGGGCAGTGTGGCGGGAAATGGATGGAGGTTGCTGACTCCCCCCCGTCCGTCTGCTCCCGGCCTCAAGCCCCTTGTCATGGTGGGGCCATGGCTGGGCCTGGGGCGACCGCCGTTCCGGGGCCCCCAATGAGGGGGGGAGATCCATCGGGGGAGGGGTCAGGGGGGAGCCATGAGGACGCGTTATGGCCTGAGAGATGCCAGGCGCGCCAGCTGTTTGGTGTCACGGAGAGCCCCGGGGTGGGGGTGGGGGGCAGACATTTACTGCCGGGCCCCACAGGCCAGCAGCGGCCGGGCGAACCCCCGCCCATGGCGGCTCCAGCACCGCATGCCTTGGCCCTGGGAAGTTCCCTCCCCCCGTGCCTGGCTGCGAGGCCTTGGGAAAGACGCACCTTTGTGCTACTTCTCTGTGTGTGTGTGTGTGTGTGTGTGTGTACAGATCGGAGAGGCGATTGAGGGAGGGGCAGCTCCCCCTTGACACCCCAAATATAGGCCTGGGGTGTGTGTGTGGAGGCAGGGTTTGGGGCAGTGATATCCCCCCCCCCCCTTGCAAATTGTTCCATGTGTCTCCTGCCCAGGTTCAGGGCTGCCAAAGGCATGTCTTGGAGGTGTCGAAGTGGGGGGCCCAGCGGGGGGCAGGGAGGGGCAGGGGGTCCCCCTCTGCCTCTCCCAGGCTGATGAGGGGGGCATAGATCTAGCTGAGCAGGAGGGTGGCCGGGGGCTGCCGGTAGGGCTCGAGGGCAGCCCGGTAGCCCAGTTCCCTCAGCCGCCGGCCAGCGTAGCGGCCCAGCATCACTGTGCACAGGGCCGCCAGCAGGGAGCCCGTCACGGCCGCCAGGGCCGCGCCGCCCGGCCCCCGCCCTGCCAGCCCCAGCCCCGCCCTGGTCACGTTCAGGCAGGCCCGCTGCGTGCCCGGGGCCGCTGGGGCAGAGGCGGTTGTGAGGGAGAAGTCCTCGGTCGCGCGGGAGGATGCCGCGGTTGCCGCAGCGGATACGGTTGCTAAGGAAGATGCAGCAGTTGCCAGAGAGGTTCCAGTTGCTAGGGAGGTGGCGATTGCTGTGGGGAAGGATGCGGTTGCTAGGGAGGTGGCGATTGCTGTGGCGAAGGATGCGGTTGCTAGGGAGGCCGGTGCTCTGGAGGATGCTGTTGCTATGGCGGTCGCCAGGGTGGACGCTGTGCTCTCTGGGGGCGAGGCCGCGGTGGCCAGGGTGGGTGTTTCCGTGGCCCCCAGGGTCGTGCAGATCTCGTAGCGCGTGGCCGGCTGCAGGTGCGTCAGGTTGACCTGCTGGCTGCCCAGCGGCACCTGCGGTGGGGGCTGTGGATGTACATGGTGGCCGAGGCCCAGCGCGGACCGGGGGTCTGGGAGGCCAGCAAGGCCCCGGGGGGGGCCCATGGAGACCAGCCCCCCCCCCAGTCCACTCCACCACCACAAAATGGGACTGGACCTTCTTCATATGCAAGGCTGGACCACCCCTGCCCCCAAGCCCCCCTCTGGGCTCCGCGCCGCGCCCCCCTCCCTCCACCCCCCAGCACTTCCAGCGCCAGGGCGCGGCTGCCAGAGCCCGCCTCGTTCTGCGCCACGCTCGTGTATTGCCCAGCATGGGCCAGTCCCACCCCCGACCAGCTCCAGGGCCCCCCCCGGGCCGGCCCCAGCCAGGAGATCTCCGGGGGCAGCTCGGCGCTGGCCGGGCAACTCAGGGTGACGGAGCCGCCGGGCGCCACCCCCAGCCTCTCGGGCCAGCCCCGGGGGGGGAACGCCGGGGGGCAGCCCCGGCCCCCGCCGCCCTCCAGCCCCTCCCGCAGCAGCCGGCCGGCCGCGCCCGGGGGGGCCGCGCAGAGGGTGGCCCCGGGGTCCACCCGCCGCAGCCGGGCCAGCCCCAGCCAGGCGGCTGGGCGGTCGCAGCGCAGCGGGTTGCCCCGCAGGCTGAGGGCGGCCAGGCTGGGCAGGGAAGCCAGCAGCCGGCCGGGCAGCAGCCCCAGGGCCCCGTCGGTGGCCAGCAGGGTGTGCAAGGCCGGCGCCCCCTGCAGGGCGGCCGGGGGCAGGTAGGCCAGGCGAGGGTGGGGGTTCAGGTCCGGCTTGGCCAGCTGGGGCAGGCCGGCGAAGGCCCCCTCGGCCGCCCCGGTGAGCTCCTCCAGGGCACCGAGGCTCAGCTGCTCCAGGCGCGGGGTGCCCCGGAAATCGCCCGCCCGCAGCTCCCTGATGGGGTTCTTCTTCAGCTCCAGGAACTTGAGCAGGGGCGGGCGGCGCAGGGCGGCCGCCGGCACCCGGGCCAGCCGGCTACCGAAGAGCGAGAGGCCCCTGGAAGGCCTCGGCCGGCAGGTCCCGCAGCCCCACGCCGGCCAGCACCGAGCTGTCAGCCGCCCCAGGGGCCGGAAGCCGCCCGGCTCCAGCCGCAGGATGGGGCTCTCGCCGAGCACGTGGAGCTGCAGGCGGGGCAGGGGCAGGAACCAGCGGGGGCCCACGGCCCGCAGCCGGTTGGCGTTGCGGAGCAGCCGGGCCAGGCCGGCCAAGGCCGAGGGGGCGACGGAGAGCAGGCGGTTGTGATCCAGGGAAAGCTCCTCCAAGGCCGCCAGCCCCCGCGGGTGGAGGGTGAGGAGGCGGGGCAGGCTGGCCAGGCGGCTCCGGGACAGGTCCGGCTCCGTGAGGTTCGGCAGGTGCTGGAGCGTGCCGGGGAGCCGGGCGATCTCGTGGCTCTGCCGTAGCAGGACCTGGGTGTCCGGGGCAAGGGCGGGCGGCACCCGGGTCAGCAGCCGGTCGTTGCCGTCCACGGCGTGGGCCTGGCGGGCGAGGGACTGCGGCGTGAGCCAGGGCCGGGTGTCGCACACGCACTGCGGCGAGCAGGAGGCCAGCCTGGCGCAGCAGGGCCCGGAGGGGCACCCTTGTCCTGGGCCGGCCGGCAGCCCCCCGGAGGAGGGGGCACGGGGGGCCAGGGGGTGCGGCCGGAGGAGGAGACGTTACGGGAACTGCGCCCCAGGGGCATCTGGGAGAGAGGGAGGGTGACACTTCGATGGACAGCGGCACGGAGAGCCCCCCCCACCCCACCGCATCCCCCAGTGCCCGGCCCTGACTGCTAGGGGAGAGCCCCATGCCGAGACCCCCACCCTACTCCCTGCCCCACAGCGCCCCCTAGTGCCCAGCCCTGGCTGCCAGGGGAGAGCCCTGTGCCAAGCCCCCTGCCCCACGGTGCCCCCCAGCGCCCGGCTCTTCCTACTATTGTCAGGAGATGGCTGTGTTTCTGCCCCCACCCAGGGCCCTGCACCCCCAATCTGTCCTTTCCAGTTGGCTCGTGGAGATTTGCTGGCATAGGGGGCTGGCAGCAACAGGGAATGCTGGGTAATTGCTGACCTATTTAAATCACTGCAAAGCACCAGTTCCCCCCACCCCACCCCACAGCACCCCCCAACTCCCGGCCCCTCCCTCCAGCACCACATAAAGGAGGAGTTGGCGGGGGGCCTCAACCCCAACCCGTTGCTCATAGGGTGTGAGGGGCACCGGCAGGGCTGGGGGCACAGGACCTAGATATTGGCTGGAGGCCAGGCGTGGGGGGGCCGATTTGCTTCCATCCTGGAGCGGAAGCAACAGAAGCCAAATGTGGTGAAGGGGCGTCTAAAAATAGACCCCTCAGAGAAGGCGGCCGGGGGGGGATTTGGGATGGAGGCGCATCAGCCCTGGGCTCCCCCAGCCCTGCCGGTGCCCCTCACTCCCGACCCGCAGCCCCCTGCTAGCCCAGCCCTGACCCCCGCCCTGCCGGTGTCCCTCACTCCAGACCCGCAGCCCCCTGCTAGCCCAGCCCTGACCCCCGCCCTGCCGGTGTCCCTCACTCCAGACCCGCAGGCCCCTGCTAGCCCAGCCCTGGGCTCCCCCCAGCTCTGCCCTATGGCCACGTTCCCAGGCTGTGGGCTGTGGGGCTGCTGGGGGAGGCCAGGAGCAGGAAACAGCTTAAAAAACAAAAACAAAGTATCAAAGGGAAAATGCGGAGATGGGGGGGCGGGCAGGGCTGGGAGCCCAGACTCCTGGCTTCTCTCCCTGGCTCTGGGAGGGGAGTGGGGGCTGGTGGGTCAGAGCAGGGTGGGCTGGGAGCCAGGACTCCTGGGTTCTCTCCTCAGCTGGTGGTGGGGGGGGGCAGGGGAGCAGCTCTACTGAGGGTGGGGGTGGAAATCTCACGCCCACAATTGCCTGGTTTCCTGTTCCAGGGTCTGACAGTTGGGTGCAGGAGGCTCATGAATATTGATGAGGCTTTTGAATAATTGAGCCAGTTCCCAGCAGCCCCTGCTCTGTGCTGACCCCATTCCTGATGCTGCATCAGCACGCCCTGGGTGGGGGAGGCTGAGCAATGAGGGCGTGTGCCTGGGGGTCCCCCTGCTGGATACCCCGTGTGTGGGCTCCCGTTGGGCTCCAGGACGGGGACTGGTTGGCTAAGGGGGTGAAGAATGGGGCACCGGGCCTGGCCCCTCGAGGGGGCACAGAGTCTGATTTGCTCACAGATATGTTTATAGCGAGATGGTCGGGTATGTGAATGGATAGAGAATGGGTGTGTAGGGATAGATGGATGGATGGGTAGATGGGGTGTAGGGGACCGATGGGGCATAGATGGGGTGTATGTGGATGGGTAGATGGGGTGTAGGGGGATGATGGGGCATAGATGGGGTGTATGTGGATGGATGGATGGGTAGATGGGGTGTAGGGGGATGATGGGGCATAGATGGGGTGTATTGGATGGATGGATGGGTAGATGGGGTGTAGGGGGGTGATGGGGCATAGATGGGGTGTATTGGATGGATGGATGGGTAGATGGGGTGTAGGGGGCTGATGGGGCATAGATGGGGTGTATGTGGATGGATGGATGGGTAGATGGGGTGTAGGGGACCGATGGGGCATAGATGGGGTGTATTGGATGGATGGATGGGTAGATGGGGTGTAGGGGGATGATGGGGCATAGATGGGGTGTATTGGATGGATGGATGGGTAGATGGGGTGCAGGGGGATGATGGGGCATAGATGGGGTGTATGTGGATGGTTGTATGGATGGGTAGATGGGGTGTAGGGGACCGATGGGGCATAGATGGGGTGTATTGGATGGATGGATGGGTAGATGGGGTGTATGTGGATGGATGGATGGGTAGATGGGGTGTAGGGGGATGATGGGGCATAGATGGGGTGTATTGGATGGGTAGATGGGGTGTAGGGGACCGATGGGGCATAGATGGGGTGTATGTGGATGGATGGATGGATGGGTAGATGGGGTGTAGGGGGATGACGGGGCATAGATGGGGTGTATTGGATGGATGGATGGGTAGATGGGGTGTAGGGGGGTGATGGGGCATAGATGGGGTGTATTGGATGGATGGATGGGTAGATGGGGTGTAGGGGGGTGATGGGGCATAGATGGGGTGTATTGGATGGATGGATGGGTAGATGGGGTGTAGGGGGATGATGGGGCATAGATGGGGTGTATTGGATGGATGGATGGGTAGATGGGGTGTAGGGGGATGATGGGGCATAGATGGGGTGTATTGGATGGATGGATGGGTAGATGGGGTGTAGGGGGATGATGGGGCATAGATGGGGTGTATTGGATGGATGGATGGGTAGATGGGGTGTAGGGGACTGATGGGGCATAGATGGGGTGTATTGGATGGATGGATGGGTAGATGCGGTGTAGGGGGATGATGGGGCATAGATGGGGTGTATTGGATGGATGGATGGGTAGATGGGGTGTATGTGGATGGATGGATGGGTAGATGGGGTGTAGGGGGGATGATGGGGCATAGATGGGGTGTATTGGATGGGTAGATGGGGTGTAGGGGACCGATGGGGCATAGATGGGGTGTATGTGGATGGATGGATGGATGGGTAGATGGGGTGTAGGGGGATGACGGGGCATAGATGGGGTGTATTGGATGGATGGATGGGTAGATGGGGTGTAGGGGGATGACGGGGCATAGATGGGGTGTATTGGATGGATGGATGGGTAGATGGGGTGTAGGGGGGTGATGGGGCATAGATGGGGTGTATTGGATGGATGGATGGGTAGATGGGGTGTAGGGGGATGATGGGGCATAGATGGGGTGTATTGGATGGATGGATGGGTAGATGGGGTGTAGGGGGATGATGGGGCATAGATGGGGTGTATTGGATGGATGGATGGGTAGATGGGGTGTAGGGGGATGATGGGGCATAGATGGGGTGTATTGGATGGATGGATGGGTAGATGGGGTGTAGGGGACTGATGGGGCATAGATGGGGTGTATTGGATGGATGGATGGGTAGATGCGGTGTAGGGGGATGATGGGGCATAGATGGGGTGTATTGGATGGATGGATGGGTAGATGGCTAGAGGAGGTGTGTGGTACTCCTGGGTGAATTCTGCTCCAAAGAATTAAAAATTCTGCGCACACACAGAAAATTCTGCATACAATATTTTAAGATTCTGCAAATTTTATTTGTCAAATAAATGTGGTGGCTCCACCCTGGCCCTGGGGAGCAGCGGCCGCTGGCAGCACAGAGGGGGGAGATCGCGCTGCACCTGCCCCCACCTCCACCCCGGGCCACGGACTCAGCGGTGAGGCTGCACCCAACCCTGACACAGCGCAAGGACTGGGCTTGCCCCAGGGCCTCCCTCTGTGCCAGGCGCACCAGGTGTGGGCAGGCTGGCTCAGGAAGGCAGGATCCCAGTGTGGAGGGGCTCAGTGTGGGGGGAATCCAGGTGTGGGGTGAGCAGGTTCTGTGTGGGTGCAGGTGGCTTAGTGGGGGATCCAGGGGCGGGGCAGATCTGGATGCACAGGGGCTTGTTGGGGGGATCTGGGTGTGACGGTAATGCGACTCTGCAGGGGGGTCTGGTGAAGGTGGTTGGGGGTCTGGGTGTGGCAAAGACAAGCGGGGGGCAAAATACCCCGGGGACCCTGCGTACACTCGGGGGGGGGGGGGGACAAATCTCAGGGAAAATAAAAGAAATCCCCAGGCACAATGAGGTCAAGTGCCAATTAGCGCCCATCCGGCGACACCGCCGCCTCCGGGGGGCTGTCTGTGGCCCAGAGCTGCCGGGCCCTGGTTTGTGGGGGTGCTCTGAGATCCCAGGCAAGCAGCAAAAGTCACCTGGGGGGGGGTTGAGACCGCCGTGAAACGCCAGCGGGGGAGGGTGACGCCAATGAGGGAGGGGGAGAAATTAGTCGGGAAAAGAGTGGAAGAAAGTTAGTGAAAACCACGGAGGTTTGGGGTGGGGGTTTTTGGCGGGGGGGGGGGGGACACGAACACACCAGATGGACAGACACACCAGACTGTCCTCACTGCACCTCCCCAGTGGAGCAAGTCATCTATCAACCCAGGAGTCCCAGCTCCCAGCCCCCCAGCTCTAACCCACCAGACCCCGCTCCCCTCCCCGAGCCAGGGAGAGAACCCAGGAGTCCCGGCTCCCAGCCCCCCTGCTCTAACCACTAGACCCCACTCCCCTCCCCAAGCCAGGGAGAGAACCCAGGAGTCCCGGCTCCCAGCTCCCCCTGCTCTAACCCACCAGACCCCACTCCCCTCCCCAAGCCAGGGAGAGAACCCAGGAGTCCTGGCTCCCAGCCCCCTCTGCTCTGACCCACTGACTCAAACTTCCTCTTTGGGGTTTGTCCTATCATTCACAGCAGCTGTGACCAGAAGGTCAGTTTGGTCTGAGACCCCTGATCCCAGCCCCCCCCGGCCACCACACATACCTCCAACCCCTGACCCCCCCCCAACCCCCACTGCACTATATTCAGGGATGGAGAGTGCGGGGGAGGGGAGGGAGGCTCAGGTGTGAGTGATGGAAACTTTCAAACCCAAGCTCGGGGCTCGCCCTGCCCCCCATGTCCCGTCCTTCCCAAGTGCTAATTGGAGTGCTAATTGGAGAGAGACATGGAGGTGCGGGCCGGGGGGAGAATGGACAGACAGACAGAGGGAGGGAGGGATGGACAGGCAACCGGTGGGATGGATGGTGAACAGACAGACAGCACAGTGTTTGGATGGACAGACGGATGGACGCAGATGGACTGACGAACAGATGGACAGATGGATGGCGTGGTGGTGGACGGATGGATGGAGGGATGGATGGACGGACACCATGGTGGGTGGATGGATGGATGGATGGAGGGACAGAGGGATGGACAGACGGGTGATGGATGGTGTGGTGGGTGGATAGATGTACAGATAGACTGACGGGTGGATGGATGTGCGGTGGGTGGATGGACAGACAGACAGGTGGATGGACGGACGGATGGATGCAGGGGCAGGCAGGTGGATGGGGGGGACAGGTGAATGGATGGATGGATGGGTGGTGTCACGGAGTCCCTGGACGATGCTCTGGGCCTGCTCCCCATGAAGCCAGTCAGGACTCTGGGGAAGTCTCCTTTCTGGGAGCAGCCTGTCTGCAGGACACACAGCTCCCCCGGCTTCCACCTTCCTGGGTCTGACCTTGGAGCATTCAGCCTCCTTTGCCCCTCCGTGCGCTTCCCACAGCGAGTCCACCCAGGCGGGGTCCTGGGGAAGCCAGAGGGTCCTGCCCCCCGACTCCGCAGTCAGACGGGACTCTCAGCCAGCCGGGGAAACAGGGGTTTATTAGACGACAGGAACATGGTCTAACACAGAGCTTGTAGGTGCAGAGAACAGGACCCCTCAGCTGGGTCCATTTTGGGGGGCAGTGAGCCAGACAACCACGTCTGCCCTTCACTCCTCGTCCCCAGCCAGCCCCAAACTGAAACTCCCTCCAGCCCCCCCCTCCTCTGGGCTTTGTTCCTTTCCCGGCCCAGGTGGTCACCTGATTCCTTTGTTCTCCAACCCTTTAGCTCTCACCTTTGGGGGGGGGGGGGGAAAGGGCCCAGGCCATCAGTTGCCAGGAAACAGGGTGTCGGCCATTCTCTGTGTCCAGACTCCTGCACACACCTGCCCTCTAGGGCTCTGCAACGATCATACCCCCTTTTCCCACCACCTAGATACTTAAGAACTGCCTACGGGAAACTGAGGCACCCCCACACTATTCAGAGGAAACATTAAGAAAAGTCCCACTTCATCACAGAAGGACAGGTGGATGGAGGGATGGATGGATGGGTGACGGACAGGTGGACAGACAGGCGGGTGGATGGACAGACAGGTGATGGACAGGCGGTGTGTGGATGGATGCACGGACAGACAGGTGATGGAGGGACAGACAGGTGGATGGACGGACAGAAGGGTGCACGGACAGGTGGGTGGACGGTTGGGTGGACAGACAGGTAGATGGACGGACAGGTGGACAGACAGGTGATGGACAGGCGGGTGGACAGACAGGTGGATGGACGGACGAGTGGACAGACAGGTGATGGAGGGACAGACAGGTGATGGACAGGCGGGTGGAAGGACGGACAGATGGGTGCAGGGGCAGGTGGATGGACAGACGGGTTATGGAAAGACAGGTGATGGAGGGACAGACAGGTGATGGACAGGCGGGTGGATGGACGGACAGATGGGTGCACGGGCAGGTGGATGGACGGACGGACGGGTGATGGACAGGCGGGTGCATGGGTGGACAGGCAGGTGGATGGATGGACAGATGGGTGCAGGGGCAAGCGGCCGTCGGGGCCGTCGGGGGGGACCCCGCGAGGCAGCTCCGGCCTCCCCGGCTCCCAGACACCTCTGGGAGTCCCGGCACCAGCAGCTGGGGGGTGGGGAGGAAACAGACTGGCCACGCCCCCCTGGGTGACGGAGGGCGGCTCCGGCCAATGGGGGACGAGGGGCCACCCACAAAGAGACCACATCGAAATGGGGAGGGGGGATGATGTCACGAGGGAGCGGCTCAGCCCTTGGTGGGTGACAAAATTGGGGGCAGGGAGCCCGGACTCCTGGGTTCTCTCCCCGGCTCTGGGAGGGGAGCGGGCTCTAGTGGTTAGAGCAGGTGGGGGCTGGGAGCCCGGACACCTGGGTTCATTCTGTCCCATCCACCCATAGTGAGAAGACTGTCGGATTCACAGGGGTGATGCTGCCAGGTGACTTCCAGGGATTCACTCCCCCCCCCCCCCGCCGGGTCTGGGAACCTGCCCCCAGGGATCATCAGGGAGTGGCTGGAAACCTCACATCTCAGGGATCCGGGGGGGAGGTGTTGGTGTCTCCAGGAGAGCGGCTGCAGGGAGTTGACCCTGCCAGTGCCCCCCACTCCCGACCCGCAGCCCCCTGCCAGCCCGGCCCTGCCCCCTCCTCCCCCGTGACCCTCGCTTCTTCCCAGCCGAGCTTCCCCTCGGTTTTTAGGAGCCCATCTGTGGCCGAGGGTTTAGGCCCATGTGTGTTTTGTGGTCAGGGGCGCCCTCGCGTGGCCGCGTGTGGGACTGTCCCGATGCGGCTGCAAACCGGCCAGGCTTGGGCTAGGGGTCTGCTGGGGCCTGGCCCCCCATAGGGGAAAGTCCAGGAGGGGTGGGGTGGGGGCTAGATGAGGAGTCCCCCCTCCTTGCTAAATGGTGAGTGGGACGAAGCCTGTGCCCATGGGAAGGGGTGGCTCAGTGAGGAAAGCAGGATTGGGACCAGACAAGCAGGCAGGCGACAGATACAGATTGACCGTTATAAAGCGTCCAAATCCCAAGGCCACACACCACTTGGGTCTGGCAACAAGTGCCGGTCAGTTTTGCAACTTTGACCGAAAGATCCAAGTGGATTTTTAGGGGTATTATTTCAAACCAAACCAAAACCAATTCGTTTTAAACCTACAAAACAGAGGGTTACAAGCCAGGAGTGTTGGTTTAGGTCCTTAAAACAGGGGTGGGCAAACTTTTTGGCCAGAGGAAGGTGAGAACTGTCCACAAATGGCAGCACAAAGATGACACAGATAAAGGACAGACCCGGTCAGCAAACAAACTACCTGAAACTAAAAGGCTCAAAGTATGACCTTCCAGAGGAAACAGAGTCACACCTCAGACAGGTTAACTGTAAGTAAAAAAATCAAAAATCAGGGCTGAAATTTGAAGACAGGTACAAAAGGGGTCTGCTGACAGGCCTGGCACCCCTACTTCTTAATTCACCCAAACCCCAAGGATATAATTAAATTTAAAAACCCCGTGCAAAGATTTCAAGAGGACGTTGAGCACAAGGGCTTCAAAAACAAATGGCCTAAAGAAAAGGCAAGGGTATAACAAGCTGCTTTTAATAGGTTTGATGTTAATATTAAACATCGGGATACATTTCATGTTCATAAGCACCCCTGTAACCATGGATGGTGTGTATGGTTTTTGGAAAACGCCTTTAAGGTCATAGGGTAATGATCCTTCTCAGCTATTACCTGTGAATAAACTTAAAGCCTAGCACAGCAGAAAAAAACATTACAAACTTGGTCTGCTGTATAAGAAGGGAAACTGAGGCATGCCACCACCTGAATTTAATAACTGAACAGTGGAATAATCCACCCTTACAAGGTAGAAGCCATTGCAACCTGGCCAGCCCATAGACCGAACACACAGGAAAGTAGGGGGTTAATTCCTCTGTTTTGCCTGCAATCAGCAAAGGTATTTGTAAAAGGAAGGGATATTTTAAGCAATAATCTGCCACCCCCAACGGGGTAGAACCAGGTTCTTTTGGTCTTTCAGACAATCAGGAAAAGCTCGCGTGCAGGGTACTGTCACGGGGACTCCCGGAGCACTGTATGACCCAGCTGCAGGACCTTTGGTGGGGGGCTGTCCGGGGGTATGTGTGTGGAGGGGGTGGGGGTGAATATGTTTATAGCATGTGCTGATTTCAATGCTTAAATTGTACTCTCAAGTAACGCGGCGTGTTGCCTTCTCCCCTTTAAAAAGATTCTGTGTGCTGCTTATAAGCGTAACAACCGTGGTGCCTACGTTCCACCAACCACGTCCCCCCGGCGCCTACGTTCCACCAACCACGTCCCCCCAGGTGCCTACGTTCCACCAATCACGTCCCCCCGGCGCCTACGTTCCAACAACCACGTCCCCCCAGCGCCTACGTTCCACCAACCACGTCCCCCCAGGTGCCTACGTTCCACCAACCACGTCCCCCTGGGTGCCTACGTTCCACCAACCACGTCCCCCCGGCGCCTACGTTCCACCAACCACGTCCCCCCAGGTGCCTACGTTCCACCAACCACGTCCCCCCGACGCCTACGTTCCACCAACCACGTCCCCCCAGGTGCCTACGTTCCACCAATCACGTCCCCCCAGGTGCCTACGTTCCACCAACCACGTCCCCCCAGGCGCCTACGTTCCACCAATCATGTCACCCCATCGCCTACGTTCCACCAATCACGTCCCCCCGGGTGCCTACGTTCCATCAACCACGTCCCCCCGGCGCCTACGTTCCATCAACCACGTCCCCCTGGCGCCTACGTTCCAACAACCACGTCCCCCCAGGTGCCTACGTTCCATCAACCACCTCCCCCCGGCGCCTACGTTCCAACAACCACGTCCCCCCAGGTGCCTACGTTCCATCAACCACGTCCCCTTGGCGCCTACGTTCCACCAATCATGTCACCCCATCGCCTACGTTCCACCAACCACGTTCCCCACGGCCACCTTGGTGGCTGACCCCGCCTCGCTCCATTGCGGTGACTCTCCCGGGGCAAGGGGGCCCCGATCCCGCGGGGACCAGTCGCCGTGCAGGGCGACCTGGGCCAGGCTGGCACGTGAGGAGAACCCTTCACCGGCCTGGGTCGGTCGTTCCCATCGCTCAGTCCCTCGCCCCCATTCAAAAAGTGCCTCTTCTTCCGACCCCACGGGCCCCGGGGGCCACCTGGTGCCGTCCGTTGGCTGGGTCCAGGCGACGGCCGCGCTGCCTGGGACAGTGCCCAAGTCAGGGAAGCGGTTGACCATACAGGGGACTGGTGGAGCCGGACTGAGCTCCTGTCGCTGGGGTTGGCCCTTCGCCCGTTTCCTTGTTTGCTCAGGGTCTGGCTTCACTCGGCTGCTGACTCAAGGGATTTGGTTACCCTGGAAGCCAGGGTCCTTCCTCATTCCCCGCTCACGGGCCGCCCTGTCGCCGCCGTGGCCCCGGCCAGCAGATTTCGCGGCCGAGGTCCAGGATGTAGCTGTGTGGCCCCCTCCCCACCTGGTTCCGGTTCCTTCTCGCCTGCCCCGCTGACCGGGTGTCGCTCTTCTCCGAAACAACTTCCCTGTCTGCCCCCTTCCCCGGGGTCCCCGTCCCGCATTGGCCCAAGGGCCCCCCAGAGACCGGGGCGCGGCGTAGCCAGGGGAGCCAAGGGGCTAGTCTGCCTGGCTAGGCCCCCTGTTGCTCCGTGGCCCTGGGGCCTCTGCTCTGAGCCACGGGCACCGAGCCAGGCGCTGGGCGAGGCCGGAGATCAGGGCTTTGTGACCATGTGCCCGGGGGCCTCATCCCCTGCCCGCTCTCCCCTGGGCCCCCCGGGGTTTTTTCTACTCCATGAGCTGGTCGTTTGGTTCGCCCCCAGGGCCAGTCCTAGCAGCCGGGAGGGTGGGGGCCAGGGTGAGCTGATAATGGGGGCGGGGTATTTTGCTCCTTTGGGGGGGGTGACGGACTGGAGGGGGAAGCCCGAGAGCCCGGCAGTTACAAATATGGGAGGGGACAGATTTAGGGGGGGCCCTGTTTGGTGGGTGGGGAGGCAGATGGGGGGGCCCTGCACGGTGAGGGGGAGGCAGATGGGGGGAACTTTCTGTGCACTTGGAGCCACAGTGGGGTAGCACGAAATCCCAAGTTACAAGGCGGGGGGGTGACAACCGCCCCCCATTGCTGGTGATCTCTGAGACCTCACCGTGCGGAGGTGGCTGGGGGCGTTGGACACCCCCCCACACTTCCCCCCCTGCGAACCCAGGCCCGGCCGGCCCCTCAGAGGCCAAAGCCAGGGAGCAAAGTCCAAGGTCCTGGCTGGGTGTGGGGAGAATGAGGGTCCCCCCGTGCTGCCCCCTCCCCAAGGAGCTGGAAGGAGACAGCCCAGGGCTGGGGAGGCTCAGGGTCCCCCCAAGCCCCCAGTTCCCCTCCCCCCTTGCAGAGCAAGTGCCAGGGGGAAGTCCCGCGGGGGGAGTGGCTGATGGGAATATCCTCCCCCCGCTCCACACCCGCGGCTCAGTCGCTCTCTGGCGAGGCATCTGTGCAGCCGCTGTCCGTCCGTCTGTCTGTCCGTCCATCCCAGCCCCATGGAGGGGGCCGTGACCTCTGGCCTCTTGCTGGCCCTGTGCTGGGCGCTGGCCCCATCTGCAGGTACCGGGATGGGGGGGTTTCTGTGTGTCTGAGCCGAGTGGGCCCCCACCCCCGTCTGTCCGTCTGTCTGGTCTCACCCTCTCACCCCCCCCCCCCCCGCAGAGGCCCAGGAGGGGCTTTGCTATGAGCAGTTCGGGGCCGGCAAGTGCAAGGAGTTGCTGGGTGAGGACGTGCCCAAGGCTGACTGCTGCCTGAACCCCGACTACGGGTACCAGCCCCGCGCCGGGGCACCCTGCCAGTCCTGCCGGTGAGTGCCCCCCCGACCCCCCCCCACTGCTCCCTGAACCCTGAGTACGGGTACCCGCCCCACGCCGGGGCACCCTGCCAGTCCGGCCGGTGAGTGCCCCCCCAGAGCCCCCCCACTGCTGCCTGAACCCCGACTACGGGTACCGGCCCCGCGCCGGGGCACCCTGTCAGTCCTGCCGGTGAGTGCCCCCCCAGAACCCCCCCACTGCTCCCTGAACCCCGACTACGGGTACCCACCCCACGCCGGGGCACCCTGCCAGTCCTGCCGGTGAGTGCCCCCCCAGAGCCCCCCCACTGCTCCCTGAACCCCGACTACGAGTACCGGCCCCACGCCGGGGCGCCCTGCCAGTCCTGCCCGAACCCCAACCCTCGCCCCTAACTCCAGCCCATCCACCCCTCGCCTCAGCCCCTAACGCTGGGCCCAGCAATCCGCCAAAGGCTACGACAGGCACCTGGCCCAACCCCCCCTGACCCCGCTGCCCTCCCCGCAGCCAGGCCGAGTGGAGCGACTGGACGCCCTGGGGCCCCTGCTCCGTGTCCTGCAGGGAAGGGGTGCAGAGACGTAGCCAGACCTGCCAGGGGCAGGGCCAGTGCTCAGGTGGCCTGCGGAGGAGGTGGGAGACTCAAGCCTGCAGCCTGAAGGATTGCTGCCCTGGTGAGTTTCCCCCACCCCTCTCCGCCAGCGCCCCATGGCGCCCCCCCACGGCCAGTGCCCCTGTGCCCCACGGCGCCCCCCAGGGCCAGTGCCCCCTGAGCCCCACGGTGTCCACTGCTGGACACCGCCACCTCACGCAGACAGCACCCCACGTCACCCAGCCCTGTACCCCACAGCACCCCCTAGTGGGAGAGGCTGAGGCTGGAGTAGCTGGGAGCTCCCCGGGCTTCTCTCTCTCTCTTCCTCTTTCTCTCCCTCCCTCTCTCTCTCTCACCCAGATTCAACACTTTCACTTCCCTCCTAGGGGTGCTGGTTCCTCCCAGCTCCCCCCCCCCCCCATGATCTTCCCCTACCACAGCTGGAAATGGAAACTTCCTGTTCACAGCTGCTTGAGCTGCAGAGAGGCCCATGGCAGTGATGGGGGGCTGGGAGGGGAAGGGGTTGGTCACCCCCTATTGGAGCTGGGCTCTGAGGGGTGGGCAGGAGACAGGAGGGGTCTCTGGGGAGGGGTGCGTAGCAGGAGGGGATCAAATGGGAGGGGCAGGTGGGTAGGTGGTCTCAGATGGGGATGGGGGGACTCTGGAATGGGGAGAGGGCAGCCTCAGGTCCCCACCCTCACCCTAATCTCATGCTGACCCCTTTCCCCCATCACCCTGCAGTGATGGGGGGCTGGTCGTCCTGGGACCCCTGGAGCTCCTGTTCCGTGACTTGTGCCGAGGGGGTGAAGAGGCGAATCCGTAGGTGCACCGAGCCGGCGCCCGTCTGTGGGGGCTCCTGCCTGGGCCACAACTCGGAGACCGTGCCCTGCGACACCAACAAGATCTGCCCCAGTGAGTGATGGGTGTGTGTGTGGGTGGGGGGGATGGGCAGGAGTGGGGGGGCGGGGTTGTGTGTGGTTCTTTTTTGACACTGTCCCAGCTGACATCCTCACAAGCCGGCTAGGGAAGAGTTGCTCTGAAATCAACCAGGCCACATCCGAGAAGGAGAAGTGCAGAATACAACGCCGAGGAAGGTGTGGGGGGCGGGGAATCAAATGCGTAGTGACAACGTGGGGACTAGGCAGTCACATGGCTGCAACGGATCTGGGGGCTCGTGCGGATCCCATATGGAATATGAGTCAACAATGGGATGTGGCTGTGGAAAAGGCTACTCTCATTCTGGGTGTGTTAACAGGAGGGTCGTATGCAAGACACGGGAGGTCGTGGTCCCGCTTGGGTCGGCACTGGTGGGACCCTGGCGGGAGGACGGTGTCTGGCTCTGGGTGCCCCACGTATTAGGAAAGTTGTGAACGAATTGGAGAGAGTCCAGAGGAGAGCAACCAAAATGATCGTAGGTTTAGAAAACCTGACCTAGGAGGGACAGTTAAAAGAAACCGGGCATGTTTGGTCTGGAGAGAAGGAGAGTGAGGGGGGACCTGAGAACAGTCTTTAGATACCTCACGGGCTCTTCTAAAGAGGATACTGGCAATTGTTCTCCATGTCTGCTGTGGGCAGGACAAGAAGTAAAGGGCTGAATCTGCAGCCAGCGGGATGGAGGTTAAATAATGGGAGAAACTTTCTAACTCTCAGGGTCGCTCAGCTCCGGAACTGGCTCCCAAGGGGGCTGTGGGACCCCGTCATTGGAGGGTTGTAAGAAGAAGTTGGACAAACCTGTCAGGGATAGTTTAGGTTGACTTGGTCCTGCCTCCACGCAGGGGGCTGGATTTAGTGACCTCCTGAGGTTCCTTCCAGCCCGACATTTCTATGATCTCATTCTATTCCATAGATGTTTTTATACTGCATTCATCACGGAGTATCTGGTTGGGTGGGTAGGGGGATGGGTGGGCGACAGGATGGATGGAGGATGGCTGGCTGGGTAGGTGGATGGTTGGATAGGGGGGTGGGGGTAGGGATGGATGGTTGGATGGATGGATGGGGAATGGGTTGTTGGGTGGAAGGATTAGTGGATAGGTGGATGGGGTTGGGTGGGTGCATACATGGGTGGGTGGGTGGGGGTTGGGAGGGTGGGTTGTTGGGTGCTTGGACAGAAGGATTCAGGGATGGGTTGCGGTGGGGAGGGGGGATGGCTGGTTGGGTGGCTGGACGGATGGATAGGAATGGGTGGTTGGGTGGGTGGGTGGATGGATGGGAGAATGGGGGCAGGGATGGATGGGTAGTTGGGTGGAGGGATGGGTTGGGGTAAGGGTGGGTGGATAGACAGATGGATGGGGGGATGTGTGGGGGCAGGGATGGATGGGTAGTTGGGTGGAGGGATGGGTTGGGGTAAGGGTGGGTGGATAGACGGATGGGGGGGATGTGTGGGGCAGCGATGCATGGGTAGATGGATGGATGGGTCTAATGGCGGGTGGACACCTGGATGGGTGGGTGAGCGGACAGGGATGGTTGGGTGGATGATGTTGGGACCTTATCCACTCGGTCCCCAAGAACTCAGCTCGACGTCAGGCTCAACACAGAGGTTTCTCTCCTGGCACCCAGGGGCCCGACACTGAACTACTGAGGCTCACAGGCACAGGGGGTGGGGTCCAGGGTGAACCACGCACCCAAAGTACAAACTCATTCACCAGCTGATAAACACGCCCTCACACAGACGCAGCCCGCACTCTCTGTTCTACATCCCCTCGCACACTCTCTGATCGGCTCCTTAGTTCCTGGGAGCCAATCCCCGCACAAGTGACCAGCTGTTCACACGTTCGCCATCCGCCTGCTGTTCCTTTATCTACTAACTACATATTTACAAGGCTGATGGGAATTCAGGCTTTGTTCGTTGTTCCGTGACCTTGGTCAGAACAGATCTACAGCTGGGTGGGGAGTGGGTGGCTGGGTAGGGATGGTCTGGTGGATGGAGGCAGGTGGTGGATGGATGGTAAGTTGGATGGGGAGATGGGGGGAATGGGTGGGTGGGAAGGGATGGTTAGGTGGGGTGATGGGGGGATGGTTAGGTAATTGAATAGAGGGATGGGTGGGAAGGGATGGCTGGGTGGGGTGATGGGGGGATGGGTGGGTGGGAAGGGATGGTTAGGTGGGGTGATGGGGGGATGGTTGGTTAGTTGAATGGGGGGATGGGTGGGAAGGTATGGCTGGGTGGGGTGATGGGGGGATGGGTTGGAAGCAATGGTTGGGTAGTTGAATGGGGGGATGGGTGGGAAGGGATGGCTGGGTGGGGTGATGGGGGGATGGGTTGGAAGCAATGGTTGGGTAGTTGAATGGGGGGATGGGTGGGAAGGGATGGCTGGGTGGGGTGATGGGGGGATGGATGGGTGGGAAGGGATGGTTAGGTGAGGTGATGGGGGGATGGTTGGGTAGTTGAATGGGGGGATGGGTGGGAAGGGATGGCTCGGTGGGGTGATGGGGGATGGGTGAGAAGCAATGGTTGGTTAGTTGAATGGGGGGATGGGTGGGAAGGGATGGCTGGGTGGGGTGATGGGGGATGGGTGAGAAGCAATGGTTGGGTAGTTGAATGGGGGGATGGGTGGGAAGGGATGGCTGGGTGGGGTGATGGGGGATGGGTGAGAAGCAATGGTTGGGTAGTTGAATGGGGGGATGGGTGGGAAGGGATGGCTGGGTGGGGTGATGGGGGGATGGGTGGGTGGGAAGGGATGGTTAGGTGGGGTGATGGGGGGATGGTTGGGTAGTTGAATAGGGGGATGGGTGGGAAGGGATGGATGGGTGGGGTGATGGGGGGATGGGTTGGAAGCAATGGTTGGGTAGTTGAATGGGGGGATGGGTGGGAAGGGATGGCTGGGTGGGGTGATGGGGGATGGGTGAGAAGCAATGGTTGGGTAGTTGAATAGGGGGATGGGTGGGAAGGGATGGCTGGGTGGGGTGATGGGGGGATGGTTGGGTAGTTGAATGGGGGGATGGGTGGGAAGGGATGGCTGGGTGGGGTGATGGGGGATGGGTGAGAAGCAATGGTTGGGTAGTTGAATGGGGGGATGGGTGGGAAGGGATGGCTGGGTGGGGTGATGGGGGGATGGGTGGGTGGGAAGGGATGGTTAGGTGGGGTGATGGGGGGATGGTTGGGTAGTTGAATAGGGGGATGGGTGGGAAGGGATGGATGGGTGGGGTGATGGGGGGATGGGTTGGAAGCAATGGTTGGGTAGTTGAATGGGGGGATGGGTGGGAAGGGATGGCTCGGTGGGGTGATGGGGGATGGGTGAGAAGCAATGGTTGGGTAGTTGAATGGGGGGATGGGTGGGAAGGGATGGCTGGGTGGGGTGATGGGGGGATGGGTGGGTGGGAAGGGATGGTTAGGTGGGGTGATGGGGGGATGGTTGGGTAGTTGAATAGGGGGATGGGTGGGAAGGGATGGATGGGTGGGGTGATGGGGGGATGGGTTGGAAGCAATGGTTGGGTAGTTGAATGGGGGGATGGGTGTGAAGGGATGGCTCGGTGGGGTGATGGGGGATGGGTGAGAAGCAATGGTTGGGTAGTTGAATAGGGGGATGGGTGGGAAGGGATGGCTGGGTGGGGTGATGGGGGGATGGTTGGGTAGTTGAATGGGGGGATGGGTGGGAAGGGATGGCTGGGTGGGGTGATGGGGGGATGGTTGGGTAGTTGAATGGGGGGATGGGTGGGAAGGGATGGCTGGGTGGGGTGATGGGGGGATGGGTGAGAAGCAATGGTTGGGTAGTTGAATAGGGGGATGGGTGGGAAGGGATGGCTGGGTGGGGTGATGGGGGGATGGTTGGGTAGTTGAATGGGGGGATGGGTGGGAAGGGATGGCTGGGTGGGGTGATGGGGGGATGGGTGAGAAGCAATGGTTGGGTAGTTGAATAGGGGGATGGGTGGGAAGGGATGGCTGGGTGGGGTGATGGGGGGATGGTTGGGTAGTTGAATGGGGGGATGGGTGGGAAGGGATGGCTGGGTGGGGTGATGGGGGGATGGGTGAGAAGCAATGGTTGGGTAGTTGAATAGGGGGATGGGTGGGAAGGGATGGCTGGGTGGGGTGATGGGGGGATGGTTGGGTAGTTGAATGGGGGGATGGGTGGGGAGGGATGGCTGAGTGGGGTGGTGGGGGATGGGTTGGAAGCAATGGTTGGGTAGTTGAATGGGGGATGGGGGGGTGGGTGGGGGTGGGGGATGGTTGGGTAGTTGAATGGGGGGATGGGTGGGAAGGGATGGCTGGGTGGGGGGGGGGGGGAGTGATGGGGTGATGGGGGGAAGGGATGGCTGGGTGGGGTGATGGGGGGATGGGTGAGAAGCAATGGTTGGGTAGTTGAATGGGGGGATGGGTGGGAAGGGATGGCTGGGTGGGGTGATGGGGGGATGGTTGGGTAGTTGAATGGGGGGATGGGTGGGAAGGGATGGCTGGGTGGGGTGATGGGGGGATGGGTGAGAAGCAATGGTTGGTTAGTTGAATGGGGGGATGGGTGGGAAGGGATGGCTGGGTGGGGTGATGGGGGGATGGTTGGGTAGTTGAATGGGGGGATGGGTGGGAAGGGATGGCTGGGTGGGGTGATGGGGGGATGGGTGAGAAGCAATGGTTGGGTAGTTGAATAGGGGGATGGGTGGGAAGGGATGGCTGGGTGGGGTGATGGGGGGATGGTTGGGTAGTTGAATGGGGGGATGGGTGGGAAGGGATGGCTGGGTGGGGTGATGGGGGGATGGTTGGGTAGTTGAATAGGGGATGGGTGGGAAGGGATGGCTGGGTGGGGTGATGGGGGATGGGTTGGAAGCAATGGTTGGGTAGTTGAATGGGGGGATGGGTGGGGTGATGGGGGGATGGTTGGGTAGTTGAATGGGGGGATGGGTGGGAAGGGATGGCTGGGTGGGGTGATGGGGGGATGGTTGGGTAGTTGAATGGGGGGATGGGTGGGAAGGGATGGCTGGGTGGGGTGATGGGGGGATGGTTGGGTAGTTGAATGGGGGGATGGGTGGGAAGGGATGGCTGGGTGGGGTGGTGGAGGGATGGGTGAGAAGCAATGGTTGGGTAGTTGAATGGGGGGATGGGTGGGAAGGGATGGATGGGTGGGGTGATGGGGGGATGGGTTGGAAGCAATGGTTGGGTAGTTGAATGGGGAGATGGGTGGGAAGGGATGGCTGGGTGGGGTGATGGGGGGATGGTTGGGTAGTTGAATGGGGGGATGGGTGGGAAGGGATGGCTGGGTGGGGTGATGGGGGGATGGGTGGGTGGGAAGGGATGGTTAGGTGGGGTGATGGGGGGATGGTTGGGTAGTTGAATAGGGGGATGGGTGGGAAGGGATGGCTGGGTGGGGTGGTGGAGGGATGGGTGAGAAGCAATGGTTGGGTAGTTGAATGGGGGGATGGGTGGGAAGGGATGGATGGGTGGGGTGATGGGGGGATGGGTTGGAAGCAATGGTTGGGTAGTTGAATGGGGAGATGGGTGGGAAGGGATGGCTGGGTGGGGTGATGGGGGATGGGTTGGAAGCAATGGTTGGGTAGTTGAATGGGGGGATGGGTGGGGTGATGGGGGGATGGTTGGGTAGTTGAATGGGGGGATGGGTGGGAAGGGATGGCTGGGTGGGGTGATGGGGGGATGGTTGGGTAGTTGAATAGGGGGATGGGTGGGAAGGGATGGCTGGGTGGGGTGATGGGGGATGGGTGAGAAGCAATGGTTGGGTAGTTGAATGGGGGGATGGGTGGGAAGGGATGGCTGGGTGGGGTGATGGGGGATGGGTGAGAAGCAATGGTTGGGTAGTTGAATGGGGGGATGGGTGGGAAGGGATGGCTGGGTGGGGTGATGGGGGGATGGGTGGGTGGGAAGGGATGGTTAGGTGGGGTGATGGGGGGATGGTTGGGTAGTTGAATAGGGGGATGGGTGGGAAGGGATGGATGGGTGGGGTGATGGGGGGATGGGTTGGAAGCAATGGTTGGGTAGTTGAATGGGGGGATGGGTGGGAAGGGATGGCTGGGTGGGGTGGTGGAGGGATGGGTGAGAAGCAATGGTTGGGTAGTTGAATAGGGGGATGGGTGGGAAGGGATGGCTGGGTGGGGTGATGGGGGGATGGTTGGGTAGTTGAATGGGGGGATGGGTGGGAAGGGATGGCTGGGTGGGGTGATGGGGGGATGGTTGGGTAGTTGAATGGGGGGATGGGTGGGAAGGGATGGCTGGGTGGGGTGATGGGGGGATGGTTGGGTAGTTGAATAGGGGGATGGGTGGGAAGGGATGGCTGAGTGGGGTATGGCTGGGTCACTGGGTGTGGGATAGGTGGGCAGGTGGGGGTGAATGGCCCCTCCCAACACTGAGGCCTGATCTCTCCCTCTCTGTAGCTCATGGTAACTGGGGCAGTTGGGGGCAATGGGGTCCTTGTTCTGCCACATGCTCTCCGGAGGAAGCGGGGCTGAAGCCCAAGCAGCGTCACTCACGGGTTTGCGACAGCCCCCCACCTTCCTTCAACCCTCCCGGACTCCCCTGCTCTGGATCTGCCAGTGAGGACCAGTCTTGCATCGGGCTCCCCTTCTGCCCAGGTGAGAAAGATCCTCCTGTCCCCCCCCCACCCCCAAGACATCCAGTCCCCTGTCCTGGGGCCATATGGGAGCCGGTGCCCCCAAAAGGGGAAATCTCCCGTTTCCCATTCCCCCAACCCTCGGGCTACGTTTCCCATGCTGACCCATGTTTCTTTCTCTCTGACTCTGCGCTCTGCCCAGTGCACGGTGGCTGGAGTGACTGGCAGCAGTCCAGTCCCTGCTCAGTGACCTGTGGCATGGGCCGGGTAATGGAGAAGCGTCTTTGCAACAACCCAGCACCACGGCAAGGTGGGAACACCTGTCCTGGCCTCAATACCCGGTCATATTTCTGCAACACCAAAATACCCTGCCCAGGTAGGGGGGCAGGGACCGACAAAGAGCATTGGAGTGGGGAGAGGACACCCGCTGTCCCTGGAGGGGAGGGCAGATGGAGGGGTGAGGCAAGGGGTGGAGGAATGGAGGTATAGAGGAAAAGAAGAATGGATGGATCAGGAAGAGGATGAAGAGGTAGAAAAGTGGTGGGATGCACAGAGAGAAGGAGGGAGGAATGGATGAAAGCGCAGTAAAATGATGGATGCGTGAATGGAGGGGTATGTATTGGGATGGATGCAAGTAGAAATGGATGAATTAATGGATGGATGGGTGAATGGATGAATGAATGGGTCAGTGGGTGGGTGGATGGATGTATCAATGGTTAGTTGGGTCAATGGACAGATGGCAGCAGGTGGGTGGGTGGGTGGAGTGATGCCTAGGTCAATGGATGGATGTTTGTGTGGGTCAATACATGGATGGATGATGGGTAGGCAGGTTTGTGTGTGGGTGGATGGATGGATGGATGGATGGATGGATGGATGGATGGATGGTGGGTTAATGGTGGGTCGATGGATGAACAGATCAATGGTTGGGTGGGTCAGTAGATGGATGGATGATGGGTGGGCTGGTTTGTGTGTGGGTGGATGGATGGATGGATGGACGGATGGATGGATGGATGGATGGATGGTGGGTTAATGGTGGGTCGATGGATGAACGGATCAATGGTTGGGTGGGTCAGTGGATGGATGGATGATGGGTGGGCTGGTTTGTGTGTGGGTGGATGGATGGATGGATGGACGGATGGATGGATGGATGGATGGATGGTGGGTTAATGGTGGGTCGATGGATGAACGGATCAATGGTTGGGTGGGTCAGTGGATGGATGAATGATGGGTGGGCTGGTTTGTGTGTGGGTAGGTGGATGGATGGATGATGGGTCAATGGTGGGTCGATGGATGAATGGATCAGTGGTTGGGTGGATGGTTGGGTGGGTCTTGCAACATTACCAGGTTAATACTCCCTACTCCGTCACATCTCTCCCTGCTTCGAGACTGAACTGAGCGCGGTCACTCTAACCAGTGACCTGGGGAAGTTCAGGCCCCCCTCTCCAGGACAACATATCTGCTGTCATGTTGGCGCTCCCCTCACATGGACCACATCCATGTCATAATTCTGCAGGAGCAGGCTCCACCTCCTGAGCAGTTTTCCCTGTGACTCGGAAGGGGGAACATCTTATAGGCAGGTGCGATCCCGTCTGTACCCCATGAACAGCCAGATTAGTGCGTCCTGGCTGGTTGGAAAACAGCTGTCGGTGCAGATGCAGCACCCCTCTGATCTCAGCTTTCTGGCCAGGGGTTAACTGATCCGAGAGGGGGATTGTTTCCAGGGAAGAGCCAGCTCCTGTCTCAGGGAATAGATCTACTCAAGGGTCATCTCCCTGCTCCTCCCACTGTCCGCACACGGCCAACACCACGTTCCCCCGGCATAGTACGGCTTCAGCGTATGGCCATGGTGCACCCGGCGGTGGTGCGCCCGGTTCGACAGCTCCATCACAAGCTCATTGAGCTGCTTGACGACCTTGAAAGGGCCTCCCAGGCGGCCTGTAGTTTGTTCTTTCTCACGGGGATGAGAACCATCACCTGGTCCCCGGTGGCGTAGGCCCGGGCCCGCGCCGTGCGGTCATACCAGGCCTTCTGCTTCCTCTGGGCTCTGGCCAGATTCTCCCTGGCCAGGCCCATGAGCTCAGCCAGTCTCTCTCGGAAGATCAGGACATACTCCACCACTGACTCTCCATCGGGAGTGGCCTTCCCCTCCCACTCGTCTCTCATCAGGTCCAGGGGCCCCTCACCCTCCTGCCATATCACAGTTCGAAAGGCGAGAACCCGGTAGACTCCTGGGGCACCTCCCTGTACGCGAACAGCAGGTGAGGTAAGTACTTGTCCCAATCCTGCGGGTGCTGGTCCATAAAGGTTTTCAGCATCATCTTTAGCGTCCCGTTGAACCTCTCCACCAGCCCGTTGGACTGGGGGTGATAAGCTGAGGCCCAGTCGTGCCGGACCCCACATTTCTCCCACAAGCACTGGAGGAGGGCCAACATGAAGTTGGTCTGTCAAGACTTCCTTGGGGAACCCCACTTGGCTGAAAATGGTCAGGAGCATCGGCCACGGTGTCTGCTTCAATGGAAGCTAAGGGCACTGCCTCGGGGTAGCGGGTGGCAAAATCTACCACCCCCAGAATGTATTTCTTCCCCAACCGGGTCGTCTTGCTGAGAGGCCCCACGATGTCCATGTCCACCTTCCGCAAAGGCTCCTCTATGATGGGCAAAGGTCTCAAAGCCGCTTTCCCCTTGTTCCGGGCCTTCCCCACCCTCTGACAGGGGTCTCAGGATCGGCAATACTGCTGGATGGTGGTAAAGACCCCGGGCCAGTAAAAGTTCGGTAGCAACCTCTGCCGGGTGCGCCGGATTCCCTGGTGCCCTGCGAGGGGGATGTCATGGGCCAGGGACAGGAGCTTGCGGCGATACTTCTGGGGGACCCCCAGCTGCCTCCTGATCCCACAGGACTCCACTTCCCCTGGGGGAGCCCATTCTCGGTACAGGAACCCCTTCTCCGTCAGGAACCTCTCCTGGCAACTTCTCCTCATGGTCCGTCCCACATTGAGGTCGGCCAGGGCCCTGAGCTTCAGCAAGGAGGGATCTTTCCTCAACTTGGCCTGGAACTCAGCGGCTGGGCATGGGATGGGGACCTGCTCCCTCTTGCCAGCTGGGTCTGGAGTCGCAGCCCCTCTGAGCCTTGTCCCTGGGCGCTCCCTCCCCACCAGGGTGGAGTCCTGCGCCTCCCATGTGGTACCCTCCCTGAGGTCAGGGTGAGGTGCCCCTCGCCAGCTCTAGCTACGGGTCATGACTAGGGAGTTCTGGGGGTTGCCTGGCCAATCCTCGAGGTCATCCCCCATCGACACCTCAGTGGGCAAATGGTAGTGCACCCACACGTCCTTGGGGCCCTCCTTGGATCCCTATTTCAGATGTACTCTCACCATGGGCATCTTGAATGGGGTCCTGCCCACACCCATAAGGGTCAGGTAGGTATCGGGCACCACCCGATCTGGGGCCACCGCCTTGGGCCGTCCAGCGTCATCTCCACGCCTGTGTCCCAGTATCCATTGAACTTCCTCCCATCCACCTCCAGGGGAACAAGGCACTCGCTCTGCGGGGACAGCCCCGTGCCCCCCCCCCGAACCCTGAGATCCTTGAGTCCGGAGCAGCCAGCCCTCCAGAGGAGCTGGTCTGGGGCACTCCTCCCTCCTGAGCAGTGGGTAGGCTGCCAGCCCCTCCTCCGGCTGGGTCCCTGCCCAGTTAACCCTGTGCGGGTTCGGTCTTCTCAGTCTGTCCTGGAGCCTGGGGCACTGGGTCCGTATGTGGCCTCTCTGCCCACAGTAATAACAAATCACGTCACGTTGGTTCCCTCAAGCCAGGCTGGTCCTGATGCTGGTTGTTCCCCTTGGGAGGGGGTTCTCCACATTCCCCCTTTGGGAGGTAGCAGCGTGACGCTCTCTCTGCGCCGTGTTGGGCTTATTCTTTTGGGACTCCTCCCTGCCAGCCCCTGACCGGCTGTCCATGAACTCGTCGGCCAGCCGCCCTGTGAGTCGCGGGTCCTCTGGCTTTTTGTCCCCCAACCACAGCCTCAGGTCGGCTGGGCAGTGCTCATACAGGTGCTCCAGCACCATCAGTTTAATCCTGTCCTCCTTAGTCTGGGCCCCCTCTGCCCACTTGTGGACGTACCCCTCCATTCAGAGGATCAGTTCAAGATATGTGTCCTCAGGGGTTTCACGCAGTCTAAACAGAGCTTGTAGGTACAGAGAACAGGACCGCTCAGTCAGGGCCCTCTTGAGGGGTGGGGAGCCCAGACCCCGGTTCTGGGATTCAGCCCCTCTCCCCAGCCAGCTCCAAACTGAAACCCCCTCCAGCAGCCTCACCCAGCCACACCCCCGGCTCCTCCTCCAGCCTTTGTCCAGTTTCCCAGGCAGAAAGTGTCACCTGGCCCCAACCCCCTCCTGGGCTCAGGTTACAAGTATCACTTCTTGGTGAAGTCACCCCCTGATATCCCAGCACCATCAGTATTAATGCAGACAGTAAACTCGTAAAACTCCCATGCATCATGACCAGGTAAGTACTCCCCACTCCCTACTCCGCCACAATGGATGAATGGATCAATGGTGGGGTGGGTCTGTGGATGGATGGTTGGGTGGATGTATGGATCGATGGTTGGGTGAGTCAGTGGATGGATGGATGGATGGTGGGTGGGCAGGTTTGTGTGTGGATGGATGGATGGATCAGTGGGTGGGTGGGTGAATGGATGATGGGTGAGCAGCTTTGTGTGTGGGTAGATGGGTGGGTGGATGGATGGATGGATGATGGGTTAATGGTGGGTTGATGGATGAATGGATCAATGTTTGGTTGGGTGGGTCTTTGGCTGGATGGTTGGGTGGATGTATGGATAGATGGTTGGGTGGATAGATGGATGGATGGATGGTTGGGTGAGTCAGTGGATGGATGGCTGATGGATGGGCTGGTTTGTGTGTGGGTAGATGGATGGATAGGTCAATGGGTGGATGGATGGGTGGGTCAATGGGTGGGTCAATGGATGAATGGATCAATGGCTGGGTGGATGGTTGGGTGGGTGGATGGATGGATGGGTGGGTCAGTGGCTGGCTGGCTGGCTGGCTGGCTGGGTCAGTGGGTCAGTGGCTGGATGGATGATGGGTGGGCTGGTTTGCATGTGGGGAGATGGATGGATGGGTCAATGGATGGGTGGGTGAGAGGATGGACAGTCATACTCTGCTGTCTCTGGGGGTTTCCCTGACTCTCCCCCGCAGTGGATGGGCGCTGGTCAGAGTGGGGGGAGTGGTCCATTTGCACCCGGCCGGGTTACACCGGGGACATCACCTGCCAGGAGATCGTGGGGCAGCAGAAGCGGACGCGGGTCTGCGAGGGGCGCAGCCCCGATGGGAAGCGCTGTGTGGGAAGTTATATCCATATCCGCAGCTGCTACAACATGTTTCGGTGCAAATGTGAGTGTCCGAGGTGGGCTGGAGGGGTCTGGGGGTCTGATCTGTGCAGGGGTGCCAGGCTGGAGGGGCCCCTGGTTATGACCTGGGGGGAGGGGAGGTGGGATACCAGGCCAGATGGGTTCCTGACCTGACTGGTGTCTGTACTGGCTCCCCAGTGGAGGGCCAATGGTCAGACTGGAGTTCCTGGGGTCTCTGCATCCCAACCTGCGGGAAGAATCTCATGAAGTCTCGGAAGCGTGTTTGCCAACCCACTTACCCCAAATTCTCGTGAGTGTGACCAGCAGGGGGTGGGGATAGGGGGGACATACCAGGGCCTGTGGGTCTGATCCAGGAGTGGGGATACCAGGGTTGGGGAGCCCCATGGGTCTGATCCAGAGGGACACAGGACTGGGGGAGGAGTCTATGAGTCTGATCTGGTGGGAGGGGAAGGATACCAAGTTGTGGGGGGCCCATGGGTCTGATTCAGAGGATTACAGGGCTTGCGGGGGGTCTATGGGTCTGAACTGGGAGGAGGGGAAGAATACCAACCTGCGGGGTCCCCATGGGTCTGATCCAGAGTCCCGTGGGAGGGGGCTGGGCCCAGTGCTGATCTCTCTCCTCCCCCACAGAATGGAGATCCAGGGCGTGGGGAACACTGGGCCGGTGAACATCAGCTTCTGGGGCAAACCCTGGCCCAAGTGCCAGCCCATCAACGGGAAGGCCCTGGAGGTGGAGGAGAAGGAGCCATGTCTCAATGTGCCACCCTGCCCAGAGGAGGAGGAATATGGTGAGCTGGGGGGGGGGGGATGTTGAGTGGGTCAGCGTGTGTGTGTGTGGGGGCTGGGAGCCAGGACTCCTGGGTTCTATCTTGCCCCTGGGAGGGGAGTGGGGTCTGATGGGTTAGAGCAGGGGGGGCTGGGAGCCAGGACTCCTGGGTTCTCTCCTCGGCCCTTGGAGGGGAGTGGGGTAAGCACCGGGTCTCTTTGGAAGGATCCCTGTGGGGCTGGAGGGTCCTGCTGAGGTTCTGCAGTCACGAACCAGCTCCCTGTTCTCTGACCCCCAGATCAGCCCCCGTTATCGGCAGGCCGCCTGGCCAGCTTAGCCCCCTAGCCCACCGCAGGCTTCAAGTACGTGGAGCATCTTGATGAGGACGTTTGAGGTGTGTGAGAAATACTAGGGAATGGGGCATGGGGCTTTTCCCCTCTGGGGGGCGCCGGCTCCCATCCAGCCCCAGAGCAGGGACTGGCTGGCTCAGGAGGGTGGGAATGGGGCCTGGGGCCTGTCCCCTCTAGGGGGCGCAGGCTCCCATTGACCCCAGGGCAGGGATTGGCTGGCTCCAGGGGGGCGAGGAATGGGGGATGGGACTCTTCCCCTCAAGGGGGTGCCGGCTCCCATCCATTCCGAGGGCGGGGACCGGCTGGCTCCAGGGGGGCGAGGAATGGGGCCTGGAGCCTGTCCCCCATAGGGGGCGCTGGCTCTGGTCCAGCCTGGGGGCAGGCTGGCTGGGGGGGAAGGGGCCTGTGTCTCTGGTTTAACCCTTTCACTTCCTGTTCTTTGCAGGTTGATCTGGCAGGAGCCAGGTGAAGGTGCTTCCCCAGAAGCCCCATCTGCAGACGGAGCAGGGGGGGTCAGGATCCCCACGACAGCAGCTTTTCCCCTCCTTCCAGGGGCTCCCTGTGGAAACACCCCAGAAGCCCCCTGCAGTTATGACCCCGACGCTCCAACCCCCAGAAATCCCCTTTGCTACAGGACATGGGAATCCATCACAATAAAGAGAGAGAATGGGTCCCACCTGGCTCTGTGTGTGTGTGTGTTTGAGAATGGGGGCCAGTGGTTACAGCGGGGGGGGGGGGGGGCTGGGAGCCAGGACTTCTGGGTTGTCTCCCTAGCTCTGGGAGGGGAGTGGGGTCTAGTGGTTAGAGGTGGGGGCTGGGAGCCAGGACTCCTGGGTTCTCTCCCTAGCTCTGGGAGGGGAGTGGGGTCTAGTGGTTAGAGCAGGGGGGCTGGGAGCCAGGACTCCTGGGTTCTCTCCCGAGCTCTGGGAGGGGAGTGGGGTCTAGTGGTTAGAGGTGGGGGCTGGGAGCCAGGACTCCTGGGTTCTCTCCCGAGCTCTGGGAGGGGAGTGGGTTCTAGTGGTTAGAGCGGGGGGGCTGGGAGCCCGGACTCCTGGGTTCTCTCCCCGGCTCTGGGAGGGGAGTGGGGTCTAGTGGTTAGAGCAGGGGGGCTGGGAGCCAGGACTCCTGGGTTCTCTCCCCGGCTCTGGGAGGGGAGTGGGGTCTAGTGGTTAGACGTGGGGGCTGGGAGCCAGGACTCCTGGGTTCTCTCCCTAGCTCTGGGAGGGGAGTGGGGTCTAGTGGTTAGAGCGGGGGGCTGGGAGCCAGGACTCCTGGGTTCTCTCCCTAGCTCTGGGAGGGGAGTGGGGTCTAGTGGTTAGAGGTGGGGGCTGGGAGCCAGGACTCCTGGGTTCTCTCCCTAGCTCTGGGAGGGGAGTGGGGTCTAGTGGTTAGAGCGGGGGGGGGGGGGGGGCTGGGAGCCAGGACTCCTGGGTTCTCTCCTTAGCTCTGGGAGGGGAGTGGGGTCTAGTGGTTAGAGGTGGGGGCTGGGAGCCAGGACTCCTGGGTTCTCTCCCTAGCTCTGGGAGGGGAGTGGGGTCTAGTGGTTAGAGGTGGGGGGCTGGGAGCCAGGACTCCTGGGTTCTCTCCCTAGCTCTGGGAGGGGAGTGGGGTCTAGTGGTTAGAGCGGGGGGCTGGGAGCCAGGACTCCTGGGTTCTCTCCCGAGCTCTGGGAGGGGAGTGGGGTCTAGTGGTTAGAGTGGGGGGGCTCGGAGCCAGGACTCCTGGGTTCTCTCCCGAGCTCTGGGAGGGGAGTGGTGTCTAGTGGTTAGAGGTGGGGGCTGGGAGCCAGGACTCCTGGGTTCTCTCCCTAGCTCTGGGAGGGGAGTGGGGTCTAGTGGTTAGAGTGGGGGGGCTGGGAGCCAGGACTCCTGGGTTCTCTCCCGAGCTCTGGGAGGGGAGTGGGGTCTAGTGGTTAGAGCGGGGGGGCTAGGAGCCAGGACTCCTGGGTTCTCTCCCTAGCTCTGGGAGGGGAGTGGGGTCTAGTGGTTAGAGCGGGGGCTGGGAGCCAGGACTCCTGGGTTCTCTCCCTAGCTCTGGGAGGGGAGTGGGGTCTAGTGGTTAGAGGTGGGAGCTGGGAGCCAGGACTCCTGGGTTCTCTCCCGAGCTCTGGGAGGGGAGTGGGGTCTAGTGGTTAGAGGTGGGGGCTGGGAGCCAGGACTCCTGGGTTCTCTCCCTAGCTCTGGGAGGGGAGTGGGGTCTAGTGGTTAGAGTGGGGGGGGCTGGGAGCCAGGACTCCTGGGTTCTCGCCCCGGCTCTGGGAGGGGAGTGGGGTCTAGTGGTTAGAGGTGGGGGCTGGGAGCCAGGACTCCTGGGTTCTCTCCCCGGCTCTGGGAGGGGAGTGGGGTCTAGTGGTTAGAGGTGGGGGCTGGGAGCCAGGACTCCTGGGTTCTCTCCCGAGCTCTGGGAGGGGAGTGGGGTCTAGTGGTTAGAGCGGGGGGGCTAGGAGCCAGGACTCCTGGGTTCTCTCCCCGGCTCTGGGAGGGGAGTGGGGTCTAGTGGTTAGAGCAGGGGGGCTGGGAGCCAGGACTCCTGGGTTCTCTCCCCGGCTCTGGGAGGGGAGTGGGGTCTAGTGGTTAGAGCAGGGGGGCTGGGAGCCAGGACTCCTGGGTTCTCTCCCCGGCTCTGGGAGGGGAGTGGGGTCTAGTGGTTAGAGCAGGGGGGCTGGGAGCCAGGACTCCTGGGTTCTCTCCCCGGCTCTGGGAGGGGAGTGGGGTCTAGTGGTTAGAGCAGGGGGGCTGGGAGCCAGGACTCCTGGGTTCTATGCCTTGCTGGTGGAGCAGCATCTACATGGGGGAGGTGCTGTCGTTGGGAGCCGAGGCCTCTCCCACCTGTCTGTGGCCCCACCCCCGCCCATGAACGCCCCCATCCCTCAACCTCCCCCCTCCCCCCTGCACATCCTCCCCCCAGCTCACCAGCTTCCCCGCTGCTCACCCCCCTCCGTAGCACACGGTGTCGCAGCTCTGGTGCAACCACCCAGCCCTTGGCTGGGCAAAGCCGGCGATAGCTTCAAAGAGCCCGTCCCAGGACTGGCCACACCAGGCCACAGGCCAAGACAGCCACAACTGGCCACCTCGAGCCTGGCCTTCCTAGTCCGGCCCTTTCCTGGGGAGTCCGGTGCCCAGTGCAGCACGGCTGGGCCTTGGGGACGCGCTTGTCAGGGCGTGGTCCCACCACGGGGCACCTGGGTCACACGAGTAACCCCCAGCCTAGACCCTCCCCCTCCATCCCCTTCCCTCCTCCCTCTCCTCCCCCTCCCCACCCACCTCCCGCCTCTCCTCTCCGTCCCCCTCCATCCCCTTCCCTCCCCTCCCCTCCCCCTCCCCACCCACCTCCCGCCTCTCCTCTCCGTCCCCCTCCATCCCCTTCCCTCCTCCCTCTCCTCCCCCTCCCCACCCACCTCCCGCCTCTCCTCTCCGTCCCCCTCCATCCCCTTCCCTCCCCTCCCCTCTCCTCCCCCTCCCCACCCACCTCCCGCCTCTCCTCCCCTCCCCTCCCCACCTCTCCTCTCCGTCCCCCTCCATCCCCTTCCCTCCCTCCCTCTCCTCCCCCTCCCCACCCACCTCCCGCCTCTCCTCCCCCTCCCTCCCCACCTCTCCTCTCCGTCCCCCTCCATCCCCTTCCCTCCTCCCTCTCCTCCCCCTCCCCACCCACCTCCCGCCTCTCCTCCCCACCTCTCCTCTCCGTCCCCCTCCATCCCCTTCCCTCCTCCCTCTCCTCCCCCTCCCCACCCACCTCCCGCCTCTCCTCCCCCCTCCCCACCTCTCCTCTCTGTCCCCCTCCAACCCCTTCCCTCCTCCCTCTCCTCCCCCTCCCCCACCCACCTCCCGCCTCTCCTCCCCACCTCTCCTCTCCGTCCCCCTCCAACTCCTTCCCTCCCCTCTCCTCCCCCTCCCCACCCACCTCCCGCCTCTCCTCCCCACCTCTCCTCTCCGTCCCCCCTCCAACCCCTTCCCTCCCCTCTCCTCCCCCTCCCCACCCCACCTCCCGCCTCTCCTCCCTCCCCACCTCTCCTCTCCGTCCCCCTCCAACCCCTTCCCTCCCCTCTCCTCCCCCTCCCCACCCACCTCCCGCCTCTCCTCCCCCCCTCTCCTCTCCGTCCCCCTCCAACCCCTTCCCTCCCCCTCTCCTCCCCCTCCCCACCCACCTCCCGCCTCTCCTCCCCCCTCTCCTCTCCGTCCCCCTCCAACCCCTTCCCTCCCCTCCCTCTCCTCCCCCTCCCCACCCACCTCCCGCCTCTCCTCCCCTTCCCTCCCCACCTCTCCTCTCCGTCCCCCTCCATCCCCTCCCCTCTCCTCCCCTCCCCCCCCCCCCCCACCCCCTCCCCCCTCTCCTCCCCGTCCCCCCCACCCCCTCCTCCTCTCCTCCCCCCCCCACCCCCCCTCCCCCTCCTCCCTCTCCTCCCCCTCCCCACCCCCCTCCCGCCTCCTCCCCCCCCCCTCCCCACCTCTCCTCTCCGTCCCCCTCCATCCCCTTCCCTCCTCCCTCTCCTCCCCCTCCCCACCCACCTCCCGCCTCTCCTCCCCACCTCTCCTCTCCATCCCCCTCCAACCCCTTCCCTCCTCCCTCTCCTCCCCCTCCCCACCCACCTCCCGCCTCTCCTCCCCCCCCCCCTCTCCGTCCCCCTCCAACCCCTTCCCTCCCCTCCCCTCTCCTCCCCCTCCCCACCCACCTCCCGCCTCTCCTCCCCTCCCTCCCCACCTCTCCTCTCCGTCCCCCTCCATCCCCTTCCCTCCTCCCTCTCCTCCCCCTCCCCACCCACCTCCCGCCTCTCCTCCCCTTCCCTCCCCACCTCTCCTCTCCGTCCCCCCTCCAACCCCTTCCCTCCTCCCTCTCCTCCCCCTCCCCACCCACCTCCCGCCTCTCCCTCCCCACCTCTCCTCTCCGTCCCCCTCCAACCCCTTCCCTCCTCCCTCTCCTCCCCCTCCCCACCCACCTCCCGCCTCTCCTCCCCACCTCTCCTCTCCGTCCCCCTCCATCCCCTTCCCTCCTCCCTCTCCTCCCCCTCCCCACCCACCTCCCGCCTCTCCTCCCCACCTCTCCTCTCCGTCCCCCTCCAACCCCTTCCCTCCCCTCTCCTCCCCCTCCCCACCCACCTCCCGCCTCTCCTCCCCACCTCTCCTCTCCGTCCCCCTCCAACCCCTTCCCTCCTCCCTCTCCTCCCCCTCCCCCACCCACCTCCCGCCTCTCCTCCCCTTCCCTCCCCCACCTCTCCTCTCCGTCCCCCTCCAACCCCTTCCCTCCTCCCTCTCCTCCCCCTCCCCACCCACCTCCCGCCTCTCCTCCCCACCTCTCCTCTCCGTCCCCCTCCAACCCCTTCCCTCCCCCTCTCCTCCCCCTCCCCACCCACCTCCCGCCTCTCCTCCCCCACCTCTCCTCTCCGTCCCCCTCCATCCCCTTCCCTCCCTCCCTCTCCTCCCCCTCCCCACCCACCTCCCGCCTCTCCTCCCCACCTCTCCTCTCCGTCCCCCTCCAACCCTTCCCCTTCCCTCCCTCTCCTCCCCCTCCCCACCCACCTCCCGCCTCTCCTCCCCCCCCCCACCTCTCCTCTCCGTCCCCCTCCAACCCCTTCCCTCCTCCCTCTCCTCCCCCTCCCCACCCACCTCCCGCCTCCTCCCCTCCCCCCCACCTCTCCTCTCCGTCCCCCTCCAACCCCTTCCCTCCTCCCTCTCCTCCCCCTCCCCACCCACCTCCCGCCTCTCCTCCCCACCTCTCCTCTCCGTCCCCCTCCAACCCCTTCCCTCCCCCTCTCCTCCCCCTCCCCACCCACCTCCCGCCTCTCCTCCCCCACCTCTCCTCTCCGTCCCCCTCCAACCCCTTCCCTCCCCTCTCCTCCCCCTCCCCCACCCACCTCCCGCCTCTCCCCCCTCCCCCCCACCTCTCCTCTCCGTCCCCCTCCAACCCCTTCCCTCCCCTCTCCTCCCCCTCCCCACCCACCTCCTGCCTCTCCTCCCCACCTCTCCTCTCCGTCCCCCTCCAACCCCTTCCCTCCCCTCTCCTCCCCCTCCCCACCCACCTCCCGCCTCTCCTCCCCCCACCTCTCCTCTCCGTCCCCCTCCAACCCCTTCCCTCCCCTCTCCTCCCCCTCCCCACCCACCTCCCGCCTCTCCTCCCCTCCCTCCCCCACCTCTCCTCTCCGTCCCCCTCCAACCCCTTCCCCCCCTCTCCTCCCCCTCCCCACCCACCTCCCGCCTCTCCTCCCCACCTCTCCTCTCCGTCCCCCTCCAACCCCTTCCCTCCTCCCTCTCCTCCCCCTCCCCACCCACCTCCCGCCTCTCCTCCCCCACCTCTCCTCTCCGTCCCCCTCCAACCCCTTCCCTCCCCTCTCCTCTCCCCCTCCCCACCCACCTCCCGCCTCTCCTCCCCCACCTCTCCTCTCCGTCCCCCTCCAACCCCTTCCCTCCCCTCTCCTCCCCCTCCCCACCCACCTCCCGCCTCTCCTCCCCCCCCACCTCTCCTCTCCGTCCCCCTCCATCCCCTTCCCCCTCCCTCTCCTCCCCCTCCCCACCCACCTCCCGCCTCTCCTCCCCACCTCTCCTCTCCGTCCCCCTCCATCCCCTTCCCTCCTCCCTCTCCTCCCCCTCCCCACCCACCTCCCGCCTCTCCTCCCCTTCCCTCCCCACCTCTCCTCTCCGTCCCCCTCCAACCCCTTCCCTCCCCTCTCCTCCCCCTCCCCTCCCACCTCCCGCCTCTCCTCCCCCACCTCTCCTCTCCGTCCCCCTCCAACCCCTTCCCTCCCCTCTCCTCCCCCTCCCCCACCCACCTCCCGCCTCTCCTCCCCACCTCTCCTCTCCGTCCCCCTCCAACGCCTTCCCTCCCCTCTCCTCCCCCTCCCCACCCACCTCCCGCCTCTCCTCCCCACCTCTCCTCTCCGTCCCCCTCCAACCCCTTCCCTCCCCTCTCTTCCCCCTCCCCACCCACCTCCCGCCTCTCCTCCCCTCCCCTTCCCTCCCCACCTCTCCTCTCTGTCCCCCTCCAACCCCTTCCCTCCCCTCTCCTCCCCCTCCCCACCCACCTCCCGCCTCTCCTCCCCACCTCTCCTCTCCGTCCCCCTCCAACCCCTTCCCTCCCCTCTCCTTCCCCTCCCCACCCACTCCCGCCTCTCCTCCCCACCTCTCCTCTCCGTCCCCCTCCAACCCCTTCCCTCCCCTCTCCTCCCCCTCCCCCACCCACCTCCCGCCTCTCCTCCCCACCTCTCCTCTCCGTCCCCCTCCATCCCCTTCCCTCCTCCCTCTCCTCCCCCTCCCCACCCACCTCCCGCCTCTCCTCCCCACCTCTCCTCTCCGTCCCCCTCCAACTCCTTCCCTCCCCTCTCCTCCCCCTCCCCACCCACCTCCCGCCTCTCCTCCCCCACCTCTCCTCTCCGTCCCCCTCCAACCCCTTCCCTCCCCTCTCCTCCCCCTCCCCACCCACCTCCCGCCTCTCCTCCCCACCTCTCCTCTCCGTCCCCCTCCAACCCCTTCCCTCCCCTCTCCTCCCCCTCCATCCCCACCCGACCGCCCCCTCTCTCCCCATCCCCTCCCCCTAACTCCCCCTCTCCTCCCTTTCCCACCGCACCTACCCCCCTCCCCCTCGCCCTCCAACCCCTCGCCACCCCAACCCCCCTCTCTCCCCATCCCCTCCCCGTCTCACCCCACCTCCCCCTCCCCTCCCCACCTCCCCCTCTCTCCCCATCTTCTCCCCCCTCCCCCGCCCAGCACCGCGGACAGCTCCTCCCTGCATCCCCCCTCCCAAACCGGCCGGGGACCGGACCGCACCACCGTGCGCCGCAGAGGGGGGGGAGTACGTCACCACCTCCTCCCCCCGCCGCCCGCAGATGGCGCGACCCGTCCCGGCCTCCGCAAGGGCACCGGGACCGACCATCGCGGCGGGAGGGGGTGGGGAGGAGGGGCCGGGCGAGACCAATTCCCGGAGACGTGGGGGGGGGCCGGGGTATCTGGGCTGGTCCAGCTGCTGCTGCGCTCATATGACTCCGGGATTCGGGAGCCGCCGGGTCTGCCCCAGAGAGAGCCCGGGGTGCAGGCCCCATAGATCCCCTATAGGGGCCCCTATAGAAGGGCGCAGGCTGGGGGAGAGAGAGACACCCCCTTATTACCCCCTCCCTTATAAACCCCCTTTCCCCTATAGATCCCCTCCCTTACAGACCCCCCTTCCCCATAGGCATCCCTTGCCCTATAGACACCCCCTTCCCCTCCAGAGATCCCCTATAGACACCTCTTCTACAGACACCTGCTTTCCCCATAGAGATCCCCCCCAGGCACCATAACCCTAGAGAAAGAGCCCTGATAGACGAAGGACCCTAGCGAGAGGACTCTCCTGTTTGGAAAGACCTTCACCCATAGACGAGACTCGCCCAAAGAGATGCCCCTGTAGCGAGCCTTCCCCTATAGAAGCATCCTATAGGGGAGCTTTCCCTACAGTAGGGGATCCCCTGTCTAGAGAGAAAGAGCCCTCCTCCCCCTATAGAAAAGAGAGACCCCCCTTCCGGGAAGACCCCGTCCAGAGGAGCCATCCCTGTAGACAGACACCTCTCCTGCCCAGAGAGAGCAGCCCCCCCATAGGATTGATAGACCCCCCCGTTTGCCCGCTAGCCACAGCCCCCTACAGCATCCCCAGGATGAATTACCTGCGGCGACGCCTCTCGGACAGTAACTTCATGGCCAACCTGCCCAACGGCTACATGACGGACCTGCAGCGGCCTCAGCCCCCTCCGGTGCCCCCGGGTGCCCCCTCGCCCGTCCCCTCCCCAGGCAGCGTCTCCCCGGCCGAGCGCCCCCCGGCTGCCCCCAGCCCCGGGGCCGGCGGGGGGGGAGGTGGGTTCTTCTCGTCCCTGTCCAACGCCGTGAAGCAGACGACAGCGGCCGCGGCAGCCAGCTTCAGCGAGCAGGTCGGGGGGGGCAGCGCGGGGGGCGGGGGGCGCAGTCGGACGCTGCTGGTCATCGACGAGCCGGGCACCGACTGGTGAGGAGCTGGGGCGGCGGGGGGCAGGGGACAAACTCTCCGTCTATCTATCCATCTGTCCATCCGTCCTTTCATCCGTCCAGCCATCCCTCTGTCCATCTGTCCGTTCATCCGTCCATCTGTCCGTCTGTCTATCCATCCATCCATCCATCCGTCCATCCATTCATCCATCCAACCCTCCGTTCGTCCATCCATCCATTGGTCTGTTCATCCATCCGTTCATCTGTCCATCCATCCATCCATCCATCTGTCCATCCATCCATTCGTCCATCCATCTGTCCGTCTGTCCATCCATCCATCAATCTATCCATCTGTCCTGTCCATCCATCCATCCATCCGTCTGTCCATCTGTCCTGTACAGTCATCCATCCATCCATCCGTTTCTCCATCCGTCAGTCTGTCCATCCATCTGTCCATCCATCCGTGCATCTGTTGGTCTGTCCATCTCTCTGTTTCCCCATCCATCTGTCGCCTCCCCTCCCCCTCCATCCGCTCATCCCACCCCCTGCCTGACAATCCATCCTGCTTCCATCTGTCCATCCAGCCGTCAGTCTATCCCCCTCCCCCACCCGCCACCCCTCAGCTCAGCCCTAGCCCCCGTCACCCCAAAACTCCAGGTGGCCACCCCTCTGCTTAGTCACTGCTGAGAATGCTGCAGCCACCCCTCCCCCGCTTCTCTCCCTGACCACCCCTCCCCCTGCCCGTCACCCCTTCCCCCCCTCCCAATGCCCCCACCCCCCCTCCATTCCCCTCCTCCACCCCCACTGTCCCCATCCCTCCATCCATCCCTCTCCCCCACTGCCCCCATCCCGGTCCATCCCCCTCCCCCACCGCACCCAGCGCCCTGTCCATCCCCCTTCCCCCACTGCCCCCATCCCCATCCATCCCCTTCCTCCACTGGCCCCATCCCCCACCCCCACTCCCCCCATCTCCCCATCTATCCCCCTCCCCCACTGCCCTCCTCCCACATCCATCTCCCTCCCCCACTGCCCCCATCGACCCATCCATCCCCCTCCCCGTCTGACCCCATCGCCCCATCCATCCTCCTCCCCCACTGCCCCCATCCCCCGTCCATCCCCCTCCCCCACTACCCCGTCCACCTGACCCCATGTCTCGGTGGGTTTGAGGGGATGTATCCGTGTGGGGTCCCCAGGGATATTTGGGGAGGGGTGGGGCTGTGTATGGGGGTGACCACCAAAGATCTGCTCCCCCTTGGCCTATTGGGAAGTGGGGAGGGGCAGGGTGGCAGGGAGGGGGATACCCCCTCATCCTGCCCCCTGGGGCTGGATCAGAAGGAATTAAAGCAGGATAAGCCCCCGAGCCAGGGGCCTATGGGGTGGAGATGGGCACTGACCCCCCAGCTGCCCTGTTCACTATAGAGTGGGGGCTGGGAGCCAGGACTCCTGGGTTCTCTCTTGGGCCCTGGGAGGGGAGTGGGTCTAGTGGTTAGAGCGGGGGGAGGGGGGGCTGTGGGCCAGGACTCCTGGGTTCTCTTCGTGGGGCTCTCTGTTTTGGTGCCTGTGTGGTGCTGGGCCCGGCTGGGCCATCGGTCGCTGACTCAGGCCAGAGATGAAATGGAGACGCTGCATCTGGCCTCTTCATTTGTAGCTTTTCTGTTCCGAATCACAGGCAGGTTCGAATCCTGCCACTGGGGGGCGCCGTGCTGTGGGGAGCGGGGTGGGGGGCTGGGCAGGGGGGCGCTCTCCCCAGGCAGTCAGGGCCGGGCACTGGGGGGCTTGAGGGAGCAGGGGCCAGGCGGGGTGTGGGCTGGGGGTGGTCCAGGGAGGGAGAACGCCATGCTGTAGCAGGCTATGGGGCTGCTCTGTGGGTCCCGTCCCGCCTCCATCAGCCCCGGACCCCCTAGGACGGGAGCTACACCCCAGATTTGGCACCACCCCTGGGAGCCCTCCGGGCTCTGCCAGGCTCAGGTCCCCAGGTGCCCAGCCCGGGTTTGTGGCGACCCCCGAACACAGCCAGGTTTGTTTGGTCCCCAGCACATAGCCTTGGGGAGCCCCTAGGTCAGCAGAGAGCCCCCCTGGCTGTGCCTTGGGGCACCATGTGTCTCCCGCCTTAGGCTGTCCCCCTGCCACTGAGAGGCCATGCAAGGTATGGGGAAACTGAGGCACAGGCAGGCCTAGAAATATGCCAGAAAAATTCCCCCACGTCCCAACCACGCACTCACCTGAGTCTCTTCACCTGCCCTGAGGGTTAACTTAACCCACCCTCCCTGCCACTGAGTGACCATGCAAGATATGGGGAAACTGAGGAACGGGCAGGCCTTCTAAAATCTCCCCCTCCATCTCTCTCTTCCAGGGCTAAATTATTCAAGGGCAAGAAGCTCCATGGTGATGTTGAGGTGCGGGTGGAGCAGGTGGGTCTGGGCCCCATGGGATTGGGGGTGCTGGGAGGTGGATGAGGGGGCAGCCTGCAGTGGGTGGATGGGGGCGTTGTGGGGGTCGAGGGGCTGGTGTGGGATGGTGCTGGGGGACGGGCGGGTCAGTGATGTGTCATTAGGGGGGATTTGGGGCGCTCTGTCCCATCCATGGGTCTGACCCCCACATTCGCCCCCCCCCCAGGCCGAGTTCTCGGAGATGAATCTGGTGGCTCAGGCCAATGGGGCCTTTTCAGTGGATCTTGAGGTTTTGCGCAACGGGGTCAAGGTGGTGAGGTGAGTATGGGGGGCGGATGGACCAGGGGGGCAGGGAAGGGGGGGACCGCCAGCCAGGGGCTATGGGTTAGGTGGGGAGGGGACTGATTGGGGGAGCCCTGCTCCCAGACCCCTCTCCCCATTCCCCCCTCCCAACTAGCTCCCCCCACAACTGGTTCTGTGTACAGGGGGGCACAAGGGGGTCAGGGCTCTTTCATGGGGGACAGGGAGGAAGTGGGGGGTGCAGGGCTCACCCTGGGGGGCGGAAGGGGGAGGACAGCAATCCCTTGTGGGGGACGGGGGGGCATAGAAAGGGCAGGGCTCACCAGTGAGGTGGGGTAGGTGGGATTTGTGGGGGAGGGAGGCCCCAAGTGGGAGAAAGGGAGGTTATGGGGGGCAGGGCTCATTCATGGGGGACAGAGAGGATGTGGGGGTCAGGATTCTCCTGTAGGGGGCAGAGGGCACCTCATGGGGGTCAGGGACACCTTATGGGTGGAGGGGCAAGTGGGGATGCAGGGTTCCTTTGTGGGAGGTAGGGGGCAACCCATGGGGGGCAGGTGGGATCTGGGGGGGCAGCGGCAAGTAGGGGGGCAGAGTTCTCTTGTGGGGGGCAGGTGTGATCTGGGGGGTCAAGGACACCTCACAGGGGGCAGAGGAAAGTGGGGGGGGCAGAGTTCCCTTGTGGGCGGTAGGGGGCACCCATGGGGGGCAGGTGTGATCTGGAGGGGGGCAGGAGCTAGGGAGGGGCCAGGGGGTGCACCGTGTGGGGCTGGGCCCCATGTCTAACCCCCCCTTCTTCCCCCCCAGGACGGTGCACCCCGACTTCGTGCTGGTGCGACAGCATGCCTACAGCATGGCCCCGGGGGGCGACCACCGGGGGCTGGTGATCGGGCTGCAGTACGCCGGGGTGCCCAGCGTCAACTCCCTGCACTCCATCTACAACTTCTGCGACAAGCCCTGGGTGGTGAGCGCCCGGGGGGGGGGGGGGCTGCCAGAAGGGAAGGAGGTTAGTGCGGGGAGCAGAAGGTAGTGGGGGCCGTGGGGAGGGGGGCTGCTGGCTGCGGGGAGCTGGGGTCTGGCAGGTAGCCATGGAGGATGGGGAATCGGCGGGTAGCCGGAGGGCTGGTGGGTAGCTGGGGGGGCGGGGGAAGCCAGGGGGCTGGGGGGGGCAGTGGGTAGCCAGGGACCGGTGGGTAGCCAGGGGGGGATGGGAAGTCGGCGGGTAGCTGGAGGGCCTGGGGGACTGGTGGGTAGCTGGGCGGTGAGGGGGGATGGAGGGTAGCCAGAGGGGCGGGGGCTGGTGGGTAACCGGGTGGTCTGGAGGTAGCTGGGGAGGTTGTGTGTGGGGGGGTTGTGGGTAGCTGGGCTGGAGATGGGGGAGCAGTGGGTAGACGGAGGGAAGACGGGGGGGGGGCTGGTGGGTAGCTGGGGACGGCTTGTGGGTAGCCGGGCGGGAGATGGGGGGGAGTGGGTAGCTGGGGACGGCTTGTGGGTCACCGGGCGGGAGATGGGGGGCTGGCGCGTAGCCGGGGAGGCTGGGGGCGGTGGGTAGCCAGGTGGGAGACAGGGGGGCGGTAGGTAGCCGGGCGGGAGACGGGGGGCTGGCGGGTAGTCGGGGAGGCTGGGGGGCGGTGGGTTGCCGGGTTCTGCACCCCCCTGACCTGTCCCCCTCCCCTCTCAGTTTGCCCAGTTGGTGCGGCTGCGCAGGAAGTTGGGGGCCGAGGAATTCCCCCTCATCGAGCAAACCTTCTACCCCAACTACCGGGAGATGGTGAGTGGGGCGGGGCTGCGGGGGCGGGCAGGGGGAGAGCCCGCGGGGGGGCTGGCGGGCAGAGCTTGGGGCTTGGGGGGGGGCACGCATAGGGCACAGGGGTGGGTAGGTCTTGGGGCTGCCCTGGACCCCTAGGGGCTGCCCTGGGCCATAGGGCCACAACCCCTTAGTGAGCTGGGCAGAAGCCTTTGCCAAGGGGGGCCCATTGGCTGCAGCCTCTGGGTGGGGGCAGAGGTGAAGGTAGGGTCGGGCCTGGCCACCCCCCGGGCTCCCTCGGGGAGGGCCCTCAGGATTCGGGGGGACAGTCAGGGATTGCAGCGCAGGGGGGTAGCCGGGGATTGGAGCATGGGGGGGCTCTGGGGTCACCAGAATGTGCCAGGGGGAAGCTGGGCCTGGGGGCTTGCACGTCCCCAGCCCCCCGGCCCCCCCAGACAACGGTGCAGATCTGAGTCCCAGCGATTTCTTTATTTACGAATCAAAAACTCAGGAAACCAATTTTAACAGAGTCCAAGCTTGGCGGGGGGATAGGGGTGGCACAGAGATCAGGGAGAGCGTTGACCCCCCCTTTTGCCCCACCCCCCAGTGCAGAGCACTCCGGGAAGACCCCTGGTCCTGCCTCTGCGGGGGGGGGTCACACATCCCAGTCCACGGTGAGGGGGGGTCACTGCCCTCGGCTCTGGGCTGCCTTGAGCAGGGCCCCGGCGAGGCTGCTCTTGAGGGTCTCCCAGGTGCAGAAGGGGTCGGCCCCGGGGGGCGCCCCCTGGCTGGGGCGGGGCAGGCAGGCCAGACGCTGGGCCTGGGGCCCCTGCCAGCTCCGGTCCAGCAGCCCGTCGGTCCAGAGGCACTGGGCGTCGCCCGACAGCGCGCAGGGCATGGAGTTACACGGCACCACCTGGGGAGGGGGCGGGGTTAGAGAGAGTGAGCCACGCCCACCCACAGGCCCCGCCCACATATCGCCGACCCCCCGCCCCCTGACGCCCCACCCCCCTCCCTCCAGCCACAGCACCTGCAGCATGGGGTAATGGCACCAGGTAGAGATGCAGGGGCGGGGCTAGAGAGAGCCACACCCAGCCCTGCTCGATCCCACCCCCTGCCCACAGAGGGGCCTCCAGGACACGCCCATCCCCCATAGACCCCGCCTTCCAAGCCCCACATCTGCCCCCCCCATTGGGCCTGGTGTTTCATGGCATCACCTGCGAGGGCTGGAGAGGGGGGGGGATTAGGGACCCTCCCACCCCCCATCTCCCTGCCCCCCAGAACTCACCTGGCAGGCGCAGCCCCCTCCGTAGGCCTGGCTGATCCCGCGGCGCTGGCTGGGGGGGACGCGGCTCCAGGGGCGCACGAAGGAGCAGGTGGAGACCGTCAGGCGCTCACCCTGCCGCACGGCTGGGGGGAGAGGGCAGAGGGAGTGGGTGGCACAGCGCCCCATAGCACCCCCGAGCCCCATAGTGCCCCACCCTCCCAGTGCCCCCCAGCCCACCCAGACACTCAGAGCCCCACAGCTCCCCCAGCCCCTCAGAGCCTCCTCAGAGCCCCCCAGCCCTGCACAGCCCTCCCAGAGTCCCCACTCTCCTGCAGACCCACATCCCCCCACAAAGACCCCCCAGACCTCCCTCCCCATAGCCCCACAGACCCCTCCAACGACTCCTAGAGCCTCTCCCCCGGCCCCCTATAGCACTGCGCAGCCCCTCAGCCCCCGCCCCAGCACCTCTGGGCAGGGACTGCTGTGTCTGGGGCAGGGGGGCTGCCCCAGGCCGGTGTCGGGGTGCCTTACCCATGATGAGGTACTCCTCCCCCTTCAGGGAGGCCGGGGGCTGGTACCCACAGACGCTCTCCAGGGCCGGGGTTTCTACGAAGTGAACGTTCTTCGGCGGCTCGAACCCTTTGTAGATCTGTGGGGAGACGCGCGTCAGAGCAGCTGGGGGCGCTGTGGGGCGCAGGGCAGGGGGGCTGGCTGGGGGTGTAGGGGGCACGTACCTTGGTGGTTTTGATCTCGTGGCGAACCCACGGCACGGATTCCCCACGGCTGTTGTTGTGGCTCAGCGGAGTGACCCCCACGAACCTGCCCCGAATCACTGCATGGCAAAGAGACAGGGGTCAGGGGACCCCCAGAGGCCCCTAGGATGCCCCCCAGCCTCCCGCCCACGACATCTAGAACCACTTGACTCTGATGTGACACAGACTATGGGGTGGGGGGGCGTGATCCTGGTTGCCCGGACTCCTGGGTCCTCCCCACGCCTTGGGGGTGTCAGGGGAAGGGTCTCCCCCTCCTTCCTGGACTCCTGGATCCTCCCACACCTTGGGGTGTCAGGGGAAGGGTCTCCCCCTCCTTCCTGGACTCCTGGATCCTCCCACACCTTGGGGTGTCAGGGGAAGGGTCTCCCCCTCCTTCCCGGACTCCTGGGTTCTTCCATGCCTTGGAGAGAGGAGGATTCCCCCCTGCCCCACCCTCATACACACTCTGGAGCCGTGACCCCAGAATCAGCTCGGGGCCCCTCCAGCGGGTAATAGCTATACCGACGCTGGGGCACAGGGGTGAAGGGAGCGCTGCCTGGTTGGCTGGAGGGGGGGGACATCACAACTGGGGGTGGGGGGGGGTTGTTTCTAGCTCTGGGGGGAGGGGCATGAGCATTTGATGGGTGTTCAGGGGAGCTGCAAAAATTGGGGGAGGACTGTGCTAGGGGGTGGAGCATTTGGGGGTCACTCACCCACATGGGCCTGGCAGAATGGCATCTGGAGGTGCTGGGGGTCAGGGTGGGGGGCTCAGAGGAGGGAACTGGGGGGCTCAGAGGGGTGCTGGGGGACAGGGGGTGAGGTCAGGGGTCACTCACTGATGGCCTGGCAGAATGCCGTCTGGGGGTGCTTGGGGTGGGGGGCTCAGCTGGGGGTACTGGGAGGCAGGGGGCTCAGAGGGGTGCTGGGGGACAGGGGGTGGGGTCAGGGGGTACTGGGGATGGGGGGCTCAGAGGGGTGCTGGGGGACAGGGGGTGAGGTCAGGGGTCACTCACTGGTGGCCTGGCAGAATGCCATCTGGGGGTGCTTGGGGTGGGGGGCTCAGCTGGGGGTACTGGGAGGCAGGGGCTCAGAGGGGTGCTGGGGGACAGGGGGTGGGGTCAGGCGGTACTGGGGGATGGGGGGCTCAGAAGGGTGCTGGGGGACAGGGGGTGGGGTCAGGGGTCACTCACCGACGTCAGCCTCGCAGAACGCCGTCTGGGGGTGCTGGGGGGCGCAGCTGCAGGCGGCCGTGGGGTCCCCCAGCGCCAGGACCAGGATCGCTCCCGCCAGCAGCCGGCTCGAGGCGACAGGGCTCATGGTGACGCTGGGATCGAGGGGGTCTGGGGGGGGGGCGGAGCCGGTTAGACCCACGAGAGATGGAGACACCCCCAGCCCCCCAGAATCACCCCAGCCTGGCCTCTCCCTACAGGGGGCGCTATGGGGGGCTCCCCACTACTCCAACCCCAGCCTTTTCCAGCAGTTTCTGCTCTGGCCTGGCCTGGAGACAGGGGGGGCCCAGGGCCGGGCTGGCAGGGGGCTGCGGGTCGGGAGTGAGGGGCGCCGGCAGGGCTGGGGGGGGAGTGTTTCTCTGCCAGAGAAAAAGGAGAAGTTAGAAGAGAAGTGGGGAAAGGACTTGGGGGGGCCGGGGGCCCAGCGGAAGGGGCGGGGGGGCCCAGCAGAAGGGCGGGGGGGCAGGCGGGAAGGAGCGGGGGGGCCCAGCGGAAAGGACCGGGGGGGCAGCAGAAGGGCCGGGGGGGGAACCGGAGGGGGCTCTGGGGGGGGCCCTCTCTCCTACCTGGACCGTGGGGCTGTCGGGCTCCGCGGTGCCTGGCTCAGCCCCGCCGGCCCCTATATAGTCCCCACGTCCCCCCCGGGCCCCCCTTTTCCTGTGCCGGCCGCGCTGGGCGGAGGGGAGGGGGGGTGATGTCAGCGGGGGGGGGGGGTTCTCTGACGTCTCTTGCCCGGTGGGGGCGGCTCCAGCTCCCCCCTCCCCCAGCGTCCCCCCCCCATGAGGGGGGTCTGATTAGTCAGCAGCCGCGGCTGGTTCTTGAGAACCCAGCCGCGAGTGGGGGAGGAGCGGGGTGGAGGTGAGGGAATGGGGCAGGCTCTATGGGGAACCGGGGGCTGGCTGGGGGCAAGCAGGGGGCTCAGCAGGGGCAGGGAGGGGCTGGGGGGTCGGCAGGGTGCTCAGCAGGGGACGGGGGGGTCTGGGCTGCAGGAGGTGGTTGGGGGTCGGGTGGGGGCTGGCAGGCGGCTCCGGGGGGCGGGCAGGGGGCTCTCAGCCCCCTCCCATGGGGTGACACCCCCGCAGCTCCTCTGCCCCCTCCCTGCCCCAGGTGCTGAGCTCACAGGTCTTGTATCATCTGCGTCACCGGGACCCCGTTGCGGGTGGGGCAGGGCAGCTGGGGGCTGACTCACCCTGGGACTCAGTGACCTCCTGCCACAGAGAGCTCAGAGCGGGGGGGCTGGGAGCCAGGACTCCTGGGTTCTTTCCTCCTGGCCTGGGCTCGAAGGTGCTGGAGGTTCTGCGCGGCCCGTTCTGGTTAAACCTGCCCCCTTTGGCTGGGACTCCGTGACTTGCCCTGAGCCGGGGCAGGAGTGAGGGGCACCCCTGCCCTGTGTGTGCCAGGATGGGGTCAGCCCCCACACAGACAGCCAGTGTCCTGCTCCCCACAACGCCCCAGCTGGAGCAGCCGGCTGTGTGTGGGAGACTCCATATGGTTGTGGGGGGCTGGTTCTGAGGGCGATTTGCAATCCCAGGGGCCTGGCTGGGGGGGAATCAGGGCAGGGTGTGTGGGGGATCGGGGGCCTGGCTGGGGGGAATTGGGAGGCAGGCTGTATGGGGAATTGGGGGCAGGCTTCGGGCTGGCTGGAGGGGTCAGGGGGCCTTAGTGGGGACAAGCAGGGGGCGGGCTGTGGGTCGTGCTTGCAGAGAAAGTCTGGGTTTCCCAATGCCGGTGGCAGGAAGTGAGGCAGGCGTGGGGCGGGGGGGGAGGGGGTGACTCACCCTGGGCCATTGGGGAAGTGGGGCCGTGACCCCAGGATTCCCTCCCAGCTTCACTCCTTGCACAACCTGGACCGTGCTTATACACACATCGGAGCCGGGAAGGGGGTGAAGGACGGGCCCCAAGTCTCAGACCCCGCCCCCCAGCCCCTAAACCAGATACTCCCCTCAACCCAGAGGTGGCTGCGGCTGGGGGAGGCGTCCCCATGTGGCGTTATATGTGGCTGTTCCCCAGCTGCCCCGCCCCAGAGCTGGCTGCATCTCAGCGCCGGGTGGGCTGGCTCCGGCTGACACAGCTCCTTGTTATTTCCTTTAATAACAATTTACTGAAGTTCATGAGAAATTATTTTCTGTCTCTGACCTATGACCCCTGCCGGGCGAAATCGGCCCAGTGATGCCTGAGTGCAAAGTGTCTGGTTTCTGTATGTCCATGGAGTGGGGCCTACTGGGATGGAGGGGGCGCTGGGAGCCAGGACTCCTGGGTTCTCTCCCCCGCCAGAGGGGGGGTGGGGTCTGGTGGTCAGAGCAGGGGGGGCTGGGAGCCAGGACTCCTGGGTTCTCTCCCTGGCTCTGGGAGGGGAGTGGGGTCTGGTGGTCAGAGCAGTGGGGGGCTGGGAGCCAGGGCTCCTGGGTTCTCTCCCCGGCACTGGGAGGGGCGTGGGGTCTGGTGGTTAGAGCTGTGTGTGTGGCCGGGGGGGCCGGATCCCAGCTCAAAGGGATTGCCAGGGAATTGGGGGCTTGGGGCTGAGGTGTGATGGCCCCGCTGACCTGGGTGGGTGTCTACCGGGGGGGGGGGGTCTGTGTCTGGTGCGGCGGTGGGTGGGGGATTTACATTTATAGCCCGTTATTCCAGGAAGGGAGGGGGGCGGTGCCAGGCCACGGGCAGACGGGCAGGGAGCCAGGCCTGGATTGGAAACAGGCGGCCGGGGCTGAGGGGCAGCCAAAACCGCGCCTGGGTGTCTGGACTCACGGGCTGGGGGGGGCTGCGGGTTGGGAGTGAGGGGCACCGGCAGGGCTGGGGGGGGGCGAGCCCAAAGGGCTGTGGTTTGGGAGTGAGGGGCACCCCCTGATTCCCCTCCTCCCCTCTCTCTCTCTCTCTCTCCCCAGCTGACGACCCCCAGGTACCCCGTGGTGGTGAAGATGGGCCACGCCCACTCTGGGATGGGCAAGGTAAGCGCCCCGCCCCCTTTGCCCTCTCTGCCCTGTGCTCCGCCCACTTTGAGTGGGGTATCCCCAGCGGTGGCCCTGCATTGGCCCCCTAAGTAACTAGAGGAGGGAGGAGATGAGGGTGGGGAAATACTGAACGGAACGTGTGTGGGGGGGCAGACGAGGGAGGTTCCCGCCTCTCTCCCCATTGGTCAGTCTGAGCTGCCAAAGCAGGAAGTTCCTCCCCAGGGGGCGGGGTTTGGCTCTCTAGGGGCGTGTCCTGCCTGACCTGGCAAAACAGGAAGTCCCTCCTCAGAGGGGACACGGGGGAGGGGGCCAGAGATGTTTGTCTTGGGGGTGATGCTTTGATTGGGGGGCGAAGGCATCGCCGCTGCCTGCTCTCGGCTGGAGGGCCCCTGGGGGGCAAACGCACCCCACGGCTTGGGGCAGCCCGGGGGGGAGCCCCCCCCGGCGCCCCCTAGGTGTGAGATGCCAGGTTCTGCACCTCCCCCGCGGGGTGACCCTGCCCGGCCCTGGGGGGGAAGGGGGCTGGCGCTGAAGGGTCCCGCCCGCCCCCCAGGTGAGGGTGGAGAACCAGTACGACTTCCAGGACATCGCCAGCGTGGTGGCCCTGGCCCGGACGTACGCCACGGCCGAGCCCTTCGTCGACGCCAAGTACGACCTGCGGGTGCAGAAAATCGGCACCAGCTACAAGGCTTATATGTGAGTGTCCCCCCCCGGCCTGCCCCCCGGCGCCCCCTCAGGGGCCCCCACCCTGCCCTGCCCCACCGTGTCCCTGTCCCACCCTGCAGCACCCCCTTAGGGGCGCCCGCCTCCCTGCACCGCCATCCCGCTGCCCCGTCCCCCAGCGCCCCTGTCCCACTGCCCTGCCCCCCAGTGCCCCTGTCCTGCCCCTCAGCATCCCCTTAGGGGTCACCGCCCCATGGCACCCCATCCCACCTGTCCCACCCTGCAGCACCCCCTCAGGGGCCCCCACCCTGCCCTGCCCCACCGTGTCCCTGTCCCACCCTGCAGCACCCCCTTAGGGGTGCCCGCCTCCCTGCACCGCCATCCCGCTGCCCCGTCCCCCAGCGCCCCTGTCCCACTGCCCTGCCCCCCAGTGCCCCTGTCCTGCCCCTCAGCATCCCCTTAGGGGTTCCCACCCTGCTCTGTGGCACCCTGTCCCACCCATCCCCCCCCCGCAGCACCCCCTCAGGGGCCCCCACCCTGCCCTGCCCCACCATGTCCCTGTCCCACCCCGCAGCACCCCCTTAGGGGCCCCCGTCCCACCCCACAGCACCCCCAATGTCCCCCTCTAACGCCCCCGTCTCGGCCCAGGAGAACCTCGGTCTCGGGGAATTGGAAAACGAACACGGGCTCAGCCATGCTGGAGCAAATCGCCATGTCTGACAGGTGCGGGGGTGGGGGGGCGACCCCCTGGGGGCGGGGCTCCATGGGGCTGGGGAAGGGGCGGGGCTAAAGGAGGCTGCTGGGGGGTCAGAGACCCCTTGGGGGGCGGGGCTCCATGGGGCTGGAGAAGGGGCAGGGCTAAAGGAGGCTGCGGTGGCGGGGGGCAGAGACTAAGGGAAGGGTCACTGGGGTCGGGCCTGAAGGGGGCTAGTGGGGGCTGGGCTGGGGTAGCCCCGGTGGGCGGGGCTAAAGGTGAAGACCCCAGTGGATGGCAGGGACGGGAGGGGTCTGGTCACCCGCTGGGGGGGGCAGGGGCAGGGTTTGGGGGGTCCCATGAGGAGGGCTGGGCAGGGAAGGGAAGGGGAGACCTTTGGGGTCGGTGTGGGGGGTGGGGGGCAGTAGGGGTCCTGGTGGGGTCTCCATGAAGGCGGGGAGGCTGGGGGTCTGTCTGGGGGGGGGCATTGTCTCTGTGTGTGGGGGGAAGTCTCTCCATGAGGGATGGGGGATAATAGGGGGCTCCCCAGAGGCTGGGGGTAGGGGGGTCTCTCTGTGGGGGTCACTGGGGAGGTCCCTGGAGGCTGGGGGGCAGGGGGTCTCTCTGTGGTGGTCTTTGGGGTGCCCCCAAGGGCTTGGGGGAAGGGGGTCTCTCTGTGGGGGTTATTGGGGGGTCCTCAGGATTTGGGGTGAGGTCTCTGTCAGGGGGTGTTGCTCATCCCCCCTTCCCACCCCCCCCAGGTACCGGCTGTGGGTCGACACCTGCTCGGAGATTTTCGGGGGGCTGGACATCTGCGCGGTGGAAGCCCTGCACGGCAAGGACGGGCGTGACCACATCATTGAGGTGACCTCGCTGTGGGGGCCTGGGGGGCAGCCTGGGGGAGGGAGCCCACAAGTGGCTGTGTCAGAGTGTGTCTCCTGGATGCCTGGGTCCGCAACGAGGGGATGGCTGATGAGCCGCCCCCCACCACTGCCCGGACGCCTGGGTCCCACTGCTGCTAACACCCCCCCCCGCAACATTTCCCCCTCCCAGGTCGTCGGCTCCTCCATGCCCCTGATCGGGGACCAGCAGGACGAAGACAAAGAGCAGATTGTGCAGCTGGTCCTGGGGCGCATGGCGCAGGCCCTGCCCCGAACCCCCACCCCCTCCCCGGTGCGGGGGGGCCTGGCCCAGGTACCCCCCATCCTGAACCCCCCCTCCCCAGGTGCCCCCTGCCTCAAACCCCCCCTCCCTGGTGCGGGGGGGCCCGGCCCAGGTACCCCCCTGCCCTGAACCCCCCCCTCCCCAAGTGCCCCCTGGCCCGAACCCCCACCCCCTCCCCCTCCCTGGTACAGGGGGGCCTGGCCCAGGTACCCTCTGGCCCTGAACCCCTCCCCCCTCCCTGGGGGGGGCCGGCCCACATACCCTCCTGCCCCTGAACCCCCACCCCCTCCCTGGTGCGGGGGGAACCGGCCCAGGTACCCTCGTGCCCCCAAACCCCCACCCCCTCCCCAGGTACCCTCCTGCCCCCAAACCCCCACCCCCTCCCCAGGTGCTCCCTGCCCCCAAACCCCACCCCCACTGTGGGGAAGCCCCAGGCCCTCCACCAGCCCTGGGCGCCACATCCCGGGGGTGGGGGGCACACGAGTCTCTGCATCAAACGCCCTGTCCCACCACCTGGGTCATCGTGCAACGCCCAGGGGAAACTGAGGCACAACACAGTATTCACACCAAAAATTAAGAAAATTCCCCCACCCCACTCCCTTCCCTGGCGTGTGGGGGGGACTAGGTCCAGGTACCCCCCACTCCCCCATAACTTCGTGACCCCACTTCCTGAGCAGTTCAGGCTCCCCACCCAACGTCCCCTCCTCACCCCCCCGGGCACGACCCCTCCCCCAACTGACACCCCCTTTCTCTTACAGGCGCAGGGAGCCCCGGCTGGGCAGAGACAAGGACCCACGGCGCAGCAACGGCCCCCCCCGCAGGGTGGGTCTCGAACAGCAACCCCCACTGCTCAGCCCCTCCCACTAAGCCCCCTTTCTGTCCCCTGAAGCATGGCACCCCCCACTGACCCCCCGGCCCCCACAGCACAGCCCCCCCACCAACCCCCTGGAGCATGGCGCCCCCCCATGTCCCCCCACTAATGGTCTTTCTCTCTCTCTCTCTTGCAGGGGGACCACAGCCACCAGCCCCACACCCCCAGCGCCCCCCATCTCAGCAGCGCCCCCCCCCACAGGGGCAGCAGCTCTCCGGCCTGGCCCCCCAGCCTGGTGGCCCCCCCCTGCAGCAGCGCCTGCCCAGCCCCACCGCCCCCCAGCAGCGCCCCATGGGTCCCCCCCAGCAGCGCCAGCCGGGCCCCGGCATCCCACAAGGCTCCCGAGCCCCCCAGCCCGGTGTGGGAGTCCCCCCAGCCCCCCAGCCCCAGCGGGGACCCAGCCCCGGGGCTGGGGGCCAGTCCCCCCAGTCGCAGCCAAAGTCCGGGGGGGCCTCTCCCCAGCCTCAGCAGCCTCCCCAGCAGCGCCCCCCAGGGGCCCAGCAGCGAGCACCACCCCGGCAGAGCAGCCAGGGGGCGCCCTCCAGCCAGCGGGTCCCCCCCCAGCCCCGCCCGGCGCCCCCCACCACCCAGCAGCCGCGGCCCAGCGCCCAGGGGGGCAGCCGGCCCCCTCCAGCACACGGAAAACCCCAAGTGGCTCAGAAACCCACCCCGGAGCTGCCGGTGCCCCAGCCCCAGATGAAGTAAGGACCCCCCCCTGCCCCAGGACTCCTGGGTTCTGTCCTGGCTCTGGGAGGGGAGTGGGGTCTAGTGGTTGGGGGGTTGTGAGCCAGGACGCCTGGGTTCTCTCCCCAGCTCTGGGAGGGGAGTGGGGGTCTAGTGGTTGGGGGGTTGGGAGCCAGGACGCCTGGGTTCTCTCCCCAGCTCTGGGAGGGGAGTGGGGGTCTAGTAGGGATGTGGGGGGGGCTGGGAGCCCGAACACCTGTGTTCTCGCCTTGGCTCTGGGAGGGGACTGGGGGCTAGTTGGGGGGGGGGTGTTGGATGGGGGGGTCTCCATTCTCCTGCTTGTCTCCCCCTCACCGCTTATGGCCTGCGCCCGGGGGGTGGGGGGGGTCAGTGCCTGTCCCGGGGGGGGCCCCCCACTCACCCCCTGCTGTGCTACTGCCTGGCATGGATTAATCGTGTCTTTCTCTCCCCCCTTCCCCTCCCCCCACGGCCCCCTCCCCCCGCAGCAAGTCCCAGTCTCTGACCGGCTCCTTCCCCCTTGCAGAGCCGGCGCGGGCCACCGCTAGCCCGGAGGAGGCCGGGGCCGAGTCCATCCGCTCACTCCGCCAGAGCTTCGCCAGCCTCTTCTCCGAGTGACCCCGAGACCCCCCCGGCCCCCCCGAGACCCCCTCAGAGACCCCCCCCAGAGCTTCGCCAGCCTCTTCTCCGAGTGACCCCGAGACCCCCCCCGGCCCCCCTCAGAGACCCCCCCAGAGCTTCGCCAGCCTCTTCTCCGAGTGACCCCGAGACCCCCCCCGAGACCCTCCCGGCCCCCCTTCAGAGACCCCCCGGCCCCCCCGAGACCCCCTCAGAGACCCCCCCCGAGCTTCGCCAGCCTCTTCTCCGAGTGACCCCTGAGACCCCCCCTGGCCCCCCCGAGACCCTCCCGGCCCCCCTCAGAGACCCCCCCCGAGACCCCCCCCGGCCCCCCTCAGAAACCCCCCCGAGCTTCGCCAGCCTCTTCTCCGAGTGACCCTGAGACCCCCCCCGGCCCCCCCGAGACCCCCTCAGAGACCCCCCCCGAGCTTCGCCAGCCTCTTCTCCGAGTGACCCCCGAGACCCCCCCTGGACCCCCGAGACCCTCCCGGCCCCCTCAGAGACCCCCCCGGCCCCCCTCAGAAACCCCCCCCGAGCTTCGCCAGCCTCTTCTCCGAGTGACCCCTGAGACCCCCCCCGGCCCCCCTCAGAGACCCCCCGAGCTTCGCCAGCCTCTTCTCCGAGTGACCCCCGAGACCCCCCCCCGGCCCCCCCGAGACCCCCTCAGAGACCCCCCCCAGAGCTTCGCCAGCCTCTTCTCCGAGTGACCCCGAGACCCCCCCGGCCCCCCCCCCGAGACCCTCCCGGCCCCCCTCAGAGACGCCCCCGAGCTTCGCCAGCCTCTTCTCCAAGTGACCCCGAGACCCCCCGAGACCTCCTCAGAGATCCCCCCCCAGCTTCGCCAGCCTCTTCTCTGAGTGACCCCCGAGACCCCCGGCCCCCCCCAAGACCTCCTCAGAGACCCCCCCCAGCTTCGCCAGCCTCTTTTCCGAGTGACCCCCGAGACCCCCCGGCCCCCCCCAAGCTTCGCCAGCCTCTTCTCCGAGTGACCCCCGAGACCCCCCCGGCCCCCCTCAGAGACCCCCCCAGAGCTTCGCCAGCCTCTTCTCCGAGTGACCCCCGAGACCCTCCCCGGCCCCCCCGAGCTTCGCCAGCCTCTTCTCTGAGTGACCCCCGAGACCCCCCCCCGAGACCTCCTCAGAGACCCCCCCCCAGCTTCGCCAGCCTCTTCTCCGAGTGACCCCCGAGACCCCCCCCGGCCCCCCTCAGAGACCCCCCCAGAGCTTCGCCAGCCTCTTCTCCGAGTGACCCCCGAGACCCCCCCGGCCCCCCGAGACCTCCTCAGAGACCCCCCCGAGCTTCGCCAGCCTCTTCTCTGAGTGACCCCGAGACCCCCCCGGCCCCCCCGAGCTTCGCCAGCCTCTTCTCCGAGTGACCCCCGAGACCCCCCGGCCCCCCCCCGAGCTTCGCCAGCCTCTTCTCCGAGTGACCCCCGAGACCCCCCCCCCCCCCGAGACCTCCTCAGAGACCCCCTCAGAGACCCCCCCAGAGCTTCGCCAGCCTCTTCTCCGAGTGACCCCCGAGACCCCCCCGGCCCCCCCCGAGACCTCCTCAGAGACCCCCCGAGCTTCGCCAGCCTCTTTTCCGAGTGACCCCCGAGACCCCCCCTGGCCCCCCCGAGACCTCCTCAGAGACCCCCCGAGCTTCGCCAGCCTCTTCTCCGAGTGACCCCCGAGACCCCCCCCGGCCCCCCGAGACCTCCTCAGAGACCCCCCCGAGCTTCGCCAGCCTCTTCTCCGAGTGACCCCCGAGACCCACCCCGGCCCCCCCGATACCTCCTCAGAGACCCCCTCAGAGCTTCGCCAGCCTCTTCTCCGAGTGACCCCCGGCCCCCCCAAGACCTCCTCAGAGACCCCCCAGAGCTTTGCCAGCCTCTTCTCTGAGTGACCCCCCCGAGGTTCACCAGCCTCTTCTCCGAGTGACCCCCCCAGAGACCCCCCCCGGACACACCCCAGAGCTTCACCAGCCTCTTCTCTGAGTGACCCCCCCCCCCCGCTGCCCCTGGTTCTCCCCCTACTTCCCCCGGCGCCCCCAGAGACCCTCCCCTGCTGCCCCAGCCTCTAGAGACTCCCCCACTGTCCCCGGTCCCCCCTGCTGCTTTTCAGAGACCTCCCTTCTTCTGCCAGAGACCCCCCCTGTTGTCCCAGCCCCCCCAGAACCCTCCTCCAACCCTGGTTCCCCACACTTCCCCTGGCCCCCCAGAGACCCCTCTGCTGCCTCTGGGTCTCTCCCACTGCTTCTGCTCTCCTGCCCCTGGGAGCCCGCCACAGCCCACCAAGTGATGCCACGGCCCCTCCCTGACACCCCCAATGGCCCCATTGATCCTCCTGGGGACCCCAATGACTCCCCCTCACTGCAACATCCATCCCCCTGACGGGGACCCCGAGGAGCTGAAGACCCAGCACCTGCCGCTGCCTGGAGCCGGAACTGCTGCATTCAGCCCCCCGGACACCGGGGTCCCCACAATGCGCCCTGTGCTGGTAGGGGGGACGGGGGACAGGACATGGACGTTTGTGTTTGTGCTACCGATGGGTTGGTGTGGCTGTGTGTGAAATTAACAGCCCCCACCCCCAAATGCACCCTAGCCGCCCCATAACACCCCCACATCCCTGCCCCCAGCAACACCCCCATGGTGCCTCCCACAAGCCTCCCACCCCTGAATCCACCCCTAATTCCCCCACATCCCTGCCCCCCCATGCTGACTCATGGGAGCCCACAACCCCCGCAAATGCACCCTAGCTCCCCCACATCCCTGTCCCCCAGAAACACCCCCCAGGCTGCCTCCCAAGACCCCCCACCCCACAATACCCACACATCCCTGCCCCCAGCAACACCCCCCAGGCTGCCTCCTGCGAGGCCCCTACCCCCAAATCCACCCTAGCCCCCCCATACCCTCACATCCCTGCCCCCCAGCAACACCCCCCCAGGCTGCCTCCCACAAGCCCCCACCCCCAAATCCACCCTAGCCCCCGTTCTACCCCCACATCTCTGCCCCCCCAGCAACACCCCATCCCCCTCCTCTGATACCCCCCATGTACTACCCCACCAGCCCATCCCCCTTTCCCCAGTGGCCCCCACAATGCCCTCCTGCCCCCCATCAGCTCCCCCCTGTACATATCTCAGAGTCTTGCCCCCTCTATATTTTTGAGCGCTCCCCCCAGCGCAGTGTCGTGATGCCCCCCCAGCACGTGATGTTTGCGTGTCGTTTCCGTGTCGTGCCATGACGCTTCGACCCCCTGCCCCAAATCGGGCCCTGGGGGGAGGGCGTGCAGGAGGGAGCCCAGGATCGGGCCCCTCCCCCCCCGCCGCTGCCCCCCCGCCCCAGTTCCGACTGTGAAGGGGATGGGGTGGGGGCAGGGCAGTCGAGCACTAATTGCTCCCCTCCCCCCCGTTAGTGATACTTGTGACACTGTCGTGGGTCCCCATCGTCTGTGATGTCAAAGAAACGCGGCGCGAGGCCGGGAAACCAGAGACCGATATATTAAAATCGAGATTTAACAGCCCGTGGGTCGCCGTTAATGCAGCCACCTCTGGGGCGGGGCAGCCGGGAATGGCCCCATAGAACGCCGGCCAGGGTTGCCATTAATGCACTCACCTCTGGGGTGGGGCAGCAGGGATCAGCCCCATAGAACGCCGGCTAGGGTTGCTGCTAATGCAGCCACCTCTGGGGCGGGGCAGCCAGGAACGGCCCCATAGAACGCCGGCTGGGGTTGCCGTTAATGCACCCACCTCTGGGGCGGGGCAGCCGGGAACGGCCCCATAGAACACCGGCCGGGGATGCCGGGATGCAGCCACCTCTGGGGCGGGGCAGCAGGGATCGGCCCCATAGAACGCCGGCTAGGGTTGCCGCTAATGCAGCCACCTCTGGGGCAGGGCAGCCAGGAACGGCCCCATAGAACGCCGGCTGGGGTTGCCGTTAATGCACCCACCTCTGGGGCGGGGCAGCCGGGAACGGCCCCATAGAACACTGGCCGGGGATGCCGGGCTGCAGCCACCTCTGGGGCGGGGCAGCAGGGAAGAGCGAACTGCCCGGGGGGGATGACAGGGTGGGGGTTCACACATTGATCTCCATATAAGCTCCCCAGCCCCTTGGTGTGCTTGCCCCCCTCTCCCATAGTTGCTCCCGGATGCCTGGGTCCCGTAGCCCCCCCCCCAGGCTGGGGGAGGCTCAGAGCAGCGGGCAGCTCCTGGCGCCGGGGGTGGGGGGTCATCCGCCCACCCTGGCACGGGGCAGTCCGTCTGTCCGGGCTAGGCGAGGGGGGCAGGGGCGACGGGGGGGGAGGAGCCGCCAGGGTCGGGGTGGGAGGTGCGGTGCAGGGAGGGTTCGGACATGCTTCGCTCCAGCTTGGGGAGGAGCCGTTGCAGCTGCTCCACCGTGGCCAGGATCTGGGGGGAAAAAGGGGGTGAGATGGGTCCCTCCAAGCCCCGCCCCCAGGGACCACCCAAGAGTCCTGGGGGGAGAACCCAAGAGTCCTGGCTTCCTGTTCCCCTCTCTGACCACTTGCCCCCACTCCCCTCCCAGGACTGGAGAGAGAACCCAGGAGTCCCGGCTCCCTGCCCCCTTCTCCACTCTGACCACTAGCCCCCACTCCTCTGCCAGGGCCAGAGAGAGAACCCAGGCGTCCGGGCCCCGCCCCCACTCACCTGGGGGAAGAGAGGTCTCTCCTCTCGGTTGAATTTCAGGCAGTTCGTCATGAGTCTCTTCAGGGCCTTGGGGCAGGTGCTCGGCACCCGGCTCATGTCAGGGGACAGGTACCCCCGGCCCACCATGAACAGGATCTGGCGGGCGAGGGATTGGGTCAGAGACAGGACACCCCGAAACCCCCATTTAGAACCCGAGGAGCTGCGAGTCGGGAGTGAGGGGCACCAGCAGAGCTGCGGAGAGCCCAGGACTGGGCTGGCAGGGGCTGCGGTCTGGCAGCGAGGAGTGCCGGGGGGCTGCGGGTTGTCAATGAGGGGTGCCGGGGGGCTGCGGGTCGGACGCGAGGAGTGCCGGGGGGTGCAGGTGGCAGCAAGGAGCGCCGGGAGGTGGGGGTCAGTAGTGACGGGCGCCAGGGGGCTGCAGTCAGCAGTGGGGGGGCACTGGGAGGTGCGGGTCAGCAGGGAGGGGTGCCAGGGGGCTGCAGGTCAGGAGTGAGCGGTGCCGGGGGAGCACGGAGGGGGCGCTGGGCGGTACCTGGTTGTGGCTACGGATGTGCCTGTAGGGGAGGCTGCGGGTGCAGGGAGGGGCCGGGGGGCTGCGGGGGGGCACAGGGAGCTGTGGGGGGGCCGGGCGGTACTGGGGGGACGGGGGAGCTGTGGAAGGACCCGTGGGGGGCCCAGGCAGTACCTGGTCGCGGCTGCGGACGTGCCCGTAGGGGAGGCTGCGGGTGCAGGGAGGGGCTGGGGAGTTGCAGGGGGCCAGGTGGTAACTGGGGGGGCCCAGGGGGGCTGTGGGGGGGCCCAGGCAGTACCTGGTCGCGGCTGCGGACGTGCCCGTAGGGGAGGCTCCCCGTGCTCAGCTCGTACAGAACCACCCCGTAGGCGTAGACGTCGGACTGGAAGCTGTAGGGGCGGCTGTCCTGCATGCGGATCACCTCGGGGGCCTGCGGGGAGACACCGTTAGGGGGCTGTGGGGTGGGGGGCCTGCAGGGGGTGAGGTGGGGGGGGACTGGGCAGGGAGGGGTGGGATGACAGCGGGACTCTATGGGGGTCAGCAGGGCACCATGGGGCTCAGCAGGGTGCCGTGGGGGTCAACAGGGCGCTGTGGGGCTCAGCAGGGCACTGTGGGGTGCTGTGGGGCTCAGCAGGGCGCTGTGGGGGTCAGCAGGGCGCTATGGGGTGCCGTGGGGCTCAGCAAGGCGCCGTGGGGGTCAGCAGGGCGCTATGGGGCAGTGTGGGGGTCTCACCATCCAGAGCACGGAGCCCCGGGGCTGCTCGACCCGGCGGGCCCCACTCCAGTGCGTCTTCACCGTGGCCAGACCGAAGTCGCCGATTTTCACCGTCAGCCCCTCGTGCAGGAAGATGTCTGGGGTGGGGGGTTAGGGGGCAACCAGCACCGACGAGCCCCCCACGATGCCCCCACCTCAGGGACAACCCCGCAAGTCCCCTCCCCCACCGCGCCCCACAGCACAGAACCCCCCCCCGCCGCCACCATCTTGGGTACGTCCCCCCGTTCCTGCCGCCATCTTGGATACGGCCCCCCATTATCCCGGCCCTGCTGCCATCTTGGATACGCCCCCCGCCCCCCCATTCCCCTGGCCCTGCCGCCATTGGAGCCCGGCATGGGGGGGCCGGTAGGATACTGTTGGATTTCAGGTCCCGGTGGATGATGTTCTTGGCATGAAGATAACTGGAGGTGGGGAGAGAAACCGGGGGAGCCCCCCCCATGAGCAGCACCCCCCACTGTGCCAGCCCCCCCATATTCCCATAATGTCTGCCCCCCGCCCCTCCCCCATTGGCAACCCCCCACCGTGCCAGCCCCCCATGGGCAACCCCCCACCACGCCAGCCCCCCCATATTCCCATAACGCCAGCCCCCCACCCCTCTCCCATTGGCAACCCCCCACCGTGCCAGCCCCCCCATATTCCCATAATGCCAGCCCCCCCACCCCACTCCCATTGGCAACCCCCCACCGTGCCAGCCCCCCCACCCCTCTCCCATTGGCAACCCCCCACGTGCCAGCCCCCCATATTCCCATAACGCCAGCCCCCCACCCCCCATTGGCAACCCCCCCACGCGCCAGCCCCCCATATTCCCATAACGCCAGCCCCTCCCCCATTGGTAACCCCCCACCGTGCCAGCCCCCCATATTCCCATAACGCCAGCCCCCCACCCCCCATTGGCAACCCCCCCACGCGCCAGCCCCCCCATATTCCCATAATGCCAGCCCCCCCATTGGTAACCCCCCACCGTGCCAGCCACCCATATTCCCATAATGTCTGCCCCCCGCCCCTCCCCCCATTGGCAACCCCCCACCGTGCCAGCCCCCCATGGGCAACCCCCCACCACGCCAGCCCCCCCATATTCCCATAACGCCAGCCCCCCACCCCTCTCCCATTGGCAACCCCCCACCGTGCAAGCCCCCCATGGGCAACCCCCCACCACGCCAGCCCCCCGCATATTCCCATAACGCCAGCCCCCCCACCCCTCTCCCATTGGCAACCCCCCACCGTGCCAGCCCCCCCATATTACCATAACGCCAGCCCCTCCCCCATTGGCAACCCCCCACCGTGCCAGCCCCCCATATTCCCATAACACCAGCCCCCCACCCCTCTCCCATTGGCAACCCCCCACCGTGCCAGCCCCCCATATTCCCATAACGCCAGTCCCCCCCATTGGTAACCCCCCACACGCCAGCCCCTCATGGGCAACCCCCCACGCGCCAGCCCCCCATATTCCCATAACGCCAGCCCCCCACCCCCCATTGGCAACCCCCCACGCGCCAGCCCCCCATATTCCCATAACGCCAGCCCCCCACCCCCCATTGGCAACCCCCCACGCGCCAGCCCCCCATATTCCCATAACGCCAGCCCCTCCCCCATTGGTAACCCCCCACGCGCCAGCCCCCCATATTCCCATAACGCCAACCCCCCCCATTGGTAACCCCCCACCGTGCCAGCCCCCCATATTCCCATAACACCAGTCCCTCCCCACTCCTGCTCAGCGCCCCCCCGGTCAGCCCTGCCCCCCGGACTCACTCCATGCCCTGGGCCGTCTGGCGCGCCACCTCGGTGCGGGCGGGGGCGTCGAGCCGGGTCTCGCACACATGCAGGTGCCGGTAGAGGCTGCTGCCCTCGCACCACTGGGTGATGATGGCGAAACTCGGCCGTGTCATGAACCCCATGAACAGGAGCACGTTGACGTGACGCGTCCGCCTGCGGGGCCGGGGGGGGGTCACTGGGGGGGGGGCAGGCGCCGGGGCCCGTCCTCCCTGGCCACTGGACGCCTGCTTCGCCGCAGACTGGTACCCCGGACGCCTGGGTCCCTCCCGCCATCCCCTGGACGCCTGCTTCCCCGCAGACTGGTACCCCGGACGCCTGGGTCCCTCCCGCCACCCCTGGACGCCTGGTACCCTCCCCCGCCACCATCCCCGGACTCCCGCTTCCCCGCAGACTGGTATCCCCGGACGGCAGGGTCCCTCCCGCCACCCCTGGATGCCTGGGTTCCTCCCCCAACACCGTCCCCGAATGCCTGCTTCCCCGCAGACTGGTACCCCTGGACGCCTGGGTCCCTCCCGCCACCCCTGGACGCCTGCTTCCCCGCAGACTGGTATCCCGGACGCCTGGGTCCCTCCCGCCACCCCTGGACGCCTGCTTCCCCGCAGACTGGTACCCCGGACACCTGGTACCCTCCCCCGCCACCATCCCCGGACTCCCGCTTCCCCGCAGACTGGTATCCCCGGACGGCAGGGTCCCTCCCGCCACCCCCGGACGCCTGGGTTCCTCCCCCAACACCGTCCCCGAATGCCTGCTTCCCCGCAGACTGGTACCCCTGGACGCCAGGGTCCCTCCTGCCACTCCCGGACGCCTCGGTCCCTCCCCTGACACCGTCTCTGGACGCCTGGTTCCCCCCAGACTGGTATCCTGGATGCCTGAGTCTCTCTCACCCCAAACCGCCACCCTCAGATGCCTGGATTCCCCCTGACCACCACCTCTGGATGCCTGGGTCCCTCCTGCTGCAAACCGCCAAGGCCGGACACCCCCAACTGCCACCCCCGGATGTCTGGGTTCCCCGCAAACTGCTAAATCACTGGAAGCTGGGGTCCCTCCTCTTGCTCCATGAACCCCTGGATGCCTGGGTCCCTCCTTCCGGCCTGCCAACCCTGACACAGGGGCCACCTCCCCAGTCTGGTTCCCCCCCAGACTGGTACCCCCCAGACGCCTGGTTCCCTCCCGCCACCCCTGGATGCCTGGGTCCCTCCCCCAACACTGTGCCTTTGCACACTGGGGTCCCTCCTGCCCATCCCGGATGCCAGGTTCCTTCCAGCCCCACCTGGACACCAGGTTCTCCCTGGATACCGGGGTCCCTCCTGCTCCCCCGAGAGGCCAACGTCCCTCCCGGACGCCGGGGTTCCTACCTGAGTACCTGCATCTCGTTCTTGAAGGCCTGCACCTGCTGGGCCGTGGGCTGCGTCACCTTGAGGATTTTGACGGCGACATGGCCGTGCCATTGGCCCTGGTAGACGGTGCCGAAGGACCCGGCTCCCACCCGGCGCAGTAGGATCACCTCGTGCGGGGGCACCTCCCACTGGTAGCCCGAGTCCCGGTAGCCCAGGGCCTTCTGCAATGGGCGGAGGGGGGGGGAAGAGGGCAGTGGGGGGCTCATCTTGTTCCCTCCCCCAGCCTGCCCCAGCCGAATGCCGCCACCAGCCTCGGACCCGGCTTCACTTTCCCCAGGTGCAGATCCCGGGAGAATGACCGATCCCCGGCTTCTTCGGAGCCCCCCTTCATGGGAAGGCCCCTGGGGTGCCCCCCCCCGCTCAGCTGTCACTTCTCCCACCGGCCCCGCGGTCTCACCCCCTCCCCAGTGGGGCGGTTTCCTAAATCGCGCACCCCCTGCTGCGGCCCCGTCCGCGGGGTGCCCCGGCTACTGTCCGTGGCTTGCGGCCGCGTGCTCCGCCCCTCCCCCCAGCACGGTCGGCCTTTCTCACCGGCCCCCCCCCCATCGGCGTTGTGGAGGAGTCAGGGGGCAGGGGATGGGGGGATGGAGTTGGGGGGAGTCCGGGTCAGGAGCCCTGAGGATGGGGGTCAGAGGTAGCAGGCCGGGATTGGGTGGGGGCAGGAGCCAAGGGCCCGATGTAGGAGAGGGCATGGGGGGTGTACAAGGTTGGGCGAGTAGGGCAGGATTGGGGGGTTGGTGGGCAGGGCATGAGGAGGAGGGGGTGCAGGGCACTGTGGGGGGCAGACACACTGTGGGGGGGCAGACATCCCCCCCAGCCACCCCCCTCAACTCACCACCTTCTTCTTGTCCTCGGCCGACGATGCCGACCCCTTCCGCTCCTTGGGGGGCTGCGGGGGAGACTTGGAAGGGGCCCCGCGGCGCCCGGGGGGGTCCTGGGCGGGGCTGGGACCTGGGGGAGACACTTCCCCCCCATCTGGAGGTGGGCAGAGAGAGTGGAGTGAGCCGGGGACCCCAGAGCAGCCCCCTGACCCACGGCCTCCACTGAGCCCCCTGCCTGCCCCGTGCAGCACTACGCCCCCCCACCAACCCTCCCGCCTGCCCCCCGCAGCATGGCCCTCCCCCGAATCCCCTGCCCACCCCCCGCAGCACAATGCCCCCCATCGAACACCCCCACTGCCTGGTGCCCTCCAGAACCCCCGACCCACAGCCCAGCTTCCCCTGCTGAGACCCCCCCCGAGCCTCCCACAGCCCGGCGACCCCAAACGTCTGGGCTTCTCACCGTCTGTGATGAAGCTCATGGCTGCGATCTGAAAAAGGGGGGAAGAGCTCAGAGACCCCGAGAGGAAACGAACCCGCGGGGCCCCGTCTCCACGCCCCAGGCTGGTGGGGCCGAGCTTGCGCGCGACCCACGATTCCTGGCCCCTTCCCCTGTCCCCCCCGCTGCCCACACTCGCTGGCCCCCCTCGTCCGGGCCCCCCAGGCTGGACGTGGGTTGGACAGGCTCCCCCCGCTGGGCCTAGGGAATCCCTGCTCGTTAACAGCAATTAACATGACACCTAGAGGGGACAGGTCCCAGGCCCCATTTCCTGCCCCCCTGAGCCAGCCACTCCCTGCCCTGGGGTCAGATGGGAGCCGGAGCCCCCTGGAGCGGCCAGGCCCCTGCCCCGTTCCCTGCCCCCTGGAGCCAGGCAGTCCCTGCCGTGGGGCCAGAGGGGAGCCGGAGCCCCCTAGAGGGGCCAGGCCCCTGTCCCGTTCCCTGCCCCCCGGAGCCAGCCAGTCCCTGCCGTGGGGCCAGAGGGGAACTGGTGCCCCCTGGAGAGGCCAGGCCCCTGCCCCGTTCCCTGTCCCCCCGGAGACAGCCAGTCCCTGTTGTGGGGCCGGAAGGGAGCTGGCGCCCCCTGGAGGGGAAAGGTCTCAGGCCCCATTCCCTGCCCCCCGGAGGCAGCCAGTCCCTGCCGTGGGGCCAGAGGGGAGCCGGAGCCCCCTGGAGGGGTCAGGCCCCTGCCCCGTTCCCTGCCCCCTGGAGCCAGGCAGTCCCTGCCATGGGGCTGGAGGGGAGCCGGCGCCCCCTGGAGGGGCCAGGCCCCTGCCCCGTTCCCTGCCCCCTGGAGCCAGGCAGTCCCTGCCATGGGGCTGGAGGGGAGCCGGCGCCCCCTGGAGGGGCCAGGCCCCTGCCCCGTTCCCTGCCCCCTGGAGCCAGGCAGTCCCTGCCATGGGGCTGGAGGGGAGCCGGAGCCCCCTAGAGGGGCCAGGCCCCTGCCCCGTTCCCCGCCCTGCCGGGCTCTCACCTGCTGGGCAGCGGCGTCCCCGGGGTCGGCCGTGCTCACCATGTGCACATTGGGGGTGGAGGTGGAGCGGTGGCGCTGGAGGGGCTGCCCCCCGCCGGGGGGGTCCGGGAAGCTGAAGGCGTCGGGGCCAAGACACTGCTGGTGGGAGCTGGGCACGGGGGGGGGGGCAAAGGCGGGTGAGAGCCGGGTCAGCACCTCCCTTCTTCTTGGCGCCAACGGGACCGACCTCCTGGAGTCCCTTGCTCCAGGACGGGGTTCCTAGCCCCTTCCTCCTCCTCGGGGGGGTGTTTCTCTGACCCCTCCCCAACCGATCTCCCTCCTCCCCGAACCTGGGGGGCCGCAGGGTTCCGGCCGCGGTCGCTCCGGGGTCAAACCCAGAGCTCCGACTCCAGATTCCTCTGTTTACACACCCTGGGATCCCGTTACCTCTTTGCAGCGGCCCCCCCAAAGCTCTTTGAGAGTCGCTGCCCCCAGCCCGTCAGGATGCCCCCCCCCTTCTCTCCCGGGCATCCAGGTTTCCACAGAACCGTATCACACCAGATTGCTTCCTGGCGCCGTTTACACAGCCCAGCCCCCGGCCGCTCTGGATCAGTGACTCGGCCTCTGTCTTTGTTCCCCCCACAATCTTTGTCTCCTCCAGAAACTTGCTGGGGGTGATTTCCTCCCATGCCCCCTGTGGGGTGGGACTGGGGGGCTCCCGTACCTGGTGGGTTGCGGCGTTAGGGGGGCCAGGCCGGGCCGGGCCGAGGGGGAATCCTGCCCCGGCACGTCGGGGTACGGGCCATGACTGTAAATCCTGCGGTGGGGGGAGAGAGAGAGAGCATGTGGGGTGCGGATGCCCCTCACTCCCAACCTGCAGCCCCCTGTTCACCCAGCCCTGGGCTCCCCCCCAGCCCTGCCGGTGCCCCTCACTCCCGACCCTGGCCACCCTCATCTCACACCCAGCTGTGCTGATGTCTCCCACCATCCCCTTCCCACCGGCACCCCGGATGCCTGCGTCCCTGCGACCCATGGCAGGCCAGGGAGGGTCCCCCAGTCCTTTGGGCTGGGGGGGCTGGGGGGGACACTCACGGGCAGTGGGCCACGCCCAGGTCCACGCAGATGGTGGGCACGCGGCTGCTGCACTGCTGATGGAATTTGTAGCCGCACGTCTGGCAGCGGAAGCCGTGGAACAGGAACTTAAGGCAGAAGTCGCAGAAGGCCAGGCTGAAAAACGTCTTACGGACCTGGGGGGACAGACGGGGTGGGGGTGAGGCGGGGACAGACAAACACTGCCCAGGGAACAGCCACCCTGAGGTGGTGTTGTTGGGTCTCTCAGGGCGCCAGGCCTGGGCAGGGGCGAGTCTGTTGTCGGCTTTCTGAGAGTGCAGTTTGTTATTGTAGGGTCTCTCGGGGCCGGTGTGTTATTGTTGGGTCTCTCGGGGCCGGTGTGTTATTGTTGGGTCTCTCAGGGGCCGGTGTGTTATTGTAGGGTCTCTCAGGGGCCGGTGTGTTATTGTAGGGTCTCTCGGGGCCGGTGTGTTATTGTTGGGTCTCTCAGGGGCCGGTGTGTTATTGTTGGGTCTCTCGGGGCCGGTGTGTTATTGTTGGGTCTCTCGGGGCCGGTGTGTTATTGTAGGGTCTCTCGGGGCCGGTGTGTTATTGTTGGGTCTCTCGGGGGCCGGTGTGTTATTGTTGGGTCTCTCAGGGGCCGGTGTGTTATTGTTGGGTCTCTCGGGGCCGGTGTGTTATTGTTGGGTCTCTCGGGGCCGGTGTGTTATTGTAGGGTCTCTCAGGGGCCGGTGTGTTATTGTTGGGTCTCTCGGGGCCGGTGTGTTATTGTTGGGTCTCTCGGGGCCGGTGTGTTATTGTAGGGTCTCTCGGGGCCGGTGTGTTATTGTTGGGTCTCTCGGGGCCGGTGTGTTGTTGTCTCTCGGGGCCGGTGTGTTATTGTTGGGTCTCTCAGGGGCCGGTGTGTTATTGTTGGGTCTCTCGGGGCCGGTGTGTTATTGTTGGGTCTCTCGGGGCCGGTGTGTTATTGTTGGGTCTCTCGGGGGCCGGTGTGTTATTGTAGGGTCTCTCAGGGGCCGGTGTGTTATTGTAGGGTCTCTCAGGGGCCGGTGTGTTATTGTAGGGTCTCTCAGGGGCCGGTGTGTTATTGTAGGGTCTCTCGGGGCCGGTGTGTTATTGTAGGGTCTCTCAGGGGCCGGTGTGTTGTTGTTGGGTCTCTCAGGGGCCGGTGTGTTATTGTTGGGTCTCTCGGGGCCGGTGTGTTATTGTTGGGTCTCTCGGGGCCGGTGTGTTATTGTTGGGTCTCTCGGGGCCGGTGTGTTATTGTTGGGTCTCTCGGGGCCGGTGTGTTATTGTTGGGTCTCTCAGGGGCCGGTGTGTTATTGTAGGGTCTCTCGGGGCCGGTGTGTTATTGTTGGGTCTCTCGGGGCCGGTGTGTTTGTTGGCTCTGGGGCCGGTGTGTTATTGTTGTTATTGGGTCTCTCGGGGGCCGGTGTGTTATTGTTGGGTCTCTCGGGGCGGTGTGTTATTGTAGGGTCTCTCGGGGCCGGTGTGTTATTGTTGGGTCTCTCGGGGCCGGTGTGTTATTGTTGGGTCTCTCGGGGCCGGTGTGTTATTGTTCTCTGGTGTGTTATTGTTGGGTCTCTCGGGGCCGGTGTGTTATTGTTGGGTCTCTCGGGGCCGGTGTGTTATTGTTGGGTCTCTCGGGGCCGGTGTGTTATTGTTGGGTCTCTCGGGGCCGGTGTGTTATTGTAGGGTCTCTCGGGGCCGGTGTGTTATTGTTGGGTCTCTCGGGGCCGGTGTGTTATTGTAGGGTCTCTCGGGGCCGGTGTGTTATTGTTGGGTCTCTCGGGGGTGTGTTGGTCGGGTGTTTTGTTAGGGTCTCTCGGGGCCGGTGTGTTATTGTAGGGTCTCTCGGGCCGGTGTGTTATTGTAGGGTCTCTCAGGGGCCGGTGTGTTATTGTAGGGTCTCTCAGGGGCCGGTGTGTTATTGTTGGGTCTCTCAGGGGCCGGTGTGTTATTGTAGGGTCTCTCAGGGGTTGTTATTGTTGGGTCTCTCGGGGCCGGTGTGTTATTGTTGGGTCTCTCGGGGCCGGTGTGTTATTGTAGGGTCTCTCGGGGCCGGTGTGTTATTGTAGGGTCTCTCAGGGGCCGGTGTGTTATTGTAGGGTCTCTCAGGGGCCGGTGTGTTATTGTAGGGTCTCTCAGGGGCCGGTGTGTTATTGTAGGGTCTCTCGGGGCCGGTGTGTTATTGTAGGGTCTCTCGGGGCCGGTGTGTTATTGTTGGGTCTCTCGGGGCCGGTGTGTTATTGTTGGGTCTCTCGGGGCCGGTGTGTTATTGTTGGGTCTCTCGGGGCCGGTGTGTTATTGTAGGGTCTCTCAGGGGCCGGTGTGTTTTGTTTTTGGGTCTCGGGGCGTTATTGTAGGGTCTCTCGGGGCCGGTGTGTTATTGTTGGGTCTCTCGGGGCCGGTGTGTTATTGTAGGGTCTCTCGGGGCGTGTGTTATTGTTGGTCTCTCGGGGTGTTTATTGTTGGTCTCTGGTTATGGGGTGTGTTTTTGTTGGGTCTCTCAGGGGCCGGTGTGTTATTGTTGGGTCTCTCAGGGGCCGGTGTGTTATTGTTGGGTCTCTCAGGGGCCGGTGTGTTATTGTTGGGTCTCTCAGGGGCCGGTGTGTTATTGTTGGGTCTCTCAGGGGCCGGTGTGTTATTGTTGGGTCTCTCAGGGGCCGGTGTGTTATTGTTGGGTCTCTCAGGGGCCGGTGTGTTATTGTAGGGTCTCTCAGGGGCCGGTGTGTTATTGTTGGGTCTCTCAGGGGCCGGTGTGTTATTGTAGGGTCTCTCAGGGGCCGGTGTGTTATTGTTGGGTCTCTCGGGGCCGGTGTGTTATTGTTGGGTCTCTCAGGGGCCGGTGTGTTATTGTAGGGTCTCTCGGGGCCGGTGTGTTATTGTTGGGTCTCTGGGGCGGTGTGTTATTGTAGGGTCTCTCGGGGCCGGTGTGTTATTGTAGGGTCTCTCGGGGCTGTGTTATTGTTGGGTCTCAGGGGCGGTGTTTATTGTAGGGTCTCTCAGGGGCCGGTGTTTATTGTTGGGTCTCTCGGGGCCGTGTGTTGGGGTAGGTGTTATTGTAGGGTCTCTGGGGGGTGTGTTTTGGGTCTCTAGGGGGGTGTGTTATTGTAGGGTCTCTGGGCGGTGTTTATTGTTGGGCTCGGGGGGTGTTTTGTGGGGGTGGTTTGTTGGGTTCTCGGGTGTTGGGTCTTGGGGGGTGTGTTATTGTAGGGTTGGGGGGGTGTTGGGTGGGGTGTTGTTGTAGGGTCGGGGGTGTGTTATTGTAGGGTCTCTCAGGGGCCGGTGTGTTATTGTAGGGTCTCTCGGGGCCGGTGTGTGATTGTAGGGTCTCTCAGGGGCCGGTGTGTTATTGTAGGGTCTCTCGGGGCCGGTGTGTTATTGTTGGGTCTCCTGGGACTCACAAAGTGGTGCATGGTGAGGGGCACTTCGTCCAACACCTCCACGTAGAGAACCTGCCCCTCCAGCGGGGTGATGTCCGTGTCCCACTCGGTCAGCAGCTTCGTCCTGACAGAGAGACAGGTCAGAACCGGAACCAGCCCCGGGCCCCCCCAGCCCTGCCGGTGCCCCTCACTCCCACCCCGCAGCCCCCGCCCCAGCCCTGCCGGTGCCCCTCACTCCCGCCCCGCAGCCCCCGCCCCAGCCCTGCCGGTGCCCCTCACTCCCGCCCCGCAGCCCCCGCCCCAGCCCTGCCTGTGCCCCCTCACTCCCGCCCCGCAGCCCCCGCCCCAGCCCTGCCGGTGCCCCTCACTCCCGCCCCGCAGCCCCCGCCCCAGCCCTGCCTGTGCCCCTCACTCCCGCCCCGCAGCCCCCGCCCCAGCCCTGCCGGTGCCCCTCACTCCCACCCCGCAGCCCCCGCCCCAGCCCTGCCGGTGCCCCTCACTCCCACCCCCGCAGCCCCCGCCCCAGCCCTGCCGGTGCCCCTCACTCCCGCCCCGCAGCCCCCGCCCCAGCCCTGCCGGTGCCCCTCACTCCCGCCCCGCAGCCCCCGCCCCAGCCCTGCCGGTGCCCTCACTCCCGCCCCGCAGCCCCGCTCACCCGCCTGGGCACCGATACACCGCGCAGCAGTCCTGGTTCAGCCCTCGCACCTTCAGCGCTTTGTCTAGGGCGTCGTAGACGGTGGCTCCTGGCCGCACGTTGACCTGACGGGGGGGGAGGGGTTACACATGGCTCCTGCCCCCTCACTGGGGCACTGGTGAGCTCACCTCCCTCCCGCTGCCCAGACGGCAACAGACCCCCCCAAGTAGCCAGGCAGACCTCCGCACTTGTGCAAGGGCACAGCTGGAGCGGGGATTGCCTCTCACCCCTGGGGAGCCGTGCAACAAGACACACGTGTGTGCAATTGCATGGACTGTGCTCACGCTCCCTTGCATGCCCAGGGAGCCGTGAACCAAGACACGTGCATGTGCAATTGCACACACCTTGTGCATGCCCAGGGAGGTGTGTAACAAGACATGTGTGTGCAGTTGCACACGCCGTGCTCACACTCCCCTTTGCAAGCACAGGCAGCCAGGCAATGAGCCACGCAGGTGTGCAATTGCACAGAACGGCCCCCAGTCCCCTGCCTGTCTCATGCACGCTCAGCCAGCCGTGCAACGGGAAGCATGAACATGCAAATGCATGGATTGTGCTCAAAATCCCTTGCACGCCCAGGGAGCCGTGCAACGAGCCACATGCATGTGCAATGACACTGAGTGTGCTCATATCCCCTGCACACCCAATACATACCTAAGGAGCCGTGCAAGAAGCCACGTGCCTATGCAATGGCTCACGCTCCCCGGCACACCACAGGTGTGCTCCGGCAGCCGTGCACTGAGCCACACACGTGTGCAGTTGCATGGACAGTGCTCACACTCCCTGCACACTCAGGGAGCCGTGCAAGAAGCCACGTGCCTATGGAATTGCACGGACCGTGCTCACGCTCCCCGGCACACCACAGGTGTGCTCCGGCAGCCGTGCTCTGAGCCACACGCGTGTGCAGTTGCATGGACAGTGCTCACACTCCCGGCGAAGGGGCCCCTCACCACGGTGCGCTGCTGGTTGGGCAGATAGACCTTGACGGTGCCGCTGCCCGCGGCCGGGCCCGGCTCGGCTGCGGGGCTCTCGTCCGGGGCCGGGCCCCGGGGGGGCTCCACGGGCACCGGGCCCCCCATGTGCAGGCCATTGGAGACAGGGCAGGCGGAGTCCGAGCAGCGCCGCATGGGGGAAGCCACGGGGGGGCGGGCAGGGCCTGGGGAGAAGGGGGGAGAGTAAGACACATGGCGCCCCCCCGCCCTTGCCCCTCAGTACGGCAGCCCACCCCCACCCCACAGCACAGCGCCCCCCACCACACCCCCACGCCACCCCCCACCCCGCCCAGCACCCATAGCTGCTTGCTATCCCAGCCCTAGGCTCCCCTCACCCCCTGCTCTGCCAGCCCCCCTCAATCCTGACCCTGGGTTGTCTCCCTGGCTTTGGGACGGGGCTGCGGTCTGGGGGTTAGAGCAGGGGGGCTGGGAGCCAGGACTCCTGGGTTCTCCCCAGCCCCGGGAGGGGAGTGAGGGAACAGCAGTGGCTCCAGCTGACAGCACCCCACCTAGTGGGCTGTCAGGTGGGGGGGAGGGGGCTTGGCCGAAAGCCGAGAACTGGTGTCTTTGGGGCCGGCGAAGCCGTGGGGTGAAAACCAGCCCCCCTGCGCGGAACAGTGTGAAAGTGTCACCCCACGGCTGGGAACAGCCCACAGTGCCTGGGAGCTGCTGGGCAGAGAGCAACAGCCTGGCGCTGGGGTGCAGCCAGCTCTGGGGCAGGGTACCTGGAGAAACAGCCGCATATAACATGGGGGCAGGGGGTGGGAGATTCCATTGCACTGGGGGGGTCACTGCAGCACCCACTGCTCCCCTGCTATGGGGGGAGATTCCATTGCACTGGGGGGGACGCTGCAGCCCCCAACTGCCCCCTGCTATGGGGGGAGGGAGATCCCATTGCACTGGGGGGGGCGCTGCAGCCCCCACTGCCCCCCTGCTGTGGGGGGAGGGAGATCCCATTGCACTGGGGGGGGCGCTGCAGCCCCCACTGCCCCCCTGCTATGGGGGGAGGGAGATCCCATTGCACTGGGGGGGCGCTGCAGCCCCCACTGCCCCCCTGCTGTGGGGGGAGGGAGATCCCATTGCACCCGGCGGGGGGGGTGGGTGGAGTAGGAAGTTCCTACCTGTCACAAGGAATCAGCCACCATCTTGAATGAAAGTACCAAATGGGCGTGGCCGGGGGACTGACGTCAGATGGGCGTGGCCTGTGTGGGACGGGTTTAACCCTTCCCCTGCTGCAGGACGCCTGGGTTCTCTCCCCGGCTCCGGGAGGGGCCTGGGGTCCAGTGGTTAGAGCAGGGCGGGGGGCGGTCTGGGAGCCCGGACGCCTGGGTTCTCCCCGCTGGCCCTGCGTCCCTCCCCGAGCTGTGACCCTCCGCGCGGGGCCGGCAGAGACCGGGGCCCGGACGCCTGGGTTCCCTGGGCCTGGAAGTGGCGGGTCTGAGCTTCCCATCTAGGGCCGGGCGCTGGGGGGCGCCGGGCAGGGAGCTCTGGGGGGCTGGGCGGGGGGCACCGTGGGGCGGGGGGCGCTCTCCCCTGGCAGGCAGGGCTGATGCAGGAGGACGCTGTGGTTTGGATGAACTCCTGGGTCCTTTGCCCCCCGTTTCCCCCCAAACTAGCCTTGCAAGAAACTTTTCTCCGATGTTCAGTTTTTTCCCTCCTGCCACCAAGTGCAATCGAAAGGGTCCAGGCTCTCGCTTGCCCCGTCCCCCGGCTTCCTCTGGGTTCCCCCCAAAGCTGGAGGGGGGGTGGGGGGTTGGAAAGAGGATGGGAACGCACGTGTGGGGTCCCAGGTACGTTGTGGGGTCCCAGGTCGGGCCCTGCGGTGTCATCTGGAGAACACACCCGACCTGACATCAGTGTGGGGACGTTTTACAGCGTCTGGGCCACGAACCTAATTTAAAAAAACCCCAAACCCCCGTTTTTATTCCTTCCCCGCCCCCCCCCCCCAGCAAATCTAAAAAAAAATTTTAGGGTGGGGGGGTTGTTGCCCCCTCTGGACGATCCTGTCTTGAAAGGACTCTGGCCGGCTCGGCTTGAGGTTGGGGGCTCCGGGACCAGAGCGCTAAGGTAGACCCCGTCGATCTCAAAGCACATTCCACGGGAGAGCTCCGGGTTAGTGCCATTGTATGCAGGGGAAACTGAGGCACGGGTCGCTGGCACAGCGAGGCTGAGAACCGGGGTCTGTGGAGCCCAGCGCTCTGTCGGCTCTGTCCAGGGACGGGGGGGCGGGAGAGAGGGGGTGTGATGGGATGGCAGAAATTGAGGGGCCACCATCGCATGGGCGCTGTACAGACCCCTGCCCGACCAAGACTGTGCAGCTCCTGGCATGATGGGGGAGGGGCCCCAATCTTGGTCAGGGAGGGGTCTGCACAGCAGCCAGCATGGCGGGGGAGCCCCCCCCCAAAGAAAGTGGGAGACCTTTCCTGCCCTGAACAGCTCAGAGTCTAAAGACACAGAGGGTGGGGAAACTGAGGCAGAGATCTTGGCGGACAAAGGAGGGGGAAACTGATTCACAGCTTGGTGAGAGGGACTCCCCTAAGATCTTGCAGGGTATCAGTGTGGGGGGAGGGAAAAAAGCCCAGGCGTCCTAAGACCCAGTGATGGGCTCTACCCACTGGGCCATGTTGTCTCCAATTCGGCCCCCTCTCCGCCCCCGCACCTGGTTGAGCCCCATGTCCGAGTGCCCCGGGAATAGCACTCAGCTCCTGGGGGTCCCCCCAGCTCAGTGCCCCTGAGCGCCTGAGCCAGCCTGGATCCCACCAGGGGAGTCGCACCCGCTGCTGGTGGGGGCAAAGAGCCGCAATCCCCCCCCAGGGACCTTCGCTAATGAGCCTGACTGGGAGATGGCTCCGGGGACCGAAGGGTGAATTAATGGGGTCCCCAGGGAGCCCAAAGCCGCCAGCCCGGCACTGGGGAAACAGCTAATGAGAGAAAGTTATCACTGAACTGGGACCAGAGAGTGTCTGAGTGCGACAGAGCGGGGGGCGGGGGAGGGGGGTATGGGAGCCAGGACTCCTGGGTTTTCTCCCTCGCTCTGGGAGGGGAGTGGGGTCTAGTGGGTTGGGGGGGGGCAGGACTCCTGGGTTCTCTCCCTTGCATCACAATGGGTGTGAGAACCGACTGGAAAGCCCTTGTTGAAGTAAGCTGGGGTGCAAGAGTTGGCTGGGAAGAGTAGGGAGTGGGGAGGGTAGTAGGTTGTTATCCTTGTTGAGTCCAGCTACTACCCACAAGCTGGTTGGCTAGCGCAGCCAGGAGTCTGCTCTCCCCGGTTGTTGTTTCAGACCCGCTGGGTTGGCTGGTACGTGACACTTCCCAGGGCTGTCGAGGCCGAGAAGGCTGAAAGCCCCCGGGGCAATCGCTGAAAGGCAGCTGCCTCTGGGGTGGAGCGATGTTTCCCACAGCACGGCGCCCCCTAGCGCCCAGCCCTGACTGCCAGGGGAGAGTGCCCCTGCCAAGCACCCCCTCCCAGCAGCACGGCGCCCCCTAGCGCCCAGCCCTGACTGCCAGGGGAGAGTGCCCCTGCCAAGCACCCCCTCCCAGCAGCACGGTGCCCCCTAGCGCGGCGTTGGGGGGTTCAGGCCTGCAGTCACTGTAAGGCTGTGGTCCCTTGCAGTAGTAGGTTGTTACCCCCTGTGCTGGGCAGGGCTCAGCAGAATTCCCAGCATTCCACTGCAGGTCCCGCCCCCCCCCCCATGGTGTCCCACTCGTCCAATCAGAGGGCACAAGTCATAGCATGTGGCTTCCTCGGGGGGGGTCACAGGTCACGAGGAGCCAATCGGGGAGAGGGAGGGACCCGACTGTTGCAGAGAGGGGTCAGGGGGCGATGGGCCCATGGGCAGCGGGAGGGCAGGGAAGGGCTGGGGGCTGAAGGGACACCCTGCAGTAACACCCCGCAACACCCCACGCCACAACCACACCCCTCTGCAACAACACACCCACAACACAACACCCCACGCCACAACCACACCCCACTGCAACAACACACCCACATCACAACACCCCACGCCACAATCACACCCCACTGCAACAACACACCCACATCACAACACCCCACGCCACAACCACACCCCACTGCAACAACACACCCACATCACAACACCCCACGCCACAACCACACCCCACTGCAACAACACACCTACAACACCCACCCCCTCACCCACCCACCCCCAACCACACCCCACTCAACAACAACCCACACAACACCCCACCCACAACCACACCCCCTCAACAACCACCCACATCACAACACCCCACCCACAACCACACCCCACTGCAACAACACACCCACATCAAAACCCCACCCAAACACACCCCACTAACAACACACCCACACACAACACCCCACCCACAACCACACCCCCTCAACAACACACCCACATCACAACACCCCACGCCACAACCACACCCCACTGCAACAACACACCTACAACACAACACCCCACGCCACAACCACACCCCACTGCAACAACACACCCACAACACAACACCCCACGCCACAACCACACCCCACTGCAACAACACACCCACATCACAACACCCCACGCCACAACCACACCCCACTGCAACAACACACCCACATCACAACACCCCACGGCACAACCACACCCCACTGCAACAACACACCTACAACACAACACCCCACGCCACAACCACACCCCACTGCAACAACACATCCACATCACAACACCCCACGCCACAACCACACCCCACTGCAACAACACACCTACAACACAACACCCCATGCCACAACCACACCCCACTGCAACAACACACCTACAACACAACACCCCACGCCACAACCACACCCCACTGCAACAACACACCCACATCACAACACCCCACGCCACAACCACACCCCACTGCAACAACACACCTACAACACAACACCCCACGCCACAACCACACCCCACTGCAACAACACACCCACAACACAACACCCCACCCCACACACCACACCCCACGCCACCCTGCAACACACCCCCACAACAACACACCCACATCACAACACCCCCCCCCACCACATCACACACCCCCCACAACCACACCCCACTGCAACAACACACCCACATCACAACACCCCACGCCACAACCACACCCCACTGCAACAACACACCTACAACACAACACCCCACGCCACAACCACACCCCTCTGCAACAACACACCCACATCACAACACCCCACGCCACAACCACACCCCTCTGCAACAACACACCTACAACACAACACCCCACGCCACAACCACACCCCACTGCAACAACACACCCACATCACAACACCCCACGCCACAACCACACCCCACTGCAACAACACACCCACATCACAACACCCCACGGCACAACCACACCCCACTGCAACAAGCACCCAGCAGTGCAACCACACCCCACACTAACAACCATGCCACAACTCCCCGCACAACAACATACACAGTCTGCAACAACATCCACTGTAACAACACACACAACACACACTGCAACAACATCCACCCACACTGCAATAGCACTCACTGCAACAACAGACACCACTTGCAGCAACACCCACTGTCACAACACCCCCTGCAACAACACCCTGAGTTCGCAACAACACCCACTGTTGGATAGAGGGGATGGATGGATAGAGAGGAGGGATGGGTGGAAGGATGGATAGTGGGGAGGGATAGGTGAATGGATACTGGGGATGGATGGATGGGGTGGGTGGATGGATGGATGGATAGTGGGGAAGGATGGATGGGGTGGGTGGATGGGTAGAGAGGAGGGATGGGTGGAAGGATAATGGGGATGGATGGATGGATGGACAGATAGAGAGGAGAGATGGGTGGATGGATGGATAGTGGGGAGGGATGGGTGGATGGATGGATAGTGGGGATGGATGGACGGGGTGGGTGGATGGATGGATAGTGGGGAGGGATGGATGGATGGGATGGGATGGGGTGGGTGGATGGATGGATAGTGGGGATGGATGGATGGGGTGGGTGGATGGGTAGAGAGGAGGGATGGGTGGAAGGATAATGGGGATGGATGGATGGATGGACAGATAGAGAGGAGAGATGGGTGGATGGATGGATAGTGGGGAGGGATGGGTGGATGGATGGATAGTGGGGATGGATGGACGGGGTGGGTGGATGGATGGATAGTGGGGAGGGATGGATGGATGGGATGGGATGGGGTGGGTGGA